TTGCCAATAGGAGCACTCCGGTAGGCTACTACGTCTCCATTTTCCAGAATTTCCCGATTTCCACCACAGATTCGTTCATTTCGACATTGAATTAGTCTATGTGAATTTTTTCAGATTTTTAATCGGCCAAATAAAAATTTTCATTTTCCCACCTAAGACTTCAGTACGATATAGTCACCGAGCCATCTTCGGACGGTCGAAAGTGCCAGAAAACGGCGAAAATCCACGCGAATTATCGCTTTTCCAGTAGAAAATCACACGCTGAATCGAATGAGACCATAATCAGCTCCATAGGACAGATAGTTTTTGAGATATCTACGCTCAAAGTCAGTTTTACGCTTTTTTGCCAATAGGAGCACTCCGGTAGGCTACTACGTCTCCATTTTCCGAAATTTCCCAATTTCTACCACAGATTCGTTCATTTTGACATCGAATTAGTCTATGTGAATTTTTTCAGATTTCTAATCGGCCAAATAAAAATTTTCATTTTCCCACCTTAGACTTCAGTACAATATAGTCACCGAGCCATCTTCGGACGGCCGAAAGCGCCAGAAAACGGCGAAAATCCACGCAAATTATCGCTTTTCCTGTAGGAAATGACACGCTGAATCGAATGAGACCATAATCAGCTCCATAGGACAGATAGTTTTTGAGATATCTGCGGTCAAAGTCAGTTTTACGCTTTTTTGCCAATAGGAGCATTCCGGTAGGCTACTACGTCTCCATTTTCCGAAATTTACCAATTTCTACCACAGATTCGTTCATTTTGACATCGAATTAGTCTATGTGAATTTTTTCAGATTTTTAATCGGCCAAATAAAAATTTTCATTTTCCCACCTAAGACTTCAGTACGATATAGTCACCCAGTCACCTTCGGACGGCCGAAAGTGCCAGAAAACGGCAAAAATCCACGCGAATTATCGCTTTTCCAATAGAAAATGACACGCTGAATCGAATGAGACTATAATCAGCCCAATAGGACAGATAGTTTTTGAGATATCTGCGCTCAAAGTCAGTTTTACGCTTTTATTGCCAATAGGAGCACTCCGGTAGGCTACTACGTCTCCATTTTCCAGAATTTCCCGATTTCCACCACAGATTCGTTCATTTCGACATTGAATTAGTCTATGTGAATTTTTTCAGATTTTTAATCGGCCAAATAAAAATTTTCATTTTCCCACCTAAGACTTCAGTACGATATAGTCACCGAGCCATCTTCGGACGGCCGAAAGTGCCAGGAAACGGCGAAAATCCACGCGAATTATCGCTTTTTCAGTAGAAAATGACACGCTGAATCGAATGAGACCATAATCAGCTCCATAGGACAGATAGTTTTCAAGATATCTACGCTCAAAGTCAGTTTTTCGTTTTTCATGCCAATAGGAGCACTCCCGTATTGTGCTACGTCTCCATTTTCCAAAATTTACCAATTTCCACCACAGATTCGTTCATTTCGACATTGAATTAGTCTATGTGAATTTTTTCAGATTTCTAATCGGCCAAATAAAAATTTTCATTTTCCCACCTAAGACTTCAGTACGATATAGTCACCGAGCCATCTTCGGACGGTCGAAAGTGCCAGAAAACGGCGAAAATTGACGCGAATTATCGCTTTTCCAGTAGAAAATCACACGCTGAATCGAATGAGACCATAATCAGCTCCATAGGACAGATAGTTTTTGAGATATCTACGCTCAAAGTCAGTTTTACGCTTTTTTGCCAATAGGAGCACTCCGGTAGGCTACTACGTCTCCATTTTCCGAAATTTCCCAATTTCTACCACAGATTCGTTCATTTTGACATCGAATTAGTCTATGTGAATTTTTTCAGATTTCTAATCGGCCAAATAAAAATTTTCATTTTCCCACCTTAGACTTCAGTACAATATAGTCACCGAGCCATCTTCGGACGGCCGAAAGCGCCAGAAAACGGCGAAAATCCACGCAAATTATCGCTTTTCCTGTAGGAAATGACACGCTGAATCGAATGAGACCATAATCAGCTCCATAGGACAGATAGTTTTTGAGATATCTGCGGTCAAAGTCAGTTTTACGCTTTTTTGCCAATAGGAGCATTCCGGTAGGCTACTACGTCTCCATTTTCCGAAATTTACCAATTTCTACCACAGATTCGTTCATTTTGACATCGAATTAGTCTATGTGAATTTTTTCAGATTTTTAATCGGCCAAATAAAAATTTTCATTTTCCCACCTAAGACTTCAGTACGATATAGTCACCCAGTCACCTTCGGACGGCCGAAAGTGCCAGAAAACGGCAAAAATCCACGCGAATTATCGCTTTTCCAATAGAAAATGACACGCTGAATCGAATGAGACTATAATCAGCCCAATAGGACAGATAGTTTTTGAGATATCTGCGCTCAAAGTCAGTTTTACGCTTTTATTGCCAATAGGAGCACTCCGGTAGGCTACTACGTCTCCATTTTCCAGAATTTCCCGATTTCCACCACAGATTCGTTCATTTCGACATTGAATTAGTCTATGTGAATTTTTTCAGATTTTTAATCGGCCAAATAAAAATTTTCATTTTCCCACCTAAGACTTCAGTACGATATAGTCACCGAGCCATCTTCGGACGGCCGAAAGTGCCAGGAAACGGCGAAAATCCACGCGAATTATCGCTTTTTCAGTAGAAAATGACACGCTGAATCGAATGAGACCATAATCAGCTCCATAGGACAGATAGTTTTCAAGATATCTACGCTCAAAGTCAGTTTTTCGTTTTTCATGCCAATAGGAGCACTCCCGTATTGTGCTACGTCTCCATTTTCCAAAATTTACCAATTTCCACCACAGATTCGTTCATTTCGACATTGAATTAGTCTATGTGAATTTTTTCAGATTTCTAATCGGCCAAATAAAAATTTTCATTTTCCCACCTAAGACTTCAGTACGATATAGTCACCGAGCCATCTTCGGACGGTCGAAAGTGCCAGAAAACGGCGAAAATCCACGCGAATTATCGCTTTTCCAGTAGAAAATCACACGCTGAATCGAATGAGACCATAATCAGCTCCATAGGACAGATAGTTTTTGAGATATCTACGCTCAAAGTCAGTTTTACGCTTTTTTGCCAATAGGAGCACTCCGGTAGGCTACTACGTCTCCATTTTCCGAAATTTCCCAATTTCTACCACAGATTCGTTCATTTTGACATCGAATTAGTCTATGTGAATTTTTTCAGATTTCTAATCGGCCAAATAAAAATTTTCATTTTCCCACCTTAGACTTCAGTACAATATAGTCACCGAGCCATCTTCGGACGGCCGAAAGCGCCAGAAAACGGCGAAAATCCACGCAAATTATCGCTTTTCCTGTAGGAAATGACACGCTGAATCGAATGAGACCATAATCAGCTCCATAGGACAGATAGTTTTTGAGATATCTGCGGTCAAAGTCAGTTTTACGCTTTTTTGCCAATAGGAGCATTCCGGTAGGCTACTACGTCTCCATTTTCCGAAATTTACCAATTTCTACCACAGATTCGTTCATTTTGACATCGAATTAGTCTATGTGAATTTTTTCAGATTTTTAATCGGCCAAATAAAAATTTTCATTTTCCCACCTAAGACTTCAGTACGATATAGTCACCCAGTCACCTTCGGACGGCCGAAAGTGCCAGAAAACGGCAAAAATCCACGCGAATTATCGCTTTTCCAATAGAAAATGACACGCTGAATCGAATGAGACCATAATCAGCTCCATAGGACAGATAGTTTTCAAGATATCTACGCTCAAAGTCAGTTTTTCGTTTTTCATGCCAATAGGAGCACTCCCGTATTGTGCTACGTCTCCATTTTCCAAAATTTACCAATTTCCACCACAGATTCGTTCATTTCGACATTGAATTAGTCTATGTGAATTTTTTCAGATTTCTAATCGGCCAAATAAAAATTTTCATTTTCCCACCTAAGACTTCAGTACGATATAATCACCGTGCCATCTTCGGAAGGCCGAAGAAAGTGCCAGAAAACGGCGAAAATCCATGCGAATTATCGCTTTTCCAATAGAAAATGACACGCTGAATCGAATGAGACTATAATAGCAAATCTGACGTCACCTCTGTTCAAATTTCCATGTGGTCGGCACAATCACACAGAGTTAAATCATTTAAATTATTTTAAAGTGGTGTACCTGATTTTTTTCTCGTAATTTGTTCTGGTTTTGGAATAAAATTTCTCGTTAATTGGAAGAATTAAAGAAATCTGATATCATGGAAATATTTCTTTGACTTAGACTGTATCATATTTATATGCTGAATATGTGCCCTTATTTCACTTGTATATCAAATTTTTTCATTTTCATAATTTGAGTCAGAATATTCCTTCTCAATACTTTTATCCGATCAAGTGGTTCAATCTTGGACGATGGAAAAGCGTTATTTTTTTAAACCATTAATCGGAGATTCGTGTTCTCTGAGCATTACAGGATAATCCTTTTCGTGGGAACCAGAACATAAAAAAAAATTCACCATCCTTCTAAAACAGAATTGAATAATGTCGTATTAAGATCAAGTATGAAATTAAAATTTGGTAAGATCTCTTTTAACGCCTATGAATGTGACGTGACAGCAATTTCATGTCAGGGACGCCAATACACGAAACCAAAGTGACTAGATGATTAAAAGAGAAAGGAGCTATGATCTGTCCGTACCCTACGTCAGTTGCATCAGGGACCCAACCTGTAATGGTTGCTAGGAGATGAGTTTTTCTGAGCATATCTCGAGAACTGAACACTTGGACACCTTATGTCCCTATCTCAGTGATTATGGAATCACGAGAGCTGTCACCTGTCAAACGTTGTCGGTCGAATTTCGCAACACCATGTATATGTGCATATTTTACATGATTTTATAGTTTCAATATTAGTTATAGCTCATCATACACATGGCTTGTCTACAAAAACTTTTGGTTTTTAGTACAATAAAGACTTTCTTCCTCTTCTTCTTCTTCTTCATACTATTTCTTTCGTTTCGTTAGGTGTTGCGACCGGCGAAACGCAAAGACGACGTCGTGTTAGCCTTGACGACGACCGGCATGGTGAAGGTGTGGACTTTGACAGGCGCCGAGCACCGCTACCAATCGCCCATCTACGAGAACGAGAGCAAGCAGATCAGGACGCTGAACGCCGTCTGTCTGCAGTGCTGCTCCTACAACCAGAGGACGGTGTTGGTCGTGTGCACCAAGTACTGGCAGATATACGATGCGGGTGAGCAACTAGTCAAATGGGCGAGTGGACTTAGTTAATTACTCCACTGGGTCGTTAGGGACTGTACCAAGCACATAATTTTATTCGCGAGATTCACGAAGTGAGCGACATCTAGGTTACATAATACGAACTTCAAACTGGGGGAAAACAAACTATTGTCTATGGATAAAGTGCATAGACTACATTGCATACATCTTGCTGTAGCTGTAGTTGTCAAACTTGTCAATGACATGAAGTGTTATCACTCTTATCAGTACACAGTACACAAGCTAATGGCACTAATGGGATTGAGTGAGGATTGAGTTTGTTTTCCCCCAGTTTTGACGTGGCTTTGACATGGAACGATGAAAACCGAGCGCCACCTGGTGACATTGATTCCCGCGAATAGTATTATTATAAGATAGGTTTAGGTAGAGTTCCTAATTGTACTTGACACTGCTGTTTTGACGTTTTTTGTATATTAGAGCACAGACACTATGACAAGCACTGACAATCAGACATAACCACAAATAAATTGATGGAAAACGCGGGAACAGACAGTACACGGACGTACATGACATAAATTTCAAAGGTTTGACAAATTGAGAGAATCGGGAGAAAGATGGAAGTTTGTGCAGTATCCAACTGTGAAAATATAGAAAATCAATTCACTCTAGTCGAATTTTCATCGGATAACGCAATTCTACAAAAATAGAAACAGAATATGATGCGGCCGGCATGGAATACAGTGTGTCCCACTTACCATGCTCACCATGGGTATCTTTTTAACGGTGAGAGATACGAGGTCGGTTAAATGACACCAAATGTGGAGTTTGTCAAGGCCAACTATAACGGGGGTTTTCGAGGTCGGAGAACATGATTTTTTTGTTAAAATTTATAAATTCAAGATGGCGGCTTCCAAATAATTGTTTGTTTTTGTATAAATGACGATAACTCCGTTGTTATCAACACAAAACTATAACTGCGACATATCATCTGTAAGAGAGAAAAAAGTTATTTGTAACTAAGTCATAGTGAGCTATGACCTACATTTGGAAAACTGAAGTTGGTGCTGATATCTCAAATTCTAGGAGAGTTGGTATAAATTTCATATTTTTTTCGAAATCACTTTGAAAAACCGCCATGAGAATGTGATATTCCTATTTGAATATTTTCATAAATGAAGAAATTACGGAGGAGACAAGAAAATGATCAAAATCTGTTTTCTGCGTATAAAACAAAAACGAATAGATTTTATCAAAATATTTTTTCACATTATAGTTGGCCTTGATGAACTCCACATTTGGTGTCATTTAACCGACCTCGTATCTCTCACCGTTAAAAAGATACCCATGGTGAGCATGGTAAGTGGGACACACTGTATAGGTTCAGGCCACAAAATTTGCGAGGTATTCAAATTTCTTGGTTGGATATAGAACACTTTTCAACGCATTTTCATCAGGTACAGTTAAGAACAGAAGATTCGATGTTGAAGAATAAGATCGTATTGAGAGAAAGAGCCGAAGCCACAATGTATAAACTGAGCAAGTATCGAAAAGAACCTTATTCCAACAAGAAACGAAAAACTTGTAGATTCGAATTTTTAGAGCAGAAATATTAAAAATCCAAGGTTTACGCGTGGAAGAGCTAGAGTGTGGAATTCAGGAAACATATAGAAGAAAAAAATAGCAATGTGGCGGTCTATAGTGAGTCGAGACGCTGGAGTCCATTTATACCTTCTTCCTTATGTCTTGGAAAACCTTCATTATTTATCCTAACTGAAACCAGCTGTTATTGTTTCTATATGATTTGTTTATTCATCAATTACTTATCACCTACCACTCTTGTACAAGTGAAATTGTTCCATACGAAATGAAAGTATGTTTCATTTGTTGAAATTTTTCAGATTTTATCCCATTCTAAACTTTTGTGATAAAATATATACCGGGTGTCCCAGTATACCTGTTCCAATAGAATAGATTATCTCAGTCATTTCGAAAGATGAAAATTTGGAAATTACATGATCTACTACAATTCTAATGATTCGGAATTATTATTGAAGTCAAAATCAAGATCACAAAAATATCGTAGCCTACCGCAGTTCGTTCAATTTGAAATTTCAATTGACGTTCGCTCCATCAAATCAAATTTAAAATACGAAGTGTGATACATCGTTGGAGCGGTAATTTTGAGTAGAAATCAAAAATTGCAAAAAATATACAGGGTGCTATCTGAAATAAAAAAGTTAGAGTCACTTCCGGTCAAACCAGAAGTGACTCCCGATTTTCGTTTCTCTCAGTTGAAGCTTCCTTGAACGAATTGGAGATCATGAAATTTTCTAATTTTTATTTCATGAAATGGCTGAGATAATTCATTGGAACAGGTATAGTGGGACACCCGGTATATAAGTACATACCAACTTGATGTCGACCTCCATTAAGGTCCTTCTGCCTTATCATTCAATATTTCAAGAAAAAATAATTTTCTAATCAATTTATCTTACCCTTTTACCCACTCGAGGAGACGCTATGCACTCTCATACAAAAATCAAAGACAGAGAAAGATATATGGATGTACTCTTCCCAAGGCTTGTGAAGGATGGAAGATGCAAGGATCCTTTATCTAAGCGAAAAACATATTTTTGTCCTTGTCTGACAAGAGATAAGATTTGCTTCAAAATCGTTTGTGGATATGTCTAGTGTCCGTACTCTGATATACAAAAAACGTCAAAACAGATATTGTTTGAATGATTCTGATTGCAACAAAATTCGAAAATGACGGTTGACAGTTCCTACAATTGACATTCCGTACTCGAACGAGACTCGAACAACTGGAGATGTGTTTAAAAAACTCTGTTGTATTGGACATCAGAAGGCTCAAAATTTATTACTGCATGGGAGATACCCTTCAGATTTTTTGCTATTCAGTGACTTGACCACAGGCAATCAAATTGCATGATTCAATACTACCTGAATTGGTTCATCTACAGACAGGGCGCAACAAATAACTTATTTTTGTTGTAGTGAAATACATTTCAACTTTTCCTGTAGTAAATTATTTCAATAAAGCATGCTTTCAGTTTTTGAAACTTAAAAAAATGTGTTTGAAATTGTATTGCCATGGTAACGTGTTTAGTTTTTTGAATAAATCATAGATCATCAATCCGTGATTAATCGATCATTTAGCATTTTAATTTAGTTTAGTCTTCATTGATCCATTAAGATGAGCTTAAAAAAGCAATTGGAAAAGTTATAACAAACACTTTCATAAATAACAAAAGGGATTAAAGCAATAGAGTGAGTAAAGATAAAAACAATGAAAAATACAAAACATTTCACTAATTTAGATAAGAAAAGAACATCGATTGTATAGGGGCTTATTTCAAGAAGTAATTGTTTTATTTCATATTTGAAAACTTGTTCGTTTGTGATGTTCTTAAAAAACTCCGGAAGTGCATTATATAGTCTCAGCCCCAAAAATTCGAACGAGTTTAATCGCACAGATAAACGGTCTTGGGTAAGTGAAAATCATTTTTGATACGGGTATTATAATCATGGAATGATTGGTTCTGTTTGAAATCTTCCTTATTTTTATGAATGTAAAACAAAACTTCCAGAATGTAGAGACCTGAAAGAGGCATAATATTCAATTTTTTAAATAATGTTCTGCACGATGCTGTTTGTGATGTGTCACCAAAACGCTGTGTACTGGTGGAGAATTACCCCAAACAATTAGCCCATAGTTAATTCTCGATTGAATCTATCCGTGGTAATATAAAAGAAGACCAGAGTTGTCCAAAATTCTTTTTAAGTTTTTTTAGCAGGTAACACTGCTTATTAAGTAATTCACTAACATTTTCGCAGTGCTAGCGGAAGTTGAGGTTGCTATCTAGAAAAAGCTCTAGAAATTTTACACTCACCTTTTTCTATCTCAACACCGGATATTTCGATATGGTACATATCCTTACGCTAAATGCCATTTTAGTTATGTGAGTAGAAAACAAAAATTAACCAGAAAAAACCTGAGTAAAGTCGGAGAGTTCCTCAGTTGATTATGACGATCCAAATTTTATAAAAAATAAGAGAATATCTGTGTATTTGGTCTCAGAACTGTTTTCTGTTTGAAGAAGACTATGATTTTTTTCCAGGTGATTTTAGCGTGTTGTGCTCCTATCTGGCTCCCAGAGGTGAAAGATGGATGTCCGGGGACTTTTTGGCCATCGACAGAATCATCATGTGGTCTGATGCCGGAAAAGGTTACCTTTACAAGTTGCCGTCTAAGTAAGACCCATTTATCGCTAATGTTGGAATAATTCAGATTGCAGTAGTGGCGAAGGACATTTCTTCAGATTATTTTTGGAATAACTTGGTGATTTGGTACTAAAACAAAATTAACTAAAATAATGGATAATGGGAAAAAGCACGCTAAATTATTCTGATGGTATACATCGTTTTAGTTTTCTTTTTCCACTTTCATTTTCACAGGTTTCATTATGGGATTGAGATGAACTCATTTTACACTTAATTGAAATCGAATCATGCTAATTAGATTTTGTTTCACATTTTAATTTCTTGTGATTGCTCTACCGAGTGGCACAGGGTATCGGGACACCCCTGTATTTTCTGCATTCGTAAACGGATTTTTGTGAAATTTGAAATCCTATATGGTTGACTTCCGGTTTTTCTGGAAATGCCAGAAACTTTGTTTTTTCAAATGGAACACCGTGTACTAACAAAGTCAATCTACAAAAGTACTATGACTGATGATGACCATTTGAATGGTCGAAACATGTCTCAATCAAAAGTAATGAGGGATAATTGGATGCACAATTCACCACTAAACTTATGGAGACGACTTTGAGTTTTTTCCTCTCTTTGATCACCCCCTTCCACTTCGAGTATGGAATACTTCAAAAGATTCTTATGAGTTTATTTATATACTAGTAAATATATATCGAACAATATATGAAACCAAAACAATATTTGAGACACAGAAATAGAATACTATTTATTCATAATTATCAAGTGATACTAAAGTTTTAAATTCGTGGAATTAACTACATCGGCTTCAAAGGTACATTAATTCAACAAAAATATTAACCTGGTACAAACTAGACCAAAAAAAGAGAAGAAAAGAAGAAAATAAAATAAGAATATGGCAACAAAGAGTTAGTCATGGAGAAGTATACAGTTAAACAGCCAGTAGAAAGTATTCATATTCATGGCGACCGATAAAGTCCAAGTCGATATCATTTTCAAATTGATGCAATTTCTAATTTTCGGGGCGGCGAACTATGAAGTACATTCTGAATCTAGTCTGAAAATAGCTGATGGTGAAGAATATAGCTAGCGAATAGCTAACGAATGAAAAAAATAGAAGAAGAAGTAAAACTGGTAAACAGAAACATACATAACCACGAATGCACTCGGTGCAGGAATGCACAGAGTAGTTGGCTTCATTCTGACAGGTTATGGTTTTGTTATTTATTCATTGAAATATCTCGAATAGAGCTCCATCCTGAACGAAAATATCATTGAATCAATGAATCACCGTCGGCTACATTCAATGATACTATCCTTCTTAATTCACTGTCATCGGTCAGAACAGAATGAAGCCGACACCCATGGCTCCTTCCTCTTGTTGTGCCTGTCAGTATTTTGAGTGGTGTGGACGGACTCGAAGTATTAGGCGCTGTTGCAAGATATACTCTGCAACTTTCCTGGAAAATAGATCCGTTTTATCAAGGAACGAATTCATTAACATAAAAGTGACTGACAAGTTATGAATTGAATAACATATTGCAATATAACGATAGTGAAAAATTATAGATACTATCGCAAAATATCATAATTCATCTTTATTAGTAATCAACTTCATTCAGCAAATGAGAGATTTTTGGGAATTATTCATAATACTTGACAAAGTAGGATTGAAGAACCTATCATATCTCATTGCTGTTTGTTATGATATACAAAGAACAATTTCCGGAAATCTAGACATATTGATGATGTCGGCAACGTTGTACTGGCACAGGAAATCTTATTTTAACTCTGTGTGAATGTGGATTTTCAGAAAGTACGTCTTAGGAACGGTGGAGGAGCTAAGTTCCTCTTTTATTTATTTTTTTCTGATGTGAAATTTGATCTTACGAGAAAAAAACAAAAATTTCACAGTGAGATAAGAATCTCAATGTAGGAAACTTCCCCATCGACCAACGGAACCGACTATTTATCGTCTCGTTGAAAAATTTGAACGAAAAAATGAATTGTACAAGGTGTTCCTATTGAAAAATCAAAGTTGCTGGCATTTCCATAAAAACTGAATTGTAATGTGATCAAATCCGAAATGGTTGCTTATATATCTGTACCAAATCTTTAAAAAAATCAGTTCACGAATGCAGAAGTTACAGGGCTGACCAACTCTGTGTCACCCTAGTAACTTTTATTTTGTATTTTTCTTCTCATGGGAGAGGGCAGGTATCAAAATATTGAACAGTAGAAATCCGGGCAATGTGTGAAATGTCTGGTAGTGAATTGTCGCTTTGGTCATTTTTTATTTTTCATGATTGGCAATTTTTATTTGATTTGTTTATTTGTTAAAACGCACCCATAGTTAGCAGAAATATTAATACTTTCTTTTTTATTTTCACCCGGACTACAGCAGGATACGTGGCAAGAGTATTAATAATAGGTTAGAATCTCATTTCATTTACATTTCTTTTTGTTTTGCTTCACCACAAAAACTTCTTTACTGTGAGACCATTTGGCCTGTTTATTTATTTTAGTCATTAATTTATTCATTTTAAAAATATCATACATGTCAGCATATGATAGTAACAATTTTTTATATTCAATTGAAACATGATTCAGTGAAGCTGTGAAATTCATGGTATGAAAAATATTGTTCTCACAGTGAAGAAGTGGTTTGAGAAAGCTTTTTCTTTCAATAACCTCACATCTGTAACATATGTATAGTTAATATTGAATTTTGGGTGAAATATTATTTTTCTCACCGTGTAGAGTGAAACTCCATGTCTCAGCTCTATTATGAGAAATGAAAAAAGTGGAGTCAAATTTGCGTATTCTTCCTAAAAAATTAACTCCTGGATTTCACCAAGAAGTTTTTTCTCGTTTCTTCTTTTTTCAAATCATCAAATCAAATTTGGACTTGAATAAAAACCCCTGGAAAAAGTTCTCCCAAAAGAGAAGTTTGGCTAGCTTTGGAAGAGAGAAAATATGTCTTCCCCATCTATTCTGTTCTTGTCTTCAGTGTACCAACGTAAAATAATGGAAATTTCATGTTGGCAACACTGGAAATGAGAAGTAATGGAGATGAAGTTCATATTAACCTCAATATAAAAAAGGTTATAATGGTCTTCTTCCCCATTCCTTTCCATTTCTAGTGTTGCCAACATAAAACTTTCATTAATTCACGTTGGAACCCTGAAGACCAAGAAATAATGGGATGACATATTTTTCCTTCTCAACATCTATATTGAAAAAAACTTTTTTTCTCTCATGGACTCTTATGTGGGGTAAACTCCGTGGACAGAATTATAAAACTTGAAAAAATTCTTGGGAGTGATTATGATTAATTAAATTAGTATTATTTTCTCGACAAAATTCGTTCAGATAAGTTGGCTCTTTTCAAATACGTCAAAGTATAGGTGTATTGCAAAATGGGCCTGAAATGTACCTTACTCCATGCCATTCAAGAAACTCTTTTCAGATTTTGTCTCGCTTTTCCTTTTCTTGTAATAGAGCTGAGACATCAAGTTACACTCACCCTGTATATACAGTTAATACTAGATGTTGGGTTATTCATTTCATTATGCACTTTTCTGTTGGACATCTTTTGGAAATTTTCTATCTGCATGCATTCTTTCCTTTCCTACTTCTTCTGTTTCTTCTTGAATTTAAAATAAATCCAACTCTAAACTCCGCTCAGAAAAATGAGTGTATGAGTGGCCAACATAACAAAAACTTCATAACTTCACACTTACACAATTAAAATGATGACATTAAGAATTTAGAAACTGTAACATTTCAAAAGTGTTTCACAGGTAAAAGGGAATATTTCGATGGTGCACTGACCTGAAATGTGTAGTTCTGAGAATAATAAACATTTCTATACATATTGTTCACGTTTATTTAAAAATATTTACAAAATATGAATTGAAAATACACTTTTCAGCGATAGAAATCGATATTCGCTAATCGTTTATCGCCAATCGATTTTTTCCTATTGAAATCTGAAACGCCCTGTATCATGAATAGCTTTACCTGTGAAACACTCTGTTTGCCACCCAATTTTTCCAAAACCAAATGTGTAAATGTTTGTTTTGATGTTTACCGGGTGTCCCAGATCTTTTCATGCAGCCAATATATCAGTTATGCTGCTTGGATTTTTGTTAATTACACTTTTGTCAAACCCATATGTCTTTGAAGTCGTTGTGTCAAAGTCAACTTCTGTTGATGATGTAACCATGGATAGAACTTCAATGATGTATCACACTTGATATTTTGCCAAACTTATTACTACCAAAATTAGAAAATTCGAAGGAAACAGTTTCAGGTTTAGAATTGGATTATTTTTTTTGTTATGTTTTTTTTAAGTGTTTAGGTTTACTCCAAATGATTATTATGTCAATTCGACATCAGTCAAATTATCAAGTGTGATACATCATTAAGTTAGAATTGATCACACTTTCCAAATCAACAAAAAATGTTTAGGGTGTAACTTGGAAGTTGGGGTGATATTTCAGGGGTAGTTTGACAGAAGTTGGCTTTGACACAATGGCTTCAAAGTCATTTGGGTTTGACAAAAGTGTAATTTTAATTTTTTTCTTCCAAGCAGCATATCTAAGATATTGGCTGTATGAGAAGATCTGGGACACCCAGTATTTGTGAATATTGTATAAATCTATTTGCTACAATAACTGTCCAATTATCTAACACCTTCTCTCCATAACTCTGCATTTTCTTGACTTTTTGCGTGCTGGGTGCCAACTTCCATATCATGGCGTTCTTTCTCCCAATAATATTTACTATTACAGCAGCATACCAGACAGTGCAGATTTCCACACACCCAGTATAGCGAGCGACAGCCCGTTTTTGTACTGTCTGCTGAACCAACCAGACAGCAAGGTAAGAGAAAAACGCATTTTTATGTTTGAATTTCAACACCTACTTGATAGCTTCTTTGTCGTTCTAAATGGAAACCTAGTAGCAGGCATGGTTCAATACTGTCTTTCATTGGAAAAAAAAGTGCATCGTCCTTATCGACAATATTTTCAGTAAGCCAGTGACCTCTATTTCAAACTAATGAGTTATCCTAACCCTGGAAAATGTTTATATCCCTGTCAAGTTTATAATAAAAAATGTTGAAACATTTCAAGTATGAACTTTGTTCAATTTGACCAATGACAATAGTATGGATCCCAGATTATTTTGTGGCACGGGCAACAATGTAATGCCTAAGTTCCCAGAAATCCAAAAAAGAAGAAGAAGACAAACTACACTGTCCACCTAACTTCCTGACGTCAATATCTGTCACTTGCGTCGTCAAATCCTCATATTATCTGATTCTTTAGTTGTGTGTTGTATTCTCTGTTATCTGCAGTAAGTATTCAATCTAGAAAAATTATTCCATATTTTGATATGTTCATCTTCGAAATGGGTGATATACCCGAAGCGTAGAGTTGTCCCAGTTGTCAGCAGACCGAGAGGGGCTGATGAGACCTGGTGGGTCGAAACAGTACTGTCTCGCTCCTGCTGACAATTGGGGCAACTCTGTTCATCCTGGATCTCTTAGTTATGAGATCTCGCAGTTGAATAGGTGGTGGAAAATTCCACTCAAGTATGTCAGGTAGTGCCATCTATCAGCAGAGTGGTTTTACTTGTAGTACCACTCTGTAGCATATAGACGTAGGGGTCTGTACGTGTGACTATAGATGGCAGCGCCATACAGCGATTTCTGTATCCTACCTTAGAGCTTTGCCACTAGATGGCTACAACATGACTATAACTTCATGTTATACCCTGTATCTCATTGGTGTTTCAGCCGCTGTCTTGCCCGCCGGCGATGACCTTCATAACGACCTCGCGCAACAGTCGGCAAACAAGATCGCGGTACCTGTTGCGCGGCGACTCCGAGGGCTACGTACTGGCGTGGCGCATCCCCGAGCTGTCGGCGGCGCAGCTGGACGAGATCCAAAGGCAGAAGCTGCCGCAGCCGGCGACGATGACGGCCACGCTGACCACCAGTCTGACGGAGGCGTGGGCGAGCATGCGTCCTAGTCCGGTGGGGATTCTGGATCAGCTGGAGAAGCAAGAGGGACAGGGTGAGTTGGTTTATTCGTTTTTTGTTTTTTCGTTGTTTTTGTTTTTCGTTTTGTTTCTTGTTTTTTGTTTTATCATTTTTTTTTCAGTTCTTTTCTGTTTTTGTTATGTTTTTCGTTTTTTTTTGTTTTTCGGTTTTTGTTCTTTTCCGTCCGAGTCCGGTAGGGATTTTGAATCAGCTTAAAAAGCAGGAGAGGTAGGTTGTTTTTTTTTTCGTTCTTTGTTTATTGTTTTTGTGGCGGAGGCGTGGGCGAGCAAGAGTCCGAGTCCGTTGGGGATTTAGGATCAGCTGGAGAAGCAGAAGTCGCAGGGGGAGTTTTTTGTTTTACGTTTTTCGTTTTTCTGACGGAGACGTGGCCAAGTATGATTCAAAGTTTTTGTTTGTTTGTATTTTGTTCTTTCGTTTTTTGTTTTTTTTTTATTTCGTCCGAGTCCGGTAGGGATTTTGAATCAGCTGGAGAAGCAGGAGGGGCAGGTTGTTTTTTTTTTCGTTCTTTCTTCATTGTTTTTGTGGCGGAGGCGTGGGCGAGCATTAGTCCGAGTCCGTTGAGTGTTTTGGATCAGCTGAAGAAGCAGAAGTGGCAGAGTGAGGTTTTTGTTATTCGTTTATCTGACGGACACGTGGATCAGCTGGAGAAGCAATTTTTTGTTTTTTGTTTCTTGTTTTTGAATTTCATATTATTATTCTTTGGGTACTTATGGGTATTTTGTATCACTTGGAGAAGCAGGAGGGGCAGGGTGAGTTTTTGTGGGTGTGGGAAATTCCAACCTACAAACAATGACAAAAAAAAAATGACGAAATAATTCAATCACTCTACAAACAGTATGAATATGATTTGCGTGGATATATTTCGCACAAGAGAATGTTTAGCTTTGGAGTTGAGGATGGAAACATGACGAGTGCATGAATAGTTTTTTTCTGCAACTAACTTTCAGAAAAATTACTGTTATTACTCTATTTTACAGAAAGTGTTAAATAAAAATTCCTGGTTGCTACTAAACAACGATACATTCGAAGGATCAAACATTCGAATAACAACAAAAGCCTCTGACAAAGTATTTCATATCTCTTATCTTATCTTCTGTAGCCACCTTAGACCACATAGCAATAGATGAATGAAAAAGGTATGCAGATCAACAATGTAACACTTAACACCACTATTTATAAATCACAAAACGCCAAATACGATTTTAGTAATTAATGAAATGGTGAATGATGCGGAATCATGGGCTTAGAATCGATATAATGAGGATATAATTCAATAATTACAATAAATGACGCCATTCTTCAAAAAAAAAGCAAATATCGAATATTCCTACTACACATATTGCTTGTCAAATTTTCAATGTTGCCAATCGTATGTAAAATCAATCCATACTTAACATTTTGGTTCATACCTCAGAATCACTGATCAACGTTCATAATTCATTAGTCGATCTGCTTCTCTGACAATTATGTTATTGATCTTGTTCCATTATTTTTTTATAAGCTATCCATGCTGAAATGAATAAGATTTTTATCCAGATAATTCTACTGAAATGTCACTTTGACTGCACTTTCACAGAGGTCCTTAGAATAGGGACTCTACTTAGAATGTGATCTCTTTTTTTTTGCAAAGAGAAAACGAGCTTATCTATCGATATACTAAATAATGTTGTATTTCTTTGATTTCAGCTATCAAATTAACGGCCAGTATTTACCTGCCAGTACAAAGTAGACTGGTGGTAGGCAGAGAAGACGGTACTATAATAATAGTGCAAGCCACACAGACCATAATGCTCCAGCTTTTACATGGGAATCACCAACAATACAATGGTAAATAGTGCCTAGTGTCAAGTGGGTATCATCAACTCTTTTTTTTTTTCAAATGTAAAGAGGGGTCAGGTGGTACCTTGTTTTGAAGGCTTTTCGATTATCTATCCAACACCTGCTTCGTTCGTGCAAATCCGCCAAAACGTTTTAAAATGACAAGCATTTGAAATTCGCATCAAATATTGATATTAATTAATATAAATATATAAAAAAATATCTCCAATTATTGGTGCATTGAGAAGATGTCCCAAACTTGATATTAAAATTGCAAACATGATTCTCTACTCTCATATACTGAGTCGTATCAACTATTTAATAAATGTTTGGGGAACTTGTTCAAAGAACAATTTCAATAAAATATCAACATTATATAGAAAATCGTTAAAAGTATTGTATCGTCTCCCATTTGATACACCAACCAATCAATTGTTTGAAATAACAAATACGTATTCTTTAGATGAAATATATAGAATTGAAACTCTCAAAATATCATATAATATCATAAATAAAAAATTGAAGTCGAATTTTATGTTGATACGGAATTCTGAAATTCATAATCATGAAACAAGACAATATAACTTGTTTCATCTTGACGCCGCTAGCTCCATTATCGGACAAAAAAAATTCACTCATTCAGCCTCAACTGAATTCAATAAACTACCTGACAATATAAAAAATTGCAGAAATATAGGTTCATTCAAAAATGAAGTGAAAAAATTGATTATTTCTGAGCGAACTGGATAAAATTGAACATGCCATTTTATTTTACAAATATTATTCTTTGTTTGTCAATTTACAGTTGTTGATATATTTTGTATAATGATATGTTTACCTATAGGTATATAATTATGTACTTCCTTATACCAGAGCTTATTCTGTCTGGAAGTTATTTGTTCAATAAATAAATAAAAAAATAAAAAAAAATACAATAACTTTCAATAGTTCACCTAGCGTTGAGAGAGAGAGAGAGAAAAAAAATGTCTTCCCCATCTGTCCTAGTCTTCAGTGTTCCAACGTAAAATAATAGAAATCTTATGTTGGTTACATTGGAAATGGGAAAAAATTGAGATCATATTAACCTCAATATGAAAATGGTTAGAATGGTCTTCTTCTCCATTTCTTCTCATTTCCAGTGTTGCCAACATAACATTTTCATTATTTTATGTTGGAACACTGATGACAAGGATATATGGGGAAGACAGTTTTTCTCTCTCAACGCTAGCTGAATGGGAAAGACCACTGATTTTTTAAAACGACATTATCGTGAACCTTATACTGAAAAACTACCAGTGAATTAATTTTGAATTTTTTCATTCATGCTAAGACGATGGAAAAAATAAATTAGTATATGTCCATTTCAAAACACACAATTCCTGCGCCATTTGAAATTTCATCAATTCATTGGTGTGACTCGTGCGACGTCTTAGTCCCAACACGCCTATTGTCCTTGAACTGACCAATTACACTGCAACACTGCAGAATGACGAGGTATCAGAGAGAGATAGCTACAGTTCGGGACTAATACGTCACGACTCCACCATCATATTTGGCTGTTTGAAATATCGAATGAAATATGCTGATTTCAAAACGATATAGATTCGATTCCCTTCAACTTCAACTCATAATATTGATTGTACATAAAATGTAAATCATGATTCGTCGATTGAAAGAGGTTTGCACGGATTTCTTCTCTCAGTGGTCTTCCCCATTGCTTCTATTGCAACAAAATTTCCACGAGATGGTGCATAGATTTCGGGAGGATGTAATTCAATGTTCTGCGTGGAATTAGCCAGGAAATTAGTTGTTTTTCTCCCGAAATCTACCATTGTTGTTCATTTCATGAACATTGTGTGGAAATGACTGAGCTTTTTGCATTTATTTAACTATCTATTTATCTTCCCATCCTTTCAGGTTGGCCGCCGCACCAGATCCTCTCAGGCCATGGAGGCCGCGTGAACTGCCTGCTGTACCCGCACGGCGAGCACCGGCGCTACGACAAGCGCCATCTGGTGTCGGGCGGCGTCGATTTCGCCGTGTGCCTGTGGGATCTGTACGCCGGCACGCTGTTGCACCGGTTCTGCGTACACGCCGGCGAGATCACGCAGCTTATGGTGCCTCCCAACAAGTGCAGCGTGAGTGGAAGTCATTTATTCATTTATTTCTCGGGACTAAATAACGAGATGGGTAGAGGGGTTCAGTCATGAATCATAAAAAAGTATACGCTAACAATCCTGGAGGCCAAACACGGATAAGTGGATGAAATCGCAAATGGTGGGGATAATAAGACACTTGTACATTTGCGGGCGAGTGCTGAGACTAAATAACAATAGATAGACATAGCGATTATTTCATGATTCATAAAAAAGGTATACGCTAACAATCCTAAACGCCAAACACGGATAAGTGAATGAAATCGCGAATGGTGGGGATAATAAGACACTTGTAGTTTTGCCGGTGAGTGCTCAGGCTCAATAACAATAGATAGACACGGCGATTCATTCTTAAATCATTGAAAGGTATACGCTAACAATCCTGAACGCCAAGCTCGGTTGAATGAATGAAATCGCGAATGTTGTGGATAACTTTGCGGAATCATTGCCAGAAAATTGATATACTTTGTAGATATTTCATATATCTAATAAATCGGAGGTTCTATAACTTTGTGTATGTGCATTAATAAATCATTATGTAATGTCTTAGTGAGGTCATCTGAAATTTTCAATATTTTGAACACGCTTTTCATTAATAACGAAAGCCATCAAATAAGACCGCCACTGGACCAAATTTCGTCGTATCTGTGAAATATTAGGTTATGATATTCATAACAAACTTTTCTTCGCTGCCGAACGACATGAAAACAACAAAATATCAATAATAACAACAAAAACGACAAATGACATTTCAACAATGAATATTGTTATTATTACTACGAAAGTTTGCAGTGCCGCCACGTTCATCATTTTGTTATTTACCCTACAATAACTAATATGTTTATAATAAACATTAGTAGTGCGTTTCTGACATTTGTGTTGTTATGGGTGCATTATCATGTTATACAGGTTGTTCTGATTTTTGTCATGAGCTATTTATGCCGATGTGAATGAGATATATTATCCTAAATATCATCTTGAATCATCAATTTGACAGTGATTCCACAGAGATCCTTATACCAAAGCCTATTCTCTCTGGAAGTTATTTGTTCAATAAATAAATAAATAAGTGCTAAAAAAATGAATCACTATTTTCAACTAGTTAATCTATATTATTTGTTGGTAACTGGAATTGATCTATTACTTGAGAAACGTATGTCCGGAAACGCTTAGTTTCCGCTATACAGGGTGATGCAGTTTGAATAAATAATGTTTTTATCTTCAACATCTCGGAAATCCAGATTAACATTTTTTTGAAACTTGGTATAGATGTTCATGATACCGGAACACATCTTTGGGCGTCCAAAAAGGGATTTATTCTACGATATCGATCTATTACTTTCAAAACTTAGTTGATTGTTTTCGAATCTCCCAAAAGTTTATATGAATATTATCCTTTATTTTTAGGCGAGAATACAAAAATGTGTTTGTTCCGTGGCCTCCGACCATTCGGTAACTCTTCTGAGTCTGGCAGAAAGGAAATGCGTGTGTCTAGCTTCTAGACATCTTTTTCCCGTGACCACGATAAAATGGAGGCCTAACGATGATTTCATGATCATCGGCTGTTCAGATGGCACCGTCTACGTCTGGCAGATGGAAACCGGGCATTTAGATAGAGTGCTGCAAGGTATAATCTTTTATAGGAAAATTTAATTTTTATTTTTTAATCTTGTTTTTTTTTTCATAGGTATAGCAGCTGAAGAGGTGTTGTACGCTTGTGAGGAACATGAAACTACGGAGAATGCAACAACCGAAGTCGGTTTGGCAAATCCAGCTGTACATTTTTTCAGGTAAGATATCTGATTGATAGAATTGAAATTCGAAGAAAATAGAGACACACAAGCGGCAATATTACAAGTAATGCGAGCAATTTGAAGAGCACTTGATACAGGAAATTATGTGTTAGCAATTTTTATTGGTATCAAAGAGGAGTTTGAAACAGTTGACCACATTACACTTTTAAAAGATGTAGAATCAATGGGACTCTGAGGCATTTTGAGGATTTTTCGAGATTTGTTTCTCGGAAATAGGACAGTTAGAATCTCATACAGATGATAAGAGGTGTTCCTCAAGGATCTGTTTTAGGACCAATCTTATATATTCATTTAATCTACATATATTCGAAATATCACCAAAATTGTAAAGTAATTATACTATTCATGCAAATCATACGGTAAGTTCTTTTATATGAAAATAGAGAAAATAGAATTAAGAGACCTGATGAAATTTGAAAAATTGATCAATTCAAATCTTTTATCAATAATTACTAATAAAAATAAATACATGATTTTTCACAGAACAACAAACAAGCTACAGAAATATCTCAACTCTTAGGTTTAACTATAGACCATGCAGTCTCATCGTGGTCATCGCATATTCAAATGCTCAGGAAAAAATATCTTCCATGGCTGGTATATTATACAAATAGAGGTCTTTCACACCTCTTAAATACTTGAAATTGATTTGATTCAGTTTGATTTACTCTAAACACAGTATCTGATATTGATCTGGGGAACTGCAGCAGAATCTGTTTTTGAAAACTCTGAAATCTCTTCAAAATAAAGCCATAAAATGTATTTACAAACTACCATTTCTGGAATCAACATCTAGACCATACAAACCAAGGGATCTGCTAGATATTGACCCTCTCTTCAAAATTAAAGTATGCATTTTCATCCATTTCACTAAAAATAAGAAAAAGCGCTCGAATCTTACTTTCAACATCAATTCTGATACTGTCAAAATGAAAACCCGATTTGGGAAAAAATCATTGAATTTTTGTGGAATAAATATTCATAATAGTCTACACAACAGAATAAAATCTATTAAGTTCGTCACAAAATTCAAGAGTGAACTGTAGAAATATATTTTATCAATTCAACCCCCTGTATCAATTGATTCTGATTGAATTGTTCATTCTCTATTTTATTGCATATTTGATTTATTCATTAATTTTTTTGTGTATCCCTCTATAAACATGTATGTTTCTTGGGATCAATAAATGATATTATAACTATGATTCTCGATCTCGAAATTAAAATCAAATCATAGAAACAAACTTATGAGGAGATTTGGTTTGACGATATTTTGAGGTTGTATAAACATATGAAAGTATTGACAAAAAATATATCCTATTATTAGAGTTTTGAGAATGTTTCCCACACTTGATAAAAAAGTTACAAATTTAATCCTTCATTCTCACATACTCAGTCGCATTGACTATATTGTATCTAGAATGTCATTCAAAGTATTGTATCATTTACCATATAATACACCAACTAATCACAAACAAACATTTTCATGTATTGTTCAAAATTAAAAGGATGAAAATGTCATAGGTTAATATCATATATAAAGTATAGAAATCCAATTTGATTATCGTATCCATCTAAGGTATCATCGACCGTGAGACACCCTCTATAATATTCAACAATTCAGCCAGCTTTGAAATATTATTCGGAATTCTTATTCATTGGACTTTTTTCTCTCAGAGGTCTGAGGCATAGAAATTTATCGGCTATCAGACACGCAACACAAAGAGGTCTGCATCAGCTGCAGATGATGGGAGCTCACACCAACAACGACGATCCTCACATGCAGAGAAACTACAACTCCCCCCTATCCATACAAGGCCTAAGAACAAATCCCAAAGGTACATGTCGTCGAAAATAATGTTATTTTCATAGACCTCAATAGCAGATTCGTGATTAGGTTTTCTCAATTCAGAATTTCTTTCCACGTCCTGTATGATGAATATCCATTTACATTACATAAAAAAAATTTTTGTTGAAAATCTAGTAAGTAGGTGCCAGGTATATTCGGGACGATTCTGTTTGCGAATAACAATATGGTTGTAGAGAACATATCACGATTACAGCAATATTCAAAAAAGTGGAATTCTGATCATCGACTTTGGCAACATCTTGTTAGTTTCCTTGCTATATCGGAAACATCAATTTTTTGCTTGCTATCTCATAAAAAAGTTGAAAATCGTCTATCGATACTTGGTAGTATTTATACAGGGTGAGTCAGTTTTTTGTAGCACCACTTCAACAACTTGAAGAACACATATTGCTTCGTTTCCAAAATACAGGGAGTCAAAAATCGAGATTTTTTCAATGTTTTCCAAGTTTTCTCCTACAATTTTGAATATAATGAATTGAAATTTTGGTAAAATTATTACACTTGGAAAACTCGGTATTTGGGGCTATTAGGCGATTTTGATTAAAGTGCTGCCTCTGCTTTCAATGGAACATTCATTTAGATTCTCTGTTCTATTGTTCTATTGGGATACTTTTTGATCTCCTATGTTTTTCAAAAACTATGGATTTGGAGATAAATGCAAAAAATAATTGACTTTTGAAGAAATACACTATGTTTGTCATCGAGGTAATTTCTCAATAATTGGCTAAAATACCTGGGATGATCAAAAGCTTTGATATGTTGTGTCCTAAAATATATAAAAATATCACTTCCCCTGTATATCGGTCAAGTGGCTCCTATGCATATAGATTTTTATCTTGAAATAGTATCTTCTTTGAGCTGTTGGAGTTCTGTTACATAAAACTGACTCACTCTGTATACAGGGTGTTCCAAAATTCAGTATCAAGGTATCAGGGGCTTATTTTTCAGATCAAAATAAGACTTTTTTTTTTGTTCTCCAGTTTTGGAAAAAACAAAGGTCCTTTCAAAAGGACGGCAGGATAAAGGGCTACTATCAGAGAAATAAATGAAGATTTGAAAATGTTTTTATATTATATCTCACAAAATGCTTATCAAAATTTTAGCTCCTTCAGAAGTGACAAAGATATGAGAAAATTGTCAAAGAAGAAGTGAAAGGGCTGGTAAGGCATATTTTGCAAAACATCTGCATATTGGAGAACAAGTGACGCTCCCAAACCCGTGTATTTATTGTCTCGAATTGTTGTCGACGCACCATAGTAGGGATTAAAATAAACAATCTATCCACTTGAAATTTGTACCCCTATATATCATAGCCTCATCAAAGCTGTGTAAAGCGGGTAAATTATTTGGAACTACATCGTCTTCAGACCCAGAATCTTTATTGGTATCGCAGTTTTCGTTGGCATTTAGCGTGGAAAAATTATAGTGTCTGTAGAATGTCCGGCGTAGAGTCATTCTTCAATTCCTCTAAGTGCTTTGCCATGGTTAGTGGATTTTTCCAATAACTGCAAAAAAACGCATAGTAGCTTATAATCCTACCGTCCTTTTAAAATTAGTCGTTCAATTGAACGCCCCTGGATTGATCGAGAAGTGTGAAACATAACCACAAATATAAAGAAAAGTGAGTAAATTATGTTATTCGTTGATAATACTCAAAACAACAACGGAAAAATAAACGAGTCTCAACATGTCGTACCTTGAGTCACTCAGTTTTTTAACCGTCACTATCGATCCAAAACATAACAAAATCCTAACGATCGCTATCGACCTTGTTCAATATGTCAACTAAATATAATCTGACACTGTCGACATCTTCAAACCGTCAGCTGAATCAGAAAAATACAGGTTTCGTTTTGAAGTCCTTTTAAAAGGACGGTAGGCGTAAATGGGTTAATTGAAATTTTTAACAAGGAAGAACATTGTAAAGAATAAGAAACCTAGCGAAGCAAACCTTGAAACATATTTATAGGAGAAAAAGAGTCGTATTTTGAACTGAAAAATGAGACCCTGAAATCTTGATACTGAATTTTGAAACAGCCTGTAGATTTACTTATAACTCGCAGTGCATAATTCTAATGAAATATCCATTTTGCAGATCCGGAAAGTCACATTCTGTTTTTCGACATAGAGTCTTTGATAGTAGAGCTGTTGAGTGAAGAGTACGACATGATGTCCCCCGGTAGTTTGGAGGCCGCCGGTCTCATTTCCCAGTCTGAATACCTCAAAGTAGCTGCCTTAACACAAAGTGCCAGTCCCGATGTGAACAAAAAAATCGTCGGTGAGTTTCAAATAATAATAATAATTTTGTTGAACGGACATTTTTAGTATCGAATGGGTATCTGGTTTTAATTTGGTTAGTTGGTTTTTCAAACTACTACCGGTTGACATGTGATAAATTAACACCCTTTATAACTCAATTGAAAAATGTCTTCTTTTTTCATCTGGTAGATTTTCGCTATCTAAGGAAAGATACATGGAGCAGCAAACATTGTATGAATTTCAAATAGCTCGTTTCTGACTTTGATAAAATCCATATGAGCCAGAAATCCATTTGATATTGATAATGTCTATTTAGTAACGTGATATTGTTGATTGTTCTAATTTGTAATGACCTTTTTTCTGCAACAAGACTTTTTCGGAAAAATGAAAAATAAGGCTGAAAATATGGAAATGATTATAAAGGAAAAAGATAAACATGGTAAAAGCTTGTTTAACAATTAGTAGACCGTAGATAGATTTTCGCTCAGTAGTCAAAGAGTTGTGCTTTCATAGATTAAAATGTTTGCTTCCCGAACTTTCTTTGACGATATCTTGAGAAAAATGGCACATGTATTTATCAATATGTAATGAATATTAATATTACAGAAAATCCAATAGAGATTCTATCTCACTACTTATTTTTGATATTGGTGAACTGTTTTCTATTCATTATTTCTTGTGTTTTTGATGATCTAGTATTTTCAGTGTACGGTTACAATTTATTTTACAAAAAGAAAAATCAAACGACCAATCAAATGTTATATTCAAAAAACTATAGCTAACAGATGTAGCTCACAGAATTAATTTTATTTTTATTGAAAAAGTATAAAGTTTATTAAAAAAATTAAATGAGTCACTTATCCATAAACATTTCTTGGTCCTTTAGTTTTTATTTTGACACTTCTCGCAGATGCTTGTCAAATAATGACGTTCCATGGAAAACGTCAATTTTTTTTTAGATTTGACAGCGTTTAGGACTACTTTGTAAATTGGTTGTAGAAAAGCTCCTAATGGTTGTGGTCCATACATACATACATGGTACATACATATAGAAAACTGAAAATGTTTGATGAATCAGTGAATGAATCTCAAGGATCCTGAGAAAACTCATTTTATGCTACATTTCCTACTATCTAATATTTATCTATTATATCAACTAGATAGGATATAAGAATGTGTCATTTTTTCGATAGATTATCGTCAATTTCTCATACTTTGAGTAATAGCATTTACCCCTATTTAGGTATTTTGGCAAAAATGAAAGAGAGTGCAGAAACTGCTATAGCAAAGGCAGAAAGTGTGTTGAAACAGGGCGGAGATCAAACCAGAGGTATTTTGATGAATGTGTGTGTCTCCTGATTTTCATTTTCTTTTGATCGCACGAAAGGGAGTTTTTATTATGTTCTTCAAACAACGTCTATGCACAACTTCAATTTCAATACGATTTTTCTTCTCAGAAAGTAGAACAATAACATCACCATTTTATCGAAATCTACTAATTTTTGGGGTATACAGAAAAATCATAGTGGAAGAGATCTTATGATAATATATTCTGGATTGTTTTAATCTTCCAATCTTCAATTTATGCTTTTTGTTTTTCTTATTTTCTTATGATTTTGTTACGAGTGATGACTATGATTTTCTTAAACCTTTTAATATGATTTGATTTTTAATTGTTTCCATTTTCATATTTTTTTCACAAGGCTCATCAAATTGTCAAACATTCTCTGAAATTCTAGATGGTATGGAGGGCAGCAGTAGAAACAACAAACCCAATAATCTGAGCCCTCTGGAAACTAGTCATGGAATGGAAATCGCACAATTGTTGCTGTCTCTGTTGCATTCTTGGGGCTTGGACAACGACCTCGACAGGGTGTGCCAAGTCAAATTGGGATTACTCAGGCCTATGGTAAATTTTCAAGATAATCACTACACTATACAGTTCATTTTAAATGCACGAATTCAGTGAAACACGGAAAATAGTAATTTGGTGTCAGGTGTGGGATCAATTTTTTTATAGAAAAAAAATCTGTCCAAACAGGTTCCAGTGTCTTTTGGCGTCCTTTCTAAAGCCAATCACATGTCTCTCTTCCTGCCGACATGGCACAACACTATTCCAGTAGACGACGAACCCCTGCCTGCAGACTTGTCTCTCACCAATAGCCTTCCTGCGGAGTTGGTGCGACAAGAACAGGTCACCAGGATATTCTCCTCTCACGCCCACTGGGAGTTGAGTACGACGTTGACTAGGTAAGTTAATCAAGGAAACAATTCACTTATCATAATCCTCTGATAGCACCTTCACAAAGATTAAAAAAAGCTTATCATACACAATAATTCGAAAATCAATTTGGCGTTCGGAAATTTTTTGTTTAACGACCTTTGTCCAGTATCTTTTCTGAGGGATCAAATACTCATATATGTAAAAATCTTGATTTTGTGGAATGTTGTCGATGAGCAACACGACATGTTGTTCTCCTTCCACAGTTTCACTGTTAGGTAAACTATTTCGTTGTGTTTTATACTCACCGAGACAGAGGCAGATGTGATTTTTGCTTTTAGATCGGTTTTAAAGCCCATGAAACGCAATATTTCCTTTGTCCTCACCTTTGGAGAAAGTATTCTGCTGTGTTTTATCCCTATTGAGACACGCAGAAGTAGTTTTCGCTTTTGTATCGGCGTTAAAGTGTGTACCATGACACCATAAAATATACCTGTGTAATACTTGTATGACCCTATAATATAATAGTTTGGTACTTGTATTACATAAGATTTATTGTTTATTGAAAAACTAGCTTCCAGTCAGAAATAAAATTTTGGTATGAGGAAGTTGATTGCAAACAACAATAATAAAATAATATAAGGTGACAACAACAACAACAACAAAATCTAAAAAATCTAAAAATGCTAAATCGATCAAGTCATATAAATATAAAAATGGAAGGATTGCAATACTAATTCAATTCTAATATCAATCTTCATTTCATTATCATGTATCATATAACCATGCAAATACTACATACACTATTAATAGATTCACGTAAAAAAATTATCAAAATGATTGGTTTTACTGAAACTTTGAATACTCATAACGAAATAATAAAAGCAAGTTCGCAATCTAGTTGGCAATGACTGACTGCTAGAATTGTGCTTGACAAATTGTGGTTTTTGCCCGGTCATCAGATTTGCATTGCTGGATCCAGTCGCCGAGAAGGTGATGAAATCATCAGTGGCGGATTCTCGGACGCTAACATATCAATATTTATTTCATTATCATATATTATATAACCATACAAGTACAGTTCACTATCTATCGAGCATCGAATATATTGGTCCTTCGAGCCGGATCTATTCAAATCGAACATTCAAGACTGCCAATTGTATCGCATTCCAGCAACCACCTGTTGGCGATCATCGCGTTGAGTCACACGCTGATGTCGATGAGCAACGCGACGTTCGTGCCGGAGCAGGAGCGAAACAGGAAGCTGCACCGACAGTCGACGCGTTCGAATTGGAGCAAGGAGCAGGACGAGGAGCACGAGGAGATGTACAACCAGCAGCAGGTACACATTTTTGTCTGTATAATATTTCTTTGCGTGTGAATGAACTTAGTGAAAACCTACGCACAACTTGCTAGCCCCTTTCAGAGTAGAATATGAAGCAGCAATTGCTATCATGACGTTTACTTGCATTTTAATTCCATTTTCAATACATCACACCACTGCTTCCTTGAAACATTTCACCATGAATTGATTTGATACATTTCTTGACGTTATAACGTACGTGCAAATAAATATACATTAGCTGAATATGTAACGAATATAATTTTACTGCTGGCTGCTTTCATCACTCAACAATTATGAAATTTTCAAGTGGTCTAGTACTGCAAACATTTTTATCGTAAAATTTTTTTGTGTTATGTTTCTTAAAATAAGAATGAGATGTCATCTTCGACAATAAAGTACAGTTTGATATGATTTCAGGCGCAGATTAAGCAGGGATGGTCGCTGCTAGCGACGCTGCACTGTGTCTTGCTCCCAGACAAGGTACGGAGGGTTGGGTTTGTCAGGGGTAATACCACAAGTGATTACATTTTTGGTTATAATTGCAAAAATAATTACCGATAATTGCTAGAGTTTATTTTCATATTTTGAAAATATTCGCGATAAGTTTGCTGATAGTAGGTCAGTGACGTATATTTTGAACTAAGTTATCTTTCTGTCAAGTTTATATACAAGTTTACAAAAGCTCGCATGTTGAAACATTTCAGTTATGAACATTTTCCGTACTTACACATACAGTTTAATGAATGTTTACACTTTAATGAAATAATGGTATGTGAAAATTACTGAAATTAACGCAATACAAAATCAAACAACTCTGTGTCAAATAAACTATTAATCAATAAGGGTGTCCCACAAGGCTCTGTTTTAGGACCTATACTATATTTACTTTATGTTCAAAATATCAGTGAAATTGGTCTAGCGTGTGAATATACCATGTATACAGATGATACAGTACTTTTATATGAAGGCAAGAATCCTTCAGATTTAGAAAATATGATAAATGAAGACTTGAAAATATTTGAAAAATGGCTCCAATCTTACCTTTTATCGATAAATACTAACAAAACAGAATATATGATTTTTCACCAAAAAAATAAACAAAAAATTCACCTCAACCTTAAAATAAAAAATGAACTCTTGAAACAAACTGACCAGATAAAATATCTTGGTATTTGGTTTGATGACAGGTTGAAGTGGGACAAACATATTGATGTTCTGACAAAAAAAATATCTCCAATTATTGGTGCATTGAGAAGATGTCCCAAACTTGATATTAAAATTGCAAACATGATTCTCTACTCTCATATACTGAGTCGTATCAACTATTTAATAAATGTTTGGGGATCTTGTTCAAAAAATAATTTCAATAAAATATCAACATTATATAGAAAATCGTTAAAAGTATTGTATCGTCTCCCATTTGATACACCAACCAATCAATTGTATGAAATAACAAATACGTATTCTTTAGATGAAATATATAGAATTGAAACTCTCAAAATATCATATAATATCATAAATAAAAAATTGAAGTCGAATATTATTTTGATACGGAATTCTGAAATTCATAATCATGAAACTAGACAATATAACTTGTTCCATCTTGACGCCGCTAGCTCCCTAATCGGACAAAAAAGATTCACTCATTCAGCCTTAACTGAAATCAATAAACTACCTGATAATATAAAAAATTGCAGAAATATAGGTATATTCAAAAATGAAGTAAAAAAACTGATTATTTCTCAGCGGACTGGATAAAATTAATCATGCCATTTTTTTTTTACAAATATTATTCTTTGTTTGCCAATTTACAGTTGTTGATATATTTTGAATGATGCTATGTTTACCTATAGGTATATAATTATGTACTTCCTTATACCAGAGCCTATTCTGTCTGGAAGTTATTTGTTCAATAAATAAATAAATAAATAAATAAATAAAAAGGTGTATCAGACCAAATCTAATCAGCATATTTCTCTACGGGTTCGGATGACTGTCTGTGATTTTTTTGGGACTTTTAGGATACTCAGAAGTTTTGTTTCCTGCCATGAATTAACCTCGAAAATCAATAATATCGAAACAATATTGATTTTTGATATTTTTCGAAAAAAAAAGAGTGATAACATAATATTTATTAGGTCATGGAACATGGTGGAAAGCATTTCAAAAGACCACAGGTTGAGATGATGGTGAAGAGGTGGCAGCACCACTGTGTGGAGGTTAGGGAGGCTGCACAGACCCTCCTTTTGGCAGAATTGTCAAGGTAACCAAGTTCTTCAATTTTCAATCAACTTATCTCGTTATTTCTATTTACGTGAATTCAAAATGTAGTATGATTTAGTGAAATTTGTTTTTGGTGTTAGGATGGGTCCTAGAGGTAGGAAACAACTAGTAGAGGGTTGGTCTCAGTATTTGCCGCAATTCACCCACATAGAAACCATCAATCAGCAAGTCAACTCGTCCGCCACACAGAATCATACTAATGGCAACTCTCCAAATACTCCTGATCCAGTGGTGAGTGGTAAAAATCAATAAAATGTACCAAACGTTTGAAAATTCCAGCTCTGCTTATAAATCACAAATTCTTAAATTCATGACGAATTTTTATACGAATGTAATTTTTCTAGGATGAAGAATTTGAGGAGGAAGAAGAGGAACAAATAAGAAAACCTTCCAGCCTGTCGGAATTGAAAAAGAAACAGTCGACTGCGGTGATAATATTGGGCGTTATAGGAGCCGAATTCGGTCAAGATATCACTGGGGCCGACAACAATAAAAAAAGAACAAGCGAAGAGAGAAGAAAAAGTTCTGTTGTTGAAGGTTTCGGTAAGGAATTATCAATTTCCAACGAAACATTGCTCAAACTTTCAACGGGAATTTGTGAGATCACACTAAGGAATTAAATTATTCAAAACAACACACAATTTTTTCCGTTTCCAATCAAACAGAAAACGAAAATTCCACGATTTTTTAAAATGTATTTTCTGTGATTTCTAGAATGGCTTGTCATGTCACTATTTTTTTAAAGGTCCGGGCAACAATAATTTAGCAAGACTGACTTCGATGGCGCTGTCTCATTTGCTTTTAGCGCCCTCCAACCCCAAATTGCCGGCACACATTCCATTGCGTAGGGCCGCCATAGATTTGATTGGTAGAGGCTTCACTGTGTGGGCCCCCTTCCTAGATATTAGCAAAGTATTGTTAGGTAAGATCATATTTTCTTTGACCAAGTTCCAGAAATTCTTCTTGTTCAAGAGATTTTGGATTAATTTCAACAAAACTTTGTAGAAATATCGCTTGTGAATCTCTTTCGGTGGTAAGAGATGATGGGCAAACACGAAATTTCATAGGGGTTCCCCAAGGGTCCTTACTGGGGCCTTGATTAATCCTGGTTTACGTAAATGATCTTTTTCAATTTTATCATAGAAAATTCTACTTCCTTCGCTTTGTTATTTTTTAATGAATAAAATTAGCGACTTTTTTAATTATTTATCTTCAATAATTTAAGACTATATTTTCTATTGTTGTTTTGTTCCTAGGTTTATTAGAATTATGTTCGGAAGCTGACAGGTTAGTCCCTAGTATGACCTATGGGTTACCGCTGACCCCTCAGGCAGATTCCTGCAGGACTGCCAGGCATGCGCTAACTCTGATAGCTACTGCTAGGTACGTGAACAAATGAATGATTCGATATTTAAATATAGTATCACCAACAAAAACATTGTCCTCCATCTTGCGTAGAAGTCCATAGTAGTCCACTGAAATTAGGATTTTCATACTAAAGGTTTCAGCGTGTTTTCGGGTATATATTGGTGTCCTTAATAGCTTCTCAACACACTCTAAAGATGCTGAAAAATGATTTTTCTGATTTGTCTTGGTAAATATTGATTTTACGACAAACATGACAAATATACCCATATACAACATGAAAGATGAAACAATTCTAAAACAAAAAAGTCCCATAACATTTTTTGTCCGAGTAATATTTTTCATGATAAACGCCGTTCAAGTTTTAGAAATATTAAAAATTTTGTATTAAATATGAAAAGAAAGTGATATCAAATCCTATTTTGAGAATTTTATGGGGAAGGATATTATGCAAATTTACTGTATTCCAAAGACCTGATGTGAAATTAAATTTGTTGCCACCCACTTTTGAAGCAGCACAACAGTACCTCTTCCATATCTACTATATATCAGATACAAAAATAGTTGGGCAACGAATTGAATCCTCTGGACTGGGGATGGGTATTGATGGACAACCTGCTGTGGCCGAAGACGACAACTCACCGTAGCATCTTCAGAGTGTTGCCAATTATTGAGCGTACACGCTATCGTAAGGGACTTTTGATGAGGTATTGAAGACACCAATATATACCTGAAAACACACTAAAACCATTTGTATGAATTATTCCTCAGTTTGGCATTATTTTCGACTAATTTCAGTGGACTATAACTGGAAGTTTGACTGTAGTGAAAGACTCCTAGTCATTTTCACAACAACTTATTGGGGGTGTCAAATTAAGGTACATGTTTCAATTCAGTTTGGATATATAACATTAATAATATTGTTGTGATAAGATGACAATAACTGCTGCTTTCTGATTATCAAGCTGTCAGGTTAGGTTAGGTACCATTAGTGCTATGATTTTAGGACGAATAGTTTATTTTTCACACTTTCACACAGAGAAAGACATGTTTAAAACTCTATCATCACCTTATGACAAAGGTCAGACTGAAGAGAAAAAATTATATTGATTTAACTGTGTCATAAAAATTGAACATACTCATTGTTGTAGAATAATATTAGTTCAAATTCCCATGGTATGAAAGTGAGGTTATGAAATAGAAGTAAAAAAAAATCATAATTACTATGTAACATGGAACTGACGTTGAGGAGCATCAAAAGTTCGCTTCCTCATAGCAAATAGAAAAACAGAGCAACAAAATTGACATGTGCTTAAAATATCTCTAACAAGTGGCGAAAGAGCGAAATCAGAGGGATGTACAGCCGTCTTCAGAAAACATATCGCACATGGACGATGATAGCATTCTTGATAACTCTGAAGACGACTTTACTGGAAGCGAAGAACTGAAAAATGTCATTCACTTCCACTTCTTCTCCATCCTCCTAGCGAGCAAAAGACCTTTTTGTTTTGAGGTTGAAATGCTCTTCTTCTCCATTTCTTCACATTTCCAGTATAACCAAGATTGAATTTTACATATTTTACATTGGAATCCTGAAAACAAAGACACAGAAGGGGAAAACATACTTTAGAAATTCACTAATTTTTCAATATTTTGACATTTCTCATTGTGAGGTAGTCTATGAAGGTGTCAAATGTCAAATGTGAATAAAATCGGCGTCATTAAGTATTGAAAATAAGAGCAAGAACAACTTCTTGGAATCTCCATTTCACAAACTAATTATAATTGACAAAAGAAAACAATGTTTTCGACAAATGATACCCAATTTGACAGTTACTGCTGCCAACAAATAGCACAAGATATCGTAAATTTGTTCATGTGAAATATGGTCCATTTGACTTTCCTAATGAATTGTTGTGGAAATGACTTTGAGGCCTTTGGAATAAGATTAATTGGATTTTTTGTGGTTTTAGACCTGCAGCTTTCGTTACCACGATGGCCAAAGAAGTAGCGAGGTATAACGCGATGCAGCAGAATGCGCAAACCTTGAACATCAACATGCACAACAACGTTCTACACAAGGCGAAACCGGAGATCCTGAGGGGCGTGGAATTGCTGATCGAAAAAATGCAAAACGAAATGGCCGAACTCCTAGTCGAAGTGAGTCGATAACAAAATCAACAAACATAAAATGAAGTGAAGTTTTGGAGAATGCCGCTAACTAATCCAATGCAAAATATACCCAAAATGCCACATTAATATATTGATAATATTGAGCCTAAATACGCATTTGAATACTTTCCAAACTATTTTTCTTCTTCATCATCATATGTTAGATGTTTGAGGAGTCTTTAATTATCTGACATGATAGAGTGATTGGTCTCAAGGATATGTTGGTCAACACTTGATGTTATATGAGATGAGCAAAATGTTCTTCAAATCTTGTGGCAAGACTTTGACGTGTTTGCCCAATATATTTCATCTTACAATCCATACAGTTCATCTCCTAGATACCCGATTTATCATTATTATCAATTTTACTCTCAAGGTTTGTCTAGAAGACTATGGATGATAGTTTTTTGCAGTAAAAGCTACGTTCAGACCTTGTGTTTCAAAAATACCATTCAAATTGTTTCACGATCCTTGTTTCACGATTTCATTCGATTATAGGCATAGACCAGATCAGACTTTTGAATGATGAAGAAAAAACGTGAATTTTCACTATGCATTTTGTATTTTATATTGTGTTTTTCAGTTGATGGATATAATTCTACACTGTTTGGATCCTAGTCAACTGAAGAATAAAGGATTACAGGAGGTTTTCCCTGCTGTGTGTAGATTTAATCAAGTATCTCATTGTCCAGCCACAAGAAGAATAGCCGGTAAGCAGATAGTTCCAATTAATATTTACTTATGTTGTGTGAGGCTCCAGTTTGTATTTTCAATTAAACATGGCAATGTGTTTCAAGTTGAAACACATTGATCCCACATCAATTGTCTGCAAGATCACACAGATGATTTCTTTCATCATATTCCTGAAGAATGATGTGATGTTTCGAAAAAAAATGAGTATTATAATTCTCCAATTGCTCTATATATCATTCATTATTGAGTAAACATAATTGGGTTTTCTTCTCTGAGAACACATGTCCATTGAAAGAACAATTGTATTGCTTTTCAAATAATAGTGCATAACTTATTTTTTTCAGTTGGGTCTCACACCGGTTCCCTACAGATGTACGAGCTCCGACAAGGGAAATGCGTGAGCATAAGGGCGCATTCCTCGGCTGTCACAGCCTTGGCCTTCAGTCCTGATGGCAAGTTCTTGGTCAGTTATGCTTGCGGTGACAATAAACTGAGCTTTTGGCAGACGAGCACAGGTAATGATTATTAACCTACTTACAGTAATATTCAATGATCATTGGTATTTTATTGAAAATACAGGGTGACATTGAAATAAGTGCAAATATTCCAGACACTGATAAAGCTCGACGTGAACTATCGAATGGCACTGATAAAAAAAATTAGGGATCAAAATAAAATTTGAGGTTAGACCACTTTTCTAACCAAAGTTCTACACTGTAGCAAATCTGACTTCACCTCTGTTCAAATTTCCATGCCGTAGGCTCGATCATCTAAATTGTTTTAGAGTGGCGTACTTGATTTTTTATCGTATTTTGTTCAATTTTCGGGGTGGAATTTCTCGTTAATTAGAAGAATTAGAACAAATCTGATATCATAGAAATATTCCTTAGACTGTATCATATTAATATGCTGAATATGTGCACTTATTTCAAACACCCCTTATATCTATTATTGTTATTCGTGGGCAGAACGACAATGTTTATTTATCAACTGTAATTCCACCCTTTTTTATTACTAACTTATCATTACTATTTATTTTTGATTCATTACGTGTAAATAAATAATTATTTCATCAAATACCTAAAACCGACCGTACGCGATGAAATCTAATACAATACTGCGTGGCTGCTGTTGCCTGATGTCTGTTTCACCATCTCAATGACTTATCAGTTACGTCACCTCTGACTAATGACATCAAGAATATGGTATAACTAAATCATGCAAGTCGTCCACATTTTTGTGTAGTATTGTGGTACATATCCGCAAAAATAATAATTTCACCGGCAATATCAATATCAGATCATTAACATATTAGAGAAATAGCATGGAACCAAGTACAGAATCTAGGTGAAATTTGCAAACAATGTTTTTTATATGAAACAGTTGAAGAGCTGAACAAAAATATCTTCAAAAGCCAAGTGTAGTTTTCATTATCCTCCAAAGGCTATTATAGCTTTGGGGAATTTATGTCAGACTGCGATGTAGAGTCTATTTGATGACGTACAGCTAAATTTTACATGTTTTTGTACCTCTGATGATGTAATATTTTATCTATAATATCACTATTTGTAATTGATGTATTTGTTTTTTGTATGTTCTATACAACCCGACTTGTCTTATACATTCTGTGAATGTCTGAATGGATCAATAAAATAATTATTTATTTATATTTGAGCAAGTTGATTTCTTCATGATCTGATCGTGTAGAGGTCTACAATGTTTTCAAGGATTTTATAAGAAGTTGTTTCACTATCTTTTATCCCTATATCCACTGAACTCTGAACTTGACTTTGACTCCGATTCTCCCATGTAGGCATGTTCGGCCTGGGCCAATCGCAAACGAAGAACATCAAGTCGTACAGCACGGCGCCGATAGCCGACGTGGCCCGACTGAACCCGATGCGGCTCGCCCGCCTCATCTGGATCAACAACCGCACCGTCTCCCTGATGCTGGCCGACGGGTCCGAAACGCGGTTCAACGTGTAGAGGGAGAGATGAAGAGCGCCGTCTGGCGGGGAAAAGAAGCGGTTTTTTTCGTTCGTTGTAAGAGAGGGTTTCGATGTGTCGCGATGAGTTTGTTTTGTTCAGCGGTCAGGGTTGTCATTGAGGTTTCAGTTATGGGTTCATACAGGAGAAGGGGCATAACGTAGGGAATTTTATGGTAGAATAGGCAAGTGAACTATTTCTATTTCATTTTCTAAATAAAATCGTCACTATCATATTTCGCTTCCACATTTTTTTAGTTTTTTTCGGTCGATTTCAAGTTGTTAAAGTCATCAATATGGCCACGGTAATTTTCAAACGGCAAGAAATTTACAGCAAATAAAAACTGACGTCACGATTTCCTAATTAGGGGCAGACCATAGCGCCGTTGCCATATTTTGAAATATGAATGGTCCTTCAGAAATATCATTTATTCGATAATTCGTAAATTTTCAATTAGCTAAAAAAATCCATTGTCTTTTTCCCTTATATGTTGTGTCTTATTACTTATCATGAATTCGTGTCAATAATAATTATGTTAATTCACACCAGAGAACATTTGGCCCGGTAAACGTGACAACACAGGATTATGGGCGTTGTCTTGTCAGTTCTCAACATCCAGCACAGCATTGACAGCATTCACATGATGTTTTGTAATGGAATATAAGAAATATTTTGACAAGCTGGTTGATCGAAAATTAATGACTATAATATGGCTTCCGATCCCTCTCTTCTCTATGATGAAATGACGAAATAAACTGTGGCTTCGTACCATGATCGGCAGGGCTACCCCGTATTATTCTTCTTACATCATTCACCGAAAGTATTTGAAAAAATCTTTTTCTACAAACGTCAAAAAATGACAAGGTTCGCGCATTGATAACAAATTGCGAATGATTCCCTGCACAAAACAACGCGCGAAGTAAAACAGTGCGCGAAGTAGCTACTTCGCGCATTGTTATGTAAAATATATGAGATATTTATATTTCAACTTTATGGTCCTCAATCGAGCAAACATCCACGAAATCATTTATTTCTGAATGTTCAACAATAACTTTCTTTCAGCTCTTGGAGCGCACGAAAGGAAATTCCTATTATGCTCGTGGAACATGGTTCGTACCTAGGAAGGATAGGGGGAGGCCTTTTAAGCCAGTTCAACACTATTTTTTATATCAAGCTGAGCATATTTTTACTTTAGAGCCAGATTTTTTGACGTCTGTAGAAAAAATGTTGTTTGCAACTCCAGCGCGAAATACTTTGGTCATCTCGACTATTTTTTTAACTCGGCTACGCCTCGATAAAAAAATCAGATCTTGATCACCAAAGTAGCATTTCGCGCCCTAGATACAAAAATAACTATTGCATCAGATATTCCAGTTTTTTGTTCGTGAAGGAATCAATTTCGAATGAAAAGCGGGGGAAGAGAAATGACCATTTGAAATTTATAATTACCCATTGGAAATGAGGAATTTAATTTTTTTGCTTTGAAGCATACTTCCTCTCTGCACTCGAAATATATCATCCAAACTCAAAAGAATCGAACAATTCACTGAAAATTTTTGGTATACGGTGGACGGAAAATATAGGAAACATTATTGGCAAACATGTCACTGATGAGATAGTCTGAACAGTGGCTCGTTTGGTAAGAAATATTCATATACGTCAAGGACTTTCAGCTCGAGACGATTTTGGAAATTCATCTCCAATTGCCATAGGGTTAGAATTTGAAATAACTAATAATGAAACTGACTTCTGTTCGAAAGATTGCATAAGAGGTGATCATTTTATCAAAATACAATTATATCGAGAAATATCCATGAAGATTACCGTGATAAACACACATTCAAATGGCACCCGTGCTGAAGTTTCCCGTATATAGAGAAATGTATGTGTAGTGTTGACTTCAGAATTAATTAGATTATGTTCCTGAACTTTCTCAAATGAAATCAAAATTCTTTGTGATATCAAAATAAATGAAGTAATTGAATTAAATGATTCAACGTTGTTCAAGAAAACTACAGATAGCTGTTGAAATTATGCGAAAATGCCCGAAAATGTGAACAAAATCATAACTGAAATCTCAATGCTAATTTTGAAAATCGGAAGATGACAATAATTTGAAAACCGACTATCATTGAAGAATATTAAAAATCTCGAAAATTTATTATATAGCATACCTGGCCTAGCCTAGATGCACCCGAACTTAGCTAGCAAATGTTTTTTTCCAGATTAACCTCAAGTTCCCATAGCAGCCTTCATTATTAAGCTGTGAAAATTTATTGAGTAATCGATAATTGATTCAGTCTAAAGAACACTAGTCAACGAGTCCCTAAAGTTTCTTTTTTGTTATGTAGAATCGCATTTATTCAGGTGGGTTATCGGTTCAATAATTTTCAATTGATCATTGAAGGGTTGAATCGGAAAACAACAGCAAAAAATAATAATTGTGGGTAGAGCCAAGCTCGCAAATTCACTCATACATCAATTTCATTTCAGCCTTCGAATAACTTGATACAATAATAATGACTTAACCGATTTTTATTGTTGTTGATAAACATCAAAAATTTAATTCTAACGATAAGGCTCATCTCAGGAATATTAGACATACCTAAATGGGGTGTTCTTCAAATCGTGTACCTAGGTTCTAACGTGTCTATCCAATGTGCATTGTATCAAATTACTGTGCCTATCCAGTGCAAAAAACCTGTTTATCAATGGCAATAGTAATTATAATTTATTCGACTCTGTTCACTAACCCAGTCTCCAAATCTACACTTCATCTGTCCAATATTTACTTGTCCTCACTTTACAGAAGAACTTCATTTTTACGAGTATTTCTAGTCAGTCAATGTAGGTTTTAGTGTTCATTTATTCCTTCTGGATAAAGTTTTCCATAAAATCATCCTGGATACATTTTTTTCCGAAATAGTAGAAGAATACCCAAAAATCACAGTAATTAGAGAATTTTGAATCATTATTTCGGCAATTAGATTGTCATTTTGGTGCTTTTCAGTTCTGCAGAAGATCTATCACGTATTGACCGAAATACTTATCCAGACATTTATTATAAATATTGTGTTCTTGGGTATTATCATTTCTTGTGCTGTTGATAACTTTGAATAGATGCGATACATATTTTCGTTTAAATGCAGATTTTTTTCTGAAGATTCGACAACTATAAAAGTGTGTTGCAGATATTGAAAATGATGTAATTCAAGTTTTGGAGGTTTATCAGTAGTGTTGAACAATATAGACCACTATTATTATTTATGATATGACTGAATAATTCAGTGGAATGAAGAAAAGGTATATTGCACTATATTACACGTAACTTAGTATACAGGCTGATTCACGGTGGATGGCATATTGGACGTTTCTGGAGAACGCAACGTAGGATTATACTGAAAATTTGGATAATTAGTTGTGCTCCATCGACCTAAAATATTCTCAGCGCTGCGACATTGCCGCTTATATTGAGAAGTAGCAACAACTTTGATTCTTCAATTAGGACACCCTGTATATTATTCCATTTTCAGATTCTTCCCGAAGATCTGATATCATCGACCTATCACACTTGGGGTCTAGCAGTGACAATTACAGAGATATAGGGTGTGGAAAATCGAGATCTTTCAACTTTGAAATTTTTTTGTGTCAAAACTATTAATAATTGGTCAAAACGATTTTCATGTCCCTATCTCAATTTTTCATTTACTATCAATTAATATTTAATTGAAATAGGTACAGGGTGGTTCAGAATTGAGATTTTCAACAACCCTGTATCAATTTCATTTAAATATCAATTGATAGTACATGAAAAGTTGAGATAGGGACATAGAAACCGTTTTGACTAATTATGAATTACCATCTGAGTCAATCCATCTTGCAGTGGAGTGCAGGAAGAAAATCTTACAGTCAACTCCACCAAAACTATACTTTATTTAAATTGGAAATTGGGACATGTTTCGAAGCTTCAAAGCTTCATCATCAGCAATATTGTTACAGGAAGTACTACAATAAGAAAGCCAAAAACCTCGTCAGGCAAAGTATTCAAATAATGAAAGTTAAAGAATCCTCACCTGTTCTGGGGAAAATTCACATGTTGAAAACAAAAATTATGGTTTACATATTATTACAAATTGAAAAGTGAAACATTTAATAAAACAGGGACCGCATTAGTATACTAATTTTTTGACGAAGGTGATCCGCAGTTAATTGCGGTCCCTGTTTTGTTGAATGTTTCACTTTTCAATTTTTGTTTTCAACATGTGAATTTTCCCCAGAACAGGTGAGGATTCTTCAAACTTTCATTACTTTGCCTGACGAGGTTTTTGTCTTTCTTATTGTAGTACTTCCTGTAACAATATTGCTGATGATGAAGCTTTGAAGCTTCGAAACATGTCCCAATTTCCAATTTAAATAAAGTATAGTTTTGGTGGAGTTGACTGTAAGAGTTTCTTCCTGCCCTAATTATGAATAGTTTCGACACAAGACATTTTTGAAGTTGAAAAATCTCGATTTTTCATACCCTATATCTTTGTTATCATTCCCGCTAGACCCCAAGTGTGATAGATCGATGAAATCAGCTCTTTAGGAAGAATCTGAAAATGGAATAATATATAGGGTGTCTCATTGAAAAAATGAAAGATATTATTACTTTTCAATATAAGCGGAAACGCCGCAGTGTTGAGAATATTTTACGTCGATAGAACTAATTATCCAAGAAACAAAATTTGCAGTATAATCCTACGTTGCGTTCTCCAGAAACGTCATCCACCGTGAATCAGCCAGTATAATTTCATAATTTATCAAAACAAATGTCTATAAAGATGTATATAAATGTTATTTATTTTTAAATTCGTTAGATTTACTGTAAGATTATGATTATACGTTTTCTCCTACTATAGCAATTGTAGGTAGAGCCACAGATTAATGTGGTAAAGCATTGTTGATTGATCAAGAAGGAAATGATAGTTTTTGTCTATTTTTTTCTGAATAATTTCTTGTTACAGTTTCAAATCACTCGATCTCTGATTCATAGGATCCGGGAAAATGAGAAAAATCTCTCGGATTCAAGTGGAACCTAAATAAATACAATTACAAGGTCTTATGGAATTCTTCCTACAATGAATTATGTTATTTTTTTAGGTTAAGCCGAGAGATTCGCCACATGTTCCCGAACACCCTGTATATTTGTCCGTTTATGAAAGTTCACTGTGTAATCGATATTTGTGATACAAACTCTTCGATTTTCCAAAAGTTTCCAAACTCTACTTTATTGTGATTCGATATTTTGCATAATTATCATTATTATGTGAAATATTTAGGTGTCCTTTCCTCTTTCACTAAATCAATATTCTCCTTTAGTATTAAAATTCACTTAATACAAACACATGGAGAAAAGTTCAAGTATATATTGCATAACTGTTCGTGTGATGTTTTTTTGCAAACTCCAATTTCATAATCTCTTCTCGATTTTCCCTTACTTATTTCCGTGTGTTTGTAGCACAGGAAGATGGAAATAATATACTGAGCATTTTATTTTCCTCCTCCTGTGTATGTTGATTCACCTATATCTCAGATATTTTTGAAGAAATTGAACCATATTTTTCTCACTTATTCCTCCTAATCCTAAGAATTTGTAGAAAATGTACGTCTTTGAAATAATTCCACCCCTATTTTTGTTCTGATACACCCTAGTTTGACTGTGAAAAAGAAAATAGAGACTAGAACTGATTAACTCCTGAATAAATTCATCTTTCCCAACTTACTTGAATTGATAAAGTAAAATAAATAAAGATTGTATATTGATAATCACTAAAAATAATTCATCTGATGTAAACATTTGTGGTAAAGCTGAATGGATTTTTGAAATAAGTGCGTTGAAAATATGGTCCTTAATGTTATGTAAATATGTAAGACAATTTTTAGCAATATATAATATAAATATATAATATATAATATATATGTTTTATGTCAATATATATTATCCGAAATTTACTCATCTGAATTATTTCAGCAACATTTGAGGAGCCAGCCAGGAGGTATATCGAATGTGAAGACTGATTTCAATTTTAAACAAAATAGAGTTAGTGAGAGGTTCAAAATACAAGTGAAAACCCTGTACACCTGTAAAGTCTGTTGCTTCATAATTGGAACACCAGTATGGATGAAACAGCATGATTTTTCAAGGTACTTACCATTTTCATTTTTTTTTCCAGCTACCTGCCACAGAGTTTTAATAATGACAGTGAAAAAGTTTCATAAAACTATTGGGTGTGTAGACCAAAATGAGAAAATCGTTAATTAAAGAGACCATTTCTGCAGCAAATCTTACCAATATTCATCACACTCTGAAAACAATACAATTTCGATCATTGCCCCAGAATTTCACTAGCTAGAAAAACCGTGCAATCCCCAGTGATTCTACTTTGAAGTGTGTAGCTTCAAATTTGAGACTATGAATAATATGTCATGATTCTCAAGAATGCTCAAGATACTTGTCATATCCCATTTATTTTTCCAAATTCATTAGTGTCATTCATCAACATGACACAAAAATTTGGGTTATAATGATAAAAAAAAAGTGTATTAGATGAAGGGACTATTTCTGCAGCAAAACTTATCAACATTTATCACAGTCTGAACAGTACAATTTTGTTCATTGCCCCAGAATTCCAGTAGCGAGATAATCTTGCAATCCCTACTTCACAAAACGAAAAACCAAAATCGAAACAACAATGTACAAAACCCCGCGAGCACTTTTCATCAGTCCCGAAAGTCATTCTTCTCATTTTTTCCATGTAAAACAGCAGTCCCCAAATCTCTGACCGACTGCCATAGGGCCCTGACGATGTTGTGTTTTTCAAAAAAGTGTCATTTGGATTTGACATCTACAAAAACAATATCTGTATACCTCTGTATACCCTTGAAGTTTCTAGCTTCAAATTTGAGAATTTCAGGATTCTTGTCATTTCCCATTAATTTTTTTAAAATAACCGTGTCATTTATCAAAATGAAACTAACTTTTGGGTTAAAATAATAAGATAATAATAAAAAAAACGTTTATTAAATGAAGACACAATTTCTGCAGCAAAACTTATCAACATTTATCACAGTCTAAACAGTACAATTTCGTTCATTGCCCCAGAATTTGAGTAGCAGAAAACCTTGCAACCCCTACTTGAAAAAACGAAAAACCAAAACCGAAACAACAATGTACAAAACCCCGCGAGCACTTTTCACCACCCCCGTACCAGAGTTTCCATCATCCCCCGCGTTTCTCCCATGTAAAACAGCATTCTCCAAATCTCTGAGCGACTGCCAAATAGCTTTGTCAATATACCTCATTAATGGAAAATTGACGAAATCTTCGCCGGCAGAGCAGTCCCCCAAGAAATCGTCGGTGTCGATGGACCACACCATGGCCCCCGCCAGGCCCTTTTCCATTGCAAACTGTACCTTTTCGGCTATCGACTGCTCGTCATCGTAGGCTATGACGTTTTTACCGGAAACCGCGAACGGAGTTCGTGATTCGTTGTCCCAGAACTTCGACCAGTTGGAAGACTTGTTTTTCAGTTCCAGGCAGATCTAGAAATGAATAAAAACATTGCAATATTTTTCATATTTTTGGCGCCCAACGTGAGACCATAAAATATCTTACATCCATCAGAAAGTATTTGAAATTCAAATCATCTTATATCGAAGTATCGTACTCATTGGTTCTTAAAAATGTGAACATTAAGTTGCTAGATTCAATCAAATATTAAATTATTATTATTAAAAGAAAAAGTTTCATCTTTTTGGCGCCCAACGTCGGGTTGATACACGATAGACAATTTGTTTACCTCGTTATAACCCATGAAACCGCTTTCTCTCGTGAAGGGGCCTTGAAAACCGACATTCTCCGCTAGAGCTCCGAGTCTTGGTTTCCTTTTAGGCGAATGCGGTAGGGCTTCTTGTAGTTTGAAAGTTCTACCATACAGAGGCAGTCCCAGAACCAGTTTGCTCGGCGGAGCGCCAAGTTTTATCATGTAATTTATCGTATACTCCTGGAAAACAAAAGATGATGATTGAAATGGTTTCGGAACAGTGGAACATACTTGGAAAATTTCGAAAAGAAAATTCTTAGAAAATCATTCACAATGTCTGCAATCTCCGCTAATGATGATATTGTTCAAGTTACAAAGGGGAAACATGTTTCGGGTTCATAAAGAGCCCATCATCAGCTCATAGAAGAATTGTAGTGTCATGTAGTTCTTAAGACAGAAGAGTTAGATTCAGAATTATATTAAATAATTAGAATGATGTGAATTGCGACTTCCAAATGTGAAAAGTCCTGCGAGAAAAACCGACCGGAAATGAAACTTGTCATTTTTTCACTTTGTGTCAAATTATGTCAAAATTGAAATTGAAATACAAATTTCTACCAAAGCATCGTAATGATAGGTAAACAATTCGATTCGAAAATATCAAAATCAGACAAGTGGGTTCAGAAGGAGCAAAATTCGAAATCTTTGTAGCCTTTTTTTGTGGCAGTCTTGAACTTTCCTAGACACGAGTCAGAAAAGCCAAAAATTTCGACTATGTCAGTCATAACAATGTACATTGTCTCATAAGTCATGGACCAAAAGCAGTGGGGTGCTAGGGGGGAGACGTTTAAGAGGTTATCCAATTGTTGATGGTTCAAGTAATTTTTTTTCATTTCTAGAAAAAATTAATCTCAAAATGTTGTTTTCCTCAAGTTTTGTCATTGAATGAAATATTTCAGTTGACTTTTTGATGTCGCTGGCAGATTTGAAAACTACCCTACAAAGATAACCAATTATAAGAAAAATTGCCCATTTTCCGAAATGGTATAACTTATGGAGTTATTCAAAACAGCCTTTTTGTAATTATTCATTTTCGAATGGCCGCGTTGTTCAGAAAAAATTAATAACTGTTGAACCATCAACAATTTGATAACATATACCGTTAGTTTGATTGCTGATTTGACCTCCCCCCACCACATCATTTCTTTTGATCCATGACTTATGGGACACCCTGTACCAATAAATTAATAAATAAATAACTAAGTAAATCAATAAATAAAATAAATTAATAAATATATATCAATGTGAACGTCGATATGGATTATTTTTATATTTTTGGCGCCCATCAACGTGTTGTATCCGAAACGATTTCACAGATGAGATCTAAAAGTATATGAAAGTCGCAAAAACATCTTCACGTATAGGTATGATAAAAGTACAGTACTTTCCCAAAAAGTAAAGTTACCTACACGCGACATCATAAACTATGTAAGGTTAAATACTTCAAAGAATTTCGTTTGATATGATAGTGATAGTGTTAATAAAATTTGTGAGATTGTATCTCGTTTCGAACTACAGATATGGTTTATTGTTGAAAACATCAAAAGTCAGAGCCTATGGTAAAATCAAAAAACCTACGAAACTATTTTCGTAGGGGCCTTTGTGATTGTTTTTTCTTTCGTACTCTCAGTTATATTCACTCACCACGCTGAGTATATCGGTGCTTCTCAAAGGTGCGTTAGCACCTGTTTTCCTGTCCCAAGCGCCATGATAGTCGTAGCACATCATGTGAATGAAGTCCAGAAATATCGATAGGCCTTCCACGTCGTACGCCACATCGATGGTGTCTTTTCCAGCGCCGAAGGCCGCCGTGAGCAGCAAATTGTGCTTCCTGAAAGCCGCTTTCAGTTCCTGAAATACGGAAAACGGTCGGCTGAAATATATCTGGGCCTACTCTATCTCTATAAGAAAAAACAATAAGAGTCCCAAAGTCTGTCGACCACGAAAAATTATTCAATATAAGTAGTGTAACTAGTTTCGGCCAAAGGCCATCATCAGACACAAAATTGATGTATACAAAGTACCGTAAAGATAACTATGAACATTGTTAAGGAGTCGAAAAGGGTCAAAGAGTTTATATACTAACCTCAGTAATACATATTAACAGCAAAAATTTACTCAAAAAGCCGAGGTCAAAATTCAAAATATCGGTCCTGAATTTTTAACAATGTTTATAATTATCTTTGAGGTACTCGTATACACCAATTTTGTGTCTGATGAAGGCCTGTGGCCGAAACTAGTTTCACTACTTATATTAAAAATCAATTGGACCACTAAGATGATATAGGATCTTTATTTTCCTAGAAAAAATATTGTATAGAAATAGTCAGAATACACTTAATCTAGGTAAATAATAGAAAATTCAAGATTCAAAATTCAATGCATACAATAATTTAATTATACTGGAGAAATAACAAACAAGACAGTGCAGTTTCAGGGCAAAGTCTCTTCAACACTCTTGCTCTACTATTATAAAGTTACGAGATTTCGTATTGTTGGTGTTAAATAATGTGAATAAAATCGGCGCCATTGTTAAAAACATTGTATTTCTATTTTCTATAGGCTCAAAAACTATTGAATTGTTAATGTTAATTGAAAAACAAAAAATGTCTGACCCTTTCCGAGTGGAATATGGCCAATTCGACAAGGTTTATAGCCACTGGATCGCGATAAAACGTGAAAAAATATTTATGAAACTTCCGATATATTTGAGTGATTGGTTCCTTTGAAAAACTCACCTTCACTAGCAACATGAAGTTCACTTTATCTTCAGTGGTTCCTCCTCTCTTTCCAGGAAACTCCCAATCCAAATCGAGTCCGTCGAATTTATATTTCCTAAGAGTACATGGTGAACCATTGAAAAAATCAAATACCAGTATACAGGGTTGAGGGTGATTCACAATATATGTGCAGGACTTCATGGTATGATAAAAATATAAAAAAAAGTTTATATTAACTAACCCCACTTTGTGATACATAGTTCAATAGAGAATTTGAAGACGAATAAAGCATGCTAAAAAAAATAGAGAGTTACATTCGAGGGTCACTCCGGGGTCACTTCCGGTCAAATAGGTGGTTGAAAAAAAAATTGTCGTTAGGTTCATAAAGAGCGCTATTATTAATTGTTGTTGCTCACTCGGTATACCAATAATAGTATGAATAAAAAATACTGCTATGTCCATAATAAGATTCCCATCATTATTCAACCCTTACCATCTAAATATTGTAGGATTGTTAACTATACAGGGTCATTCCGAATATTTTAACAACTTCTACATGATTCGTAATTGAATTCAAGTTGAAGGTTTTGTTCTGAACCTCCAGAAACTTCGTTATTTTTAATGTAACACCCTATATATTTTTCGAAAAAAAAAGGGAATTGGATTTAAAAAAGAGCCCTGTTTTTGGAATTTGGAAGTCATAATAGTGAAATTCAGTTCAAAGTTATGATAATTGAAACTTCATACTATGGGCTTATATCACATAAATTTCATAATTCGATAGAACTCACCAAAATGAGCTCACCACCGCAAACCGTTTCATGCTGTGAGCTCCCAACGTTTTGTAAAAAATTATTGAAATCCCCGATTTTTCGGACCTCTGAAAACGAGGCGATGATGTGACGTCAAAACCCTAAGAGTGAAACAAGACTATTCCAGACAGAGATGAATGATAAAAGATTTCTGACAGAGTGAATTAGCGCGAGATCACAGTTGAAAGAATTAATATATCAGTTGCCTCAGTCTCCGTCGGGCGTTTCGAATTTTCTTTCAACTATGGCGAGATGAGGTTTCTACATCATAAGAGGGTCCGTTTTCAGAAGGTGCTATTATTTATGTCCAAAAATAAAACATTCCAGTTAATTTTTCGATCGAATTATGTCGTCAATCATTATTTATATATTATTTTTTATTATATTTGAGTTGAAAGTTCTACTAAGGTGAACACGCCAATTGAACAATTTCATATTCTGTTTAAAGAGTCTATATTCTCAATGCTGATTTGCGAATCAGAATTGAGACTTAAAACGTTGTTGTTCAAATAATACAAGCTCTGTAGATAGGTATATGTACCTGATGAAATCAAGTGAATTTGCCACAAAACGACTCCTCCTTTTGGGATCTGCTGCCAGCATGGAATAATTTGAAGATCCCTCGTTCCAACCCCCAATAGCTAGGGATACTTTGAGATGCGGGTATTTATTTTTCAATGCTGTAATTCTCTGATAGCCACCTTTTCCATAATCCTCCGTCAAGTCTTGCCATGGATCTACAACAATTCACAAAAGATATGCCAAGTGATTTAGTTTGACAAGTCCTACACCAACTTTTTTATTTGAATATGAAAGCATACAAGTTACTACCTAATTTTTTTCATCAAATTGCAGAGTGCAATTTTGTTACAAATAGCCATCGCCAAATTTAAAAAAATATTACTAAGGACAGTGAGACAGTAAAATAATAATGGGAATTTGATAATTTACTTATCAATTTATTTACCTAGAGCTCTCATGGAATCTTCTTTGACGTTCAGACCGGCAAAAGAGTATATCAAATGTGTACAGAGTGTTGGATCTACGTGTTCTATAGCAAAAGAACCCCTATCTGGCCTGTACACAGCCCAGCTTCCCAGGTAGCAAACAACAACTTTTCCGTGTGTAGGTCCTGAAAACAACAGGGCATTGTAATTTCCTGAATACATTAAACTAAACAGAAAATTGCAATTGAAAGAAATTGAGTTGAGAAATGATGGATACTGCAAATATTCCAGAAGTTATGACATGTCTAAAAGATTTGTCAACACCCCGTATACTGTTAACCTAAATAATTTTTTTTCACGTTACTGAAACTGGATTTCTGGGTTTCAGATGTGCCAAAATTTATTATCGAGGCATCTGTTTTTTTTTCGTAAAAAAATCCAAATGTTTTTGTCATTTTTCGGATATTTTTTGCTATCGTAGTAGGTTATGGAAAAAGTGAATTTTAAAATAATGCAAACCAGGACGCATAGTCAATTTGAAAGCGAAAATATTAAAAAATCTGCAGAGAGCCGTTAGCCGTTATACAATAATGAATTATCGCCATATAAAGTGAAACACACTGTATATGGAAAAAATTGGCAATCATTTTGTATCAGGTAACAGGATATTTACTTTTGTGGTTTATTTGATAAATAAATTAAACAAATATTAAATATTTTTCCATTCGAATAATGGTTTAGTATATGGTATGAAATAATAATTATCTAAAGTTTTTAAGGTTTCTCATATTTATTGAAAGCATTTTTAACTTCCACAAGAAGTACCTATGTAAATTAAAGAGATTTTTGAAAGTAACAGGCATGATATAATGTAGGTACGCTTTTGGTGATTATTTATGGTTATGGCATTAAATTTAATAGACACATCATGGGAAAGCTAAATTAGCTGTCTATGGGTACTTAGGTAATTAGATTTAGACATAGACGAATGAGGTGTTTGGTTATCATCTTGAGTCGTCTATATGAAACTTATTAAAACTCTAAAAGTAAAACCTGAATCACTCAAGGTTATATACATTTCGGCGTCATTCTAAATAACTAATATGTATAATTATTATGATGCTCCGAATGAGAAAATAAAATCGAATAATTGGTTTGATATCAGGGTAATAAAATAATATTTCCAAAATGTTACCATATCCATACCCTCTGCTTACTTAATGACGATATGTTTATATGACATTTATAGTGATTCATTTGTTACTTTTTGTTTATTTACAATTTTTTGTTTATCTCTGGTGAGACTTTTTAAAACAAAAAACGAGGAATGAAATGGTAATAGGCGGTTTGATCCTGCTTTACCTATATCGGACCAAAAAGAGTGGAGGTACAAATAAAACATTTCCTAGGTATCGATTGCGGGAAACTATTATAATTTGATTATTGTGAAGCTTTGAACAATTACATAACTAGCGGTTTTCTATAATTAGTATTGATATTATCATTTATCTCTATTTGATATAATTAGGGTTTTTACTTTCTTTTTTCAATAAGATCATAATCCATAACTTTTTTCACATGATTGAACGAACATTATTTTAGGCAGTGCCGTGCGTTTTTTATAAGATTTAAAAGGAGTTGATTTTTCTCAAAACCACATTATAGGAATTTTTACGGGGAAAACTTGATTTTATCATTTATCGTCATCCGAAAAATATACAGTGCAGAAGTATAAAATTCACTAGGTACGTTTGCATGATTGTTTGAAATTGTGTTCTCCTAAACGAAACATATTTTAAAAAATCATCAGGGATGAAATATTCACAGAATAATCCAAGGACCAACACCTTGGCTCTTTGCCGAATGTTTAATGCTTTTCATTATTGAATTCAAGCACACAATATACCCAAACTACCACAAGAAAAGCTTAATTACGTATTTCGGCAACTAAGTTGCCATCCTCAGTGGAACTGAGAAGAAAATGATGATTAGCTGACTTTATAGTAGGTATATATCTTTCGAGGTATTCTTTAGAAATTACCAGCGAGAGAGTTATATTAATTTTGGAATTGAAAATTTGACAGGTCAACGATTTCCTCTATTATGAAAATGGGAGGGCTATGAATAACAATTTTATTTACAGATTTTCTTCATTATTTCGATATCATTGAAAGGTCCCAGCAAACATCGAAAGGCGGTAGAAAGCCGGGCCCATGGCGAGAACGGCGGGCAAATGTCGATGCCGGCATGCCTCGAAAGGCCCTCCATATAATTTCGAAGGATTATATGACGGAGGCAGAATGTACACATACTTATGATGGGCCTCTGTTTCCCAGCCGCTAGTTTTCCGCTGTATGTATCCAAGTCCAAGGGCCATCAAAATTTCAACGGAGTGTGCCGTCATCACTCACTCAACGTTGGCATCCCTCGCTCGCGTGAGTTTTTATTTCGATCATTTTGCAGTGGTAACAATGATTCAGTATGGCGTATATTAATTTCTTTGTTCATGTTGTTTCAACACTCTCAACAGAGATTTTACTACTGTGTTCAGTTCGTGTTTGGTTTTCTAGTGGATTTTTATACGAAATGGAAGGATATTACAGAGTGAGTGAGGGACAAACATATATACAAACTTGCACAGCTAAATAATTCCCCTATTTTAGATAATAATTTTACAAACACCATTGGACAAACAGATGCAATAATAGTTTGGACATGTTTAGCGGATACACAAGAATCTAATAATATAATAATATGAGGACTTTGAAGATGCATGAGCTTTCATTACATATGAATCATAAATCTATTTTCAAAACGAAAATCAAAGAGTACCTACTTGAAGAAACAGTTATATTTCAAGAATTACTGTAGGTATGTATAATGTTGCATGTTTTGGATTAGTAGAGAATGAAATCATTCAATCTTTCAGCTACAAAATCAACAACCAGAAGCCCATCAATCACAGATATTAATGAAGAAATCACACAATGATCCAGACTATGATATAAATTTCTTCATGGTATATGATATCTCACTTCCAGGCAACACTCATACCAATATGATAAAGAGTGAGGTTCTCCATATCTGGGAATTGTTTTCTTGTGGATTGAACTCTATTGTTGACAATAACTTGATCAATATAATAACTGATTACCTACATACATAACTTTCAAGTTATTAGGTAGGTACATAGGTGATGTAATTTTGGACCTAGAGTTAGCAACTTTTTGAAACAAGTGGAGAAACAAATATCTATCCTGCATGATGAAACACAAATACCTATTATTGTAAATTGTAGGTACCTTTTCATGATGAGTATACAGAGTGATATGTAGAACTGAAATTAAGATGTTTTATGTTTCCATAGTTGTGATATGTATTGTTTGAGATCATGGCAATAATATACACACATGGATATTTTCAGTTCTTGTTTTTGTATGGGGTATTTATATACTGCTATTTTCCTGGAAATAACTGTGATATCAGGATGCTACCTCAGAGATTTTTATGTAATTATTCAACAACTTCAGGTAAGGAGTGAATTCCACATTTCTGTTATACCCAGAGAGGATTCACAAAAAACTGGAAGACCTCAATTCTGTTTTTTGAAGTTCCTCATTTTTCAACCAGTTTGAAAATAAAGAGAGTGATGAAGATCTGAGTGAAAATGAGATACTTTGCTTTCCAAGTGGTGATATAAACTGGGATACCTTTCAAAAAACTTATTTACACTGAGATATATGCATTACCCTGTATATTTTTTGACAAACCTAATTGAAAAATAGGACATCAAAAAACAGAATACCATGAATATTGAATTCATTCGACCCCGTTAACCAACGGCCCTGAAAAACTCCTCTATCGGGGGAATGAAAATTCTCAAGCGGCCAATTAATGGCAGTCTCTGAAAAGTCTCAATCGGGCCGAAGATATGCCATGAATGCGGTACATTTGAGTACTTGCATCTGCCCACCAGAAGCCCTGCAATGTAATAAGCGGCATACTGATGGCTCTAGAGAGGCGGTCGGCTGTCGGCCGCCGGGACACGGGCTAGCCGGCCCAATTTAGTTGTACAATAGAGGACCGCTGTTACCGCTCGCCGGCTAGCTTCATTGTACCTTTAGAGGGCCGCAAAAATCATGTTTGCTGGGGTACTACTCTGAAATTCGTAGGGCAATTTACTATAGTGAATGTGCATGGAAAACATGTACCATTTCTATCAATATACAGAGAATTAGTTATTTCACATTCTCTTTGATAAAACATAATGTAACTTTTTTGGAGTACGGCACTGGCCACATTTTGGTTTATCAAAAATGTCAATGTCAATTATCTCACTTTTTTCTAACTGCAGTTTTCTTATTATTCTCCTTGGTTTTTGAGATGAATGACAAAATTCATTTTGGTGCTTCTCCATACGACTCGTTTATGATGTTTTATCATGGTTTGCTCGTTTCTAACTCATTTGTGTTGAGTTATTGACCGCAATAATCATGTTTACCAATTCGCAAGCTCTTCATCATATTATTTGGGAGCTGGTCATTCCCAAATTTCAGTTCCAAGATTTCTGGTAAAAAAACTTGATTCGAGAAAAATTAAATAAATTTGAAGATGACCAATAACATTATCATTATGCTGCGAAATAGTTCATAAACATGATTATTGTGGTCAATAAGTTTATTTAACATAAAATGAGGTAAAGACTTGCAAAACTTGATAATGGGCGTGTACACCTTAGTAGAATTTTTAACTCAAACCATGTTTATAATGATCCTTTTATACATAAATAATGATTGACGACATAATTCAATCGAAAAATTAACTGGAATGTTTTATTTTTGGACATAAATAATAGTACCTTCTGAAAACGGACCCTCTTATGGCGTAGAAACCTCATCTCGCCAAGAAAATACCACACGCCCGACGGAGACTGAGGCAAATGATACATTAATTCTTTCAACTGTGATCTCGCGCTAATTCACTCTGTCAGAAATCATGTATCATTCATCTCTGTCTGGAATAGTCATGTTTCAGTATTAGGGTTTTGACGTCACATCATCGCCTCGTTTTCAGAGGTCCGAAAAATCGGGGATTTCAAAATTTTTTTATAAAACGTAGGGAGCTCACAGCAAGAAACGGTTTGCGAGCTAGTTTGGGTGAGTTCTATCGAATTATGAAATCAAATTTTTTTGTGATATAAGCCCATTATAAACAAGTATGGAGGAGCACCAAAATGAATTTTGTTAGATATCTCGAAAACCAAGCAAAAATTATAGAAACACTGCGGTTAGGAAAAAGTGGGATGATTGATTTGATCATCCATCGAAATATCAAAATATGGTAAGTGCCGTACTCCAAAAAAAGTTACATCAATTTTTATCAAAGGGAATGCGAAATACCTAACTCCCTGATGTATATTGATTGAATTATTAGTACGACATGTTTTCCATTCACATCATCACTATTACCTATAATAAATTTTCCAACGATTTTCAGAGCAGTACCTTTCAAGAATTTCGAAATATTGAAGAAAATCTCTAAATAAAATTGTTATTCATCGCCCTCTCACGGCTGAACGGTGCATTTTCATAGAGGAATGTTGATTCCAATCGGCATAATTTCGTCTCTAGTTCACCCTGTAGAATTTATATTACCTTGTTCTGGGACACCTTGTATATGATTATCATTAACTTTTAGCTAGGTAATCTACTTATCTAAGTACACAGATAAGCAGATAAGTATGAATAAAGCATGAACATCAGGTATACAAAAGAATTAGGTAGGTAGGTATAGGTACTCAATAATTATTAATAATTGAAAATAAAAATGGACCACTCACCTGTTGCTCCATTCAAAACCACATTAACGCTCAGAAAGATCACCAGCGAAGAAAGAAACCACATTTTCATTATTACAAATCCCTGAAAAAATCAATGTTAATGACAATATGCCATGAATATTATCATTATTATCTACTGACCTGATGCCTTCAACTCGACGACCTAGTGAAAAAGAACCATGAAAGAAGCTAAGTAGTCGGTGACGTACCACCACCGAAGACCAAGACTTGCTCTTTTGAATATTTTCCTTTCACTTATTTGTATTTACCGTTGTTTGAAGAATCTAGAGAGGTGGCCGTTTACCCGCTCCATCGCTTAAATCGGATTAAATCGCGCGCTAGGATAAAGTTCCTTACGCGTGGCAGTGGCGTAGGAAAGGTAATTTATAAATGCAAAATTATTCTAACTCACCAATGAAATATTTTTTTCTTACGAGCGTGCACAAAGTAGTTCTTTTCCGCACTCATTTGCGTGCGCAAAGTAGTACTTTTCCGCACGCAGTGCGGATATCGGTGTTATCCGCACGGCGTGCGGATAGGTGAAACCACCCAAAAATCTCACTCTCACTGTAGACTATTGTATGCACTATAAGCAGCCGTTATCCCTTTTACTTTTCAACCGTTCTTCCCTCAAAACAAAAAAATGATTTCACGGTTTCGAAGGAGAATACCTTGTATAATGATATATGATTATACATATATAATATTGTCAAGCAACATCGAGTGCATTTGTCAACTTTGCCATGATGTCAGATTTTTACTCAGTTTCTGTCAGCAGAAATCTAGAAACACCGTCACTTCATCAAATCATAAAAAGGTTTTAAAGCAGTTGATATGAAGCTCGTAGGAAAAACGTTGTTCCTAATACGTGCACAAAGTGTCTTTTCCGCACGCAAAAACTTATTGGAACTCCGCTCCGCGTCGTTCGCCTAACTGTATTTGCGTGCGGAAAAGTAAAACTTTGCGCACTTGTTAGGAAAATAACTATTTCAATATCATAGATACCACTACTCTATATCAATGAATTTCAAGACAATTTCTGTTGATCGCAAATAAATTTGCTATCTTCATCAGTCAAAAAATACCCAGACAGCACCAGATATTCCATGAATCTCCCTATCATATTCCTTTTGGAATATTGGAATATTCTAGAAATAATCTGGAATATTCCGGAATATATGTGGAATATTCTCTAAATATGCGAATGGGAATTCCTCAGATATTCATAGAATATATCCAAAAGAATATTCCATGTTGAATATTCCTGGAATATTCCAATAAACATATTCTAAACAAAAAAAAGTGACCCTAGTAGGGATCGAACTCGTGACCTCAAGACTATCAGACCAACGCCTTGACCACTAGGCCAGTAATCGAATTGAAAAATGTTGTACATATCAATTTCTTGTGAGAGCGTTGTTCGAAATCGGATCATAAACACTTTTTGTTTCAAAATCCCCTTACATCTTATTTTGATGTTCGATACTCACAACTCTGAAATAATGATGGGTATTTATGTGTTGAGAAACATAGGAATATTCATGGAATATTTCATGAATATAAACCAAAGAATATTCAGTTGAGAATATTTCATGAATATACCGCACAGAATATTCAGTTGAGAATATTTCATGAATATACCCCACAGAACATTCAGTTGGGAATATTTCATGAATATACAAGAGAGAATATTCATTTGGGAATATTCCTGGAAAATTCATACCTGAATATTCCCTGAACATCACTTTGGAATATTCCTTCTAGATGTTCCAGAGGCATGTATATATTCTAGGAATAATCGATGAATATTCGGAATATACTCCTCCTTTTGAGCAAATTTAGAGAATATTCTAGGAATATCCAGTGCTGTCTGGGTAGTTATTTATTATACAAGAGGAAAAGTAGGTTGTAGATTTTTGCTGCAGGTTGTAGGGGAGGGAGATAAAGAATCGTGGGCTAAAATCTATTATTATTCCCTTATTGTATAATACACTATTTTTTTCTGTGACAGGAAAACCGACGAATCAGTATTGAGAAGATATTACAGTATATTTTGAAATCAGTAAATTATCGACTGTAAAAACTTCACAAACGATAATATTTCCACAAAATTCTTAAACACAACATGTTTCGCTAACACTAGCTTCGACAGGTACAATCAACTAAACCAGCCTTGGCTTGCTCAACTTTTATGTATCCTATTTTCCCAACTTGAAGGATTAGCTACCTGAGGACAGGTTCCAAAACCTTCATTTTCTGAAATCAGGCACAATATACATAAAAATACGGTGTACTGGATTAACTTGAAAGGGTTGATAACTATTACCTACTGAGAAAATAAATTCAACGATGGTGAACTATTGAAGTCTAATTGATCATTAGGTAAATTGTAAAAAAAATTGAGTTTGTTTATTTTTAATGATTCAAAATGATTGAGTTTCATTCCTTCATTTTCTACGTGTAGAATTTCGAAATTATCATTAAAACTATGGTTTTCTTCTAATATATGGTTGGCATATGTTGAATTTGTTTTCTTTTTCAAAAAAATGCATCTTATGTTCATGAATGCGCCGATTAAACGTACGACCTGTCTGACCGATATATACCTTAGGACAAGATCCACAGTCGAGTTTGTATACCCCTGATTTTTCGAATTTAGAAGTTTTGTCTTTATTATTTTGGATAAACCTTCCCAACGTGTTATTTGTTCTATATGCTACTTCCAAGTCTGTTTATGTAGAAATGAAACTAATTTTTCAGTTGATGATCCTAAATAGGTTAAAGTTCTATAATTTTGATTATTATTCTTGATGGTAGGATAAACTTCTTGAATAGCCTTTATTATGAAGTTTTTTAGAAAGACAACGTGAAATTTGAAGTTTTTAACAGGAATTACACCTGTGTTGCAGGTTTCTTTTTGCAGGCATCTTCATCATTCTTTGGAAGTATGTATGCAGATATCTGTCAGTCTAAATCTGTGGTCTAATTCTGTGTTTCGATTTCAAAAAATTGTGAACTTAGTGTTTGTTTAGTAAATTACCTAACAGTGAAGTGGAATGGAAGATAAAAGGACTTTCAGCTCTTCCTCTGAGATGGTGTTATTGGATTATTTTTCGGAATTGCCACAACAAAAGCCATGAAAAATGCACCTAAACAGGGTGTCCCATAAGATTTGCTGTTGTCAAATTAATTATTGAAGAAATCGGATAGATTTCACTTGTGAATAGGACCATGATATGGATATGTGTTTATAAGGTTAACAAAAAAAATGGAATATGCCACTGAGAGAAAAGCTGTTTATTGTCTGGCCTGTACATAAATAACTATTTCATTCCCTGATTCTAACAATTTGAACTCAAGATGAGTACCTACTGGGCCCACAACCATGTTTTCATAATATTCCACTGCCCTGATCTTTTTTTTTTCTTCTCTTGTCAAATAATTTGAACTTCAAAGATCCAATATTCTCCTAGTATCTGTCATAAAAATAGTATTACAGAGGAGAAATTAGTGGACAAATAATCAGAAATTTCTTAGAGGCAGCTAATGTTATTTTTTTCACTGAATATTTTGAAGGAATATTTTTTTTGCTAGGAAACAATAATAGGAATGTTGATTTACTTTTGAATTCTTCACTATATTGATGGTTCCAACACTGCATTTTAAAATTTATTCTTCAAACAACACAATACTTTGGTAATTATAAGTTTTCATCAAATAGTTTACTGAAAAAAATATCCTTGTCCAGGTAGTATTTCAAATTTATTTCTTCCAGTCTAATAAAATGAAAATGAACTTGGTCATTGAACAGCTTATGTCAAATTTAACATACAATAAACCATGCTTTATATTGGGGAATTGATTTGATTTGTAAAATTGATAACTTAGATACCTATCAAAAAATTGTTCATCTTTCTATGCACACTGCAACAGTTTAGATGATTAATCATCAGAATCAGAATCTTTCTTTAGGTCATCTTGGTCCAGATTCTTGAGTTTTGAAATCAATTTATTTGCTGGATTGAAAGAAGTCACTGGAGCATTACAAACAAAGCACCTCTTGTTTTTCTTATAATGTTCCAGGGCACATTTTTCACAAAAGTAGTGTTTACACCTGAAACATAAGAATGTCAAATTACAGTAACAAAAAACAATCAAGTCAAGCAGCAAACTCACTTTGAAACTACAGGGTCAACAAAGCTTTTTCTACAAATCACACATTTGAAGGGCAAATCTTCTCCATCAGAATGAATTTCATATCTGGTATTGTCCTCATCATCACTATCATGACCATAAGAGCCCTCTTGCCATTCCCTTTCCAGCTGCCAACCATGTTTGTAATCACTACGGTCATGTAAAAACTTGCAGCTGTCCCCAAAGCCACAAAAGCCAGTTTCTTTGTAGTCCTTACATATATCTGGCTGGTAGTCCCATCGTACTGTTGCTCTCAGATTATCTGGGGCTCTAATAGGACCTTTACGTACTAATCCTTAAGAAAAATAGGAAGCTACAGTTAGTAAATGTCCAGCTAGATATCCAGATGTTGATTACTTACCAGAACTAGCATTTCCAGCTGCTGTATCTCTGGGTTTGTAGTACTGAGTATAGTTATTCAGCCCCCTGTAGACTTTGTCGTCCTCCTTGCCCTCTAGCTCTTTGTTAACCTCAAGTCTCTTCTCAAAAATAGCTTGTGCATCTCGGTCTTTTTCAGTGTCTATTTCCTGATAACAATTTCATTTTGGTAAGCAATACATTTTTCTATTGATGTTGAAGGATGAGGAAACAATATACTCACAAATGTGGCAGTAGCTCCTTGATCAGCAGGTCCAGCTGCCATAGCAGATTTGTTGGACTTATAACTGACTAAAAAATCCTCATCACTACTTGATGATGGTCCCTCTCCTTCCTTATCCTTTTTTCTCTGCAACTTACTGGTGTTTTGTATGTTTGGATTAGATCTGCTTTTACGTTTACCATGTTTGACAATCGTTTGATCATCCTCATTTGCACTGTTATCTGCAATAGTTCTAGATGTAATCATGTTTGAAGGCTCATTAAAGTTTTCCATGAAACAACTACAAACCTTCACTATCTGATGCTTGTCTTTTTCTAGTCCCTCTATTTTTTATATTTCTTTTTTTGAATATAAAAGAACAGGTGTTCCCTTGAATAGTCTCTGAGTCTGACATAACAGTTTTTTAAATTATAAATATAAATATGAAACTGATGTGATTACTGTGTTACTGTGAAACAAAATAAAAAACCTAACCTCATCAGTCACCTAACACCTTCATCCCCTTTAACTGACATTGACAGTTAAATCTTTCGCTAAAATTTCTACTTCTTCCCTCTTCTTAGGATTTTATCACCAAACGACCTACTTGGCATGGGATCTCTGCACTATTGCTCTTGTCTTGTTTAGTTTAGCACTGTTAGATCCTTGTGCCACCTTGTGCTTGAAGCAATGAACGAGTTCATTGGCTTGAAGTGGAATAAAAAAGCGGCCTTGAGGCTTGGGAGTTTTTTTTATTAGGCACATGGTGATTGATCGGATGTGCTGTCCTTGTGTTGTTTGCCCCACTTTTATTTTTTTTTGAATGTCCATGTTATAGTTCATCAATTTTCGTCTGAATTTGTGATCGAAAATCGACGCTGGTGTGGACAACTGGACATACAGTTTTTCTAGCAGTTCTTACCTCTAAAGGGGTCCAGAAGTACCCTTCAAAACACTGCTGGAAATATTCCATTATCCTTGTTCTTGTCCAGAAGGAAAACTTTCCCAACATGAAGGATGTTATTGATGTGATGGAACTACAAAGAGAAAAAACTCGAAAGAATCCACAATTAGACTACAAAAAGTTGGATTTCAACAATGGGTTCACACCAGCCAGATTTATATTTGAATGTGGAATGAAGCTGAATGGTCAGCCCCTTACTTTGGCTACTGCTAGTGTGGTCATGCACAGGTTCTTCAGAGAAGTTGATCCATCAAACTATGACTGTTATGTAAGTATAGCTGAAATTGGGACCATCTTGTCCTGAAACATGCTTTTTTTCATTACATGATATGCAATAGGCTGAACCACTATTTCCTGAAAGCCTTTGTTGCTTTCCTTATTTCATTTGTGGTCAAGATAGTCAACAAAATGAACAAAAATAAAATGTATCATTAGGAACATATTATTGGAAATTAAAAAATATCAAGAATGTACCTAGCTGCATTGAAATAATTCAATTCATTAGTATTGGCTAATAAAAGTGGGACATTTTTGCTATCCTATCAGATGAAAATATCTATGCTTCAACACTAAATCAAATTAAACTGACCTACTTTCGAATTCCTATCTTGAACATGTTGAATAGTGTAATGTATGTAAATTTATTAACTTTGGAAAGTTGTTGAGTAACTGTCCAGATCACTGTATTCATTCATGTACATATTTAAGGAAATACATTTGCAGTATAGTAAACAAAAATGTTGTAGGATAATTCTTGGAATATATAAATAATTTACATTTCTGACAAGAAGATACAGAAAAATTGCTGATAACATTGTAGACATATTTCAGAGAATTATCAATACCATAGCATCAATAATGAATCAATTTGTTATCCTTTTTTTCTACAAAGATAACTCATATATCAATATATTTATTTATTTGAATCAGTTGTTTATGGATTCCATACAAGTTTTCTGATATAGTAAGCTATTCAAGAAAGATTTCTCATCATATGTAGTAGGGTCAATTTGAAATATCAATTATAGTTTCTAGTTTCCAGATTGTACATTTTACTAATTTCCAATCAATGAAGTTCTTTCTATTCCTCATTTTTATTCACTTTGCATGGACAAACCTTGCTTCATTTTATCATGTATTTGTTTTTCAATGATTTGTGCCTTTTTTTCAGTTGATTGCAGCTTCATCCCTCTACCTGGCCGGCAAAGTGAAAGATGACCCCCTGAAAATCCGCGACATCATCAATGTGTCCCACAACACTCTCCATAGGGGTAGCAGTCCCCTGGAGATTGGGGATGAGTACTGGAACATGAGGGATGCCATTGTGCAAGCAGAGTTGCTCATCATGAGGGTCCTCAAATTTGAAGTGGGGACCACACACCCTCACAAATACATGCTGCATTATCTCAGGTAAAAAACCCAAATACAACTTTATGGATTTATTTGATTAGATTTTCCAGGAATTGTTATTTCTGTCAATGAGCTGTACTTCTTGGTATACTTGCACTGGGATTATTTACAATTTTTAGTATTTTTAGACCTGTTTTGGGATCCAAAAAAATATATTTTCAGAATATCTTCAATTTTATCATATATTATTTATATTTGAATTTCATTGAATCATCTGAAATTTCCAGGAATCTTGAGAATTCTTACTGCACTAGGGGAATTCCTTTGATATTTATGGAATATCCTAAATATTTTTGGATGTCCATGGCATATTTTGTTCTGGTGAACAAACAATCAGAATCACCTTGGTAATTTCTTTTATTTTCTGAAATCCTTCTTCTGGATTTAAAAAACTGGAAATGAAGAATTATTGAAATTCTCTGAAATCATGGATTCCATGAAATTTCTTAGAATTCATTATTTTTAACTTACTCTGTTTTCTGAATTCTTTTAAATTCTTTATTTATGATGTTTGAACAAATGGAATGTTTTAGATTTCCTGGAGATTTGAAAATGTACAAAGAAGTTTCCAGAAATCTTGAATTTTAAATTTTATGGGTTTTTTGATTCCTTGAGATTATTTTGAAAATCTCCAAGGCATTTTTGAATTATTTAAATATTTTTTTGTTGATTTTGTAAAATGTTCTATAATTTCTTTGAATCTGGTCAATGAGTATTTTGAAATTCCTTTAAGAATTTCTTAGAAATTATATTCTTAAGATGTATCAAAAACATTTCAGAATTTTAGGAATTCTTTTGAATTTTATTCTTCAGATATTTAGGATTTCTCAAGTTTTATTTTTCTTCAATTCTTTGAATTCTTGGAAATAATCTCCTATACAATCTAGGGAACAAAATATAATTGTTTGAAATTTTCAGAATTCTTTGTCATTTCATAATTTTTAAAATTTCTTGCAAAATTAAAAAGGATTATTGGAATTTTTGTTGTTATTAAATTCCAAATCATGTTCATGACTATTTTATTGTTTTTCTTGAATGTTCTTGGAAATTCCTTGAAATTTATTTGAAATTCTTTATTCTGACCATTTCTGCTAGCATCTGCCAGTAAAAAGAACTGGAATCTTCATGAATTTCCAGAATTCTTCAAAATTCCATGTCTTGATATTCCATGCAACTTGCAACATAACATTGAACAATAAAACAAACAAGTCAATTGGACATAGAAATCGTCGCTGAATGTATTGCAATGAAAACAAATAGGGTATTCCATTTGAAAAAATTGAGTTACCCTAAATATCTGAAAAACTGTTGATTTGGCAACATTGCCGATATCACCATTGAATCGGGCATCATCAACAACAATCCTGTCGAAGTTTTCATAAATTTTTTCTGAGCCGTTTCTGAAATATGGGACCATTCCAGAACTTTTTAACGAAAATGCTATGTTGTCATATTTCGAAAATCACGTCAATTACGAATCTGATATTCAGGGACTCAAGTAATTAGGAGGCGCTCAATTAATTATAATAAAAATGAATGGGGTATTCCATTTGAAAAAATAAAGTTACTCCTGATATCTGAAAAACTGTAAACTTGGCAACATTGCCGATGCCGATTGCCACCATTGAATCGGACATCATCAATAATCACCCTGTAGAAAATATCGTGAATTTTTCTCAAGCCGTTCCTGAAATATGAGACCGTTCCAATACTTTTGAAAGACACTGTATGTATTATATACATGATGTCTCATTTCCTGATGAGACAATTTTTCCTTTGTAATAATTTATTATTGTTAAGTATTATTGACCTATGTAATTTTTTTTTTTTCATCCTTACTACAAGGTTCACTTCCTAAGGTTTTTCCCAGTTCATTCAAAATACCTATCTGTATGTTCCAATGTATATTTTGTAAACCTTTTTCAATAAACTTTTATCATCAAATCTCCCGCCACTATCAGGTCCATGGAGGGCTGGCTGGGCAAAGAACAGTGGGAGACCATCCCCATAGCCCGAGCCTCCGCCGCCTTCCTCCAGGACTTCCACCACGACCCCAGCATCCTGGACTACAACCCCAGGCACCTTGCCATTGCCTGCATCTCGCTAGCCCTTCAGTGCTATGGGGTGCAATTGCCACTTATCGAAGACACTGATGATGAGGCATGGTACAACGTTTTTGTGAAGGATCTGCCCAAGGACAAGCACTGGGAGATCATGGAGAAGATCATGGAGACTTACAACAAGGAGCCTGGGAGCCCTTGAGGCTGTGTGACTGAGGATTTATGATGAGCTGATGATTCGATCTAGAATTTCTTGGATGATTATATTAATTTTTAGTGATTTCATTGTATTTTTACATGCAGGAAAACTTGCAATTGAGATACAAGTAATGAAAAGGTTACTTATTTGCATTTTTCTTGGACAAAATTGAATAATTTTCACTAGTATTATAGATTTTATAGTAGGTATATCACATTATGAATTAAGGTTTCATATAGTTGAAATGATGATTTAAGTTTTTGTATTGATTCAAATTATTTTCTGAATAAAAATTTCCTATTCAGAGTTATTTTAATTCATTAGAAAAATATTCCCTAGCCCTTCAGTGCTATGGGGTGCATTTGCCCATCATCAAAGACACTGTTGATGAGGCATAATACAAGTGTTTGTGAAGGGTCTGCCCAAGGACAAACACTGGGAGGTCATGGATGTTATATAGTTGTCGGCGGTCATGTAAACACACCCAAATTATGTCAATAGTCACTCCTGTCAGGGGCTGTCATCGGGGTCATTTGCCAACACCCCCCCTGCCCCCGCCCATGTAATCGGCTAATGAATAAAGTAAAACACAATATGTAACATGGTGACAGCGGTAACACAATACGTAACATGGTGACAGCGGTAACACAATTCGCGAAAATCACGAAGTGTGCGGCCTCTGGTGGCTAACTTTACAAGCCTTGCGAGTATGAACAACAAATATGGCGACCATTGTTTTGAGTTTCCGTGTTTTATTTGTAAATAATTTATTTGTTGAAGTGCATATTCCAGAACCTCATTTTTCCCTGATAAAAAAAACTCGAATTATTGCATGAACTTTTATTGTTTACAATGAAGAAGCCAGCACCTACCTTATAATAATATAATATACATTTTCTGAAGCACAGTTAGAATCCTTGTATGAATGTTGGTTGCAATGATTCGATCTTGAGAATAACTTCAAGTCTTCAATTGCTGGAGATCCTTTTTTATGTAAATCGATGATATTGTTCATTATGAGCAGCCTCTCCAACCATATCTTCTTTTCCCTTCACTAGAATTCCATCTCCTTCATAAAAGCCAGTGATATTTCTTCATGAATTCAATTATTTCTTCATACCTATACCATATTGTTGTAATAGCTGATTGCTTATATGGCTCCATTCCAGTCCATGCATGTGTTGAGTGGACCATTCTGACCATTCCATATGTTTGAAAACTGTGGAATCGTAGTGTGATATCAATGATGAATACCACCATTGTCCACATCAAAATGGCAATTTATCTGCACAAAAAGTAATTTTTTCCATACTGAAAACCTTGTACGTATTTCACGAAGTCAACTCATTATTCACTATTTTGCAAAATGATTTCGAAATAACCAATTTGAAATGAGTGCATACGGCAATGTTTTTGTTGTTCATACTCAGTTTGAAATTTGACGTTGATTTGACGTTTAATAGAGCCATCTATTGGTTCGTGATTTTCGCGAATACGTAACAATGGATATTCAGAACAAGGAGACCGGAGCCCTTAAGGCTGTGTGACTGAGGCTTAAAGATGAACTGATGATTCGATATTGAGTTTCATGGATGATTATATTATCATCTTTTATGAATGAATAATGTCCACTTATTTTCTTTTTTGTTGGCTAAAATTCAATAATTTTCATTCTAGATTGACTACTATTATATATTTCATAGTATCACATCATCATCATCAATCAGGACACGCCCAATAATTCACTATAACTATTCATATAGTTTTCTAAAAAAAAGTTCAGTTCTGAAAAATTTTGTCGCATTTTTTTTACGGAAGCACCCACGTATCTTAAGTAATTATTGAGGTAGGGTTCTTGCAAGAGGAAGAAAAAGCCCAAAGATAAAAAGTCAATTACGTAAGATACGGGGGTGCTTCTATGAAAAATGCGACACAATTCAATTTTTTAGACTGAAAATTTTCTAGGAACAATATGAATAGTTAATGAATTGGGCGTCCCGAATCTGAAGTGATTTTCGACTTATTTAGAGTCATATCAATTTCCGGAAATTGCGGGGTGGTTCCATATGGCTGTTGGCGAGCAGTCGTGTCGTATATCACTGAAGATGACCCCACTTGATCATAGAGTGCATTTTTGGTATATCTCTCGCTCCAGCAAATTTCAGGATCCTTACCTAACGATTACATAAGCATCAGTGGTGTTTCCATTAGAAGTGGGTCACACTGTAGATAAAATGATGATTTAAGTTTTTTTATGGATTTAAATAATTATTTTCGGAATAAAAATCTCCAATTGGGAGTCATTTTAATTCACTATAAAAAAAATACAAGTTGCCATCGCCTGGATCTCCCAGCACTGCAGTGCTATGGGGAGCAGTTGCCTCTCATCGAAGATATACTGATGATGGGGCATGTTACAACGTTTTTGTATATGATCTGCCCAAGGCCAAGCACTGGGAGATCATGTGGAGACTTACAACAAGGAGCCTGACAGCCTCTGATCGAGGCTTGATAATGAACTAATGAACTTGATTTTCTTGTATAAGTTTGTTATATTTTTGAGTGAATACATTGTATTTTTACATACAGGAACATTTGCACTTGAGATTCAAGTAATAAAAAGTTACTTTATTTTCATTTTTCTTGGCCGAAATTGAATTATTTTCAATCTAGCTTGAAAGTATTATATATTTTATAGTATCACATTATGAATTTTGAGGTTTCATATAGATACAATGTTGATTTTCAAATGTTGAAATTATGTTCTGAATGAAAATATCCAATTCAGAGTTATTTCATTTTATTATATGAAAATACAAATTTCATCAACTGCAATAAAATCATCACAAGATGAGGTTTTTTCCTAGTTTGTGTAAAATCATAAATAATATAAAAAACTCATTTCATCATTATTAGAACAGTACTTTTAATTAAATTAAAAGGAGAAGATACTTCAGATCCCATGTCATATTTTTCTAGGCTCACTTTTTCACTTTAGCTTTTGAGGGTGGTGCATTTGGATTAACCCCCTTGTAAAAATCTTTGAGCAAACTGAGAGCTTCTTCAGACCTGTACCCCCCTTTCAGCTGGGTTACAGGCTTCAACACTGCAGCAACATCAAACACACTCTGACCCCCAAATCTATCATTCTGACATCCATACACGATTTTTTCAACTTTCAAGTCATAAAGTGCTGCTGCACACATAATGCAGGGTTCTACAGTTACATACACAATTATTTCTTTGAAAATTTGTGTTGGATTCAAATTTCTAAGTGTACAATAGTTGGTGACCTGATCTATACAATTCATCTCTGCATGGCGAGTGGCGTTTTTTGTTTCATTCACTGTGTTACGACCTAGAGCTATTACTTCTCCATTGTGGACAAAAATGCAACCTACTGGGACTTCTTGAGCTGATAAAGCTTCTTTAGCATAAGTGAAAGCTTTATCCATAAATAATTGTTCGTTTTCAGATAAATCCAAATCATACTTTGCTATATCATCACACATTTTCCAACAAACTTAAACCGTTCTGAAGCCCTATAATATGTGAGCATTGGTATTTTTATTTAGCGCTGGCATTTATCGATGAGATGATGGATGATACAGGGACTTTTTCATCATTTATCAATAATTTCAAAATCATTAGAAAACGAAAAAAAAACAGGAATGGAAAATGAAAATAGGTTCAAATCTATCATCTTCGTTTGTGTGAACAACGTTTCGTCTTCGTCACGTCTTTGCCAGAATCATCAAGGTTAAGTCTGATGACATAAAGGACAGAACTTCTAAAGAACACTGATTTGGTTGTTTAGTCTCTAATGTCTGTGGTCTCTAACGACTAATGGCTATTACGCCAAAAATCTCATAACCTCTCAAAGCTTTTTCATATTTTCGGCTTTCTGGGTAATTTGAAAATATAAACTGAAATCACTGAATATAAACACAAGAGCAAGAGATTTTGTTATTCCTTAATTTCTATAATGCCAGACATAAAAGTGACTCCACTTGGAGCTGGCCAAGACGTCGGCCGAAGCTGTCTTCTGCTATCAATGGGGGGCAAGAACATAATGCTGGATTGCGGAATGCATATGGGGTACAACGACGAAAGACGCTTCCCCGATTTTTCTTACATCGCAGACGGTCCTATCACCGCTTTTATAGATTGCGTTATAATATCCCATTTCCACTTGGACCACTGTGGGGCTCTACCTTTCATGTCTGAGATGATAGGGTACTCTGGACCTATTTATATGACCCACCCCACAAAAGCCATTGCTCCTATATTATTGGAGGACATGAGGAAAGTCTCAGTTGAGAAGAAAGGGGAACAAAACTTTTTCACCTCACAGATGATCAAAGATTGCATGAAAAAAGTGGTAGCAGTGACTTTACATCAATCTGTGATGGTAGACACTGATATTGAAATTAAAGCTTATTATGCAGGCCATGTTCTAGGGGCTGCTATGTTTTGGATAAAAGTTGGGAACCAATCTGTTGTCTATACTGGAGACTACAATATGACCCCTGATAGGCATTTAGGAGCTGCTTGGATTGACAAATGCAGGCCAGATTTGTTAATATCAGAATCTACTTATGCTACTACAATAAGAGACTCCAAGAGGTGTCGTGAAAAGGACTTTTTGAAGAAGGTCCATGAATGTGTGGATAGAGGAGGCAAAGTACTCATTCCTGTTTTTGCATTAGGGAGAGCCCAAGAGCTGTGTATCTTGCTGGAGACTTACTGGGAACGTATGAATCTCAAAGCACCAATATATTTTGCACTGGGATTAACAGAAAAAGCAAATAATTATTATAAAATGTTCATTACTTGGACAAATCAAAAGATAAGAAAAACTTTTGTCCAAAGGAATATGTTTGATTTCAAGCACATCAAAGCATTTGATAGGCAGTACATTGATAATCCTGGTCCTATGGTAGTGTTTGCAACTCCTGGAATGTTGCATGCTGGACTGAGCTTGCAGATATTCAAAAAATGGGCTCCCAATGAAAACAACATGATCATAATGCCTGGGTTCTGTGTGCAGGGCACTGTGGGACACAAAATTCTCAATGGAGCAAAAAAAGTGGAGTTTGAAAATCGGCAAGTTGTAGAAGTGAAAATGGCTGTTGAATATATGAGTTTCTCAGCACATGCTGATGCTAAGGGTATCATGCAACTGATCCAACATTGTGAACCAAGAAATGTTTTATTGGTGCATGGTGAGGCAGCCAAAATGCAGTTCCTCAAGGAAAAAATCCAGCAGGAGTTTAGCATTGAATGTTTCAACCCTGCTAATGGTGAGACTTCTGTGATTTCCACCCCAGTGAAGATTCCCATAGATGTTTCACTCCCCCTGCTGAAAGCTGAAGCCAAGAAATTCAGCAGTTTGGCTCCAGGTATGAATAATCATTATGTGAATATGCTCATTTTGTTTTGTTCAAATTTTACATTGAAATTCTTTACTCAACTCTGAATAGAAATGTATTTTATGCTTATATTCTTCATTTTGTACTGATTTAAACTGAAATATTGGGCAAACATGTCAAAACCTTGGTACAAGATTTGAAGAACATATTGCTCACTTCAGATATAATCCAGTATTACCTGACATTTGAGAGTGCCCATGTGAAGTTGGCGCCATTATTTTAAAAACCGTTATTCTTTCTGGAGTTATGAGTAGATCTGATGGGGTTCTAGAGTACCTGACTAAAATTTTGAATAGTTCTAGCAAATCATAGATGAGTTCTGATAGTTTTTTTTTTTGGTGTATTTGGAAGAGTTCTGGAATTCCAGACCCATTTCAGGTAAATTAAAGTATGGAATAAATAAAAAATATTGGGGCTAACTTCATGCTGTTGATTGTTTTTGTATTAGAAACAATCCTGGAGTTGTTGACTTATTTCACCATTGGTTTTAGCTTATTGAATGAATCATCATCTGTTCAGAGTTCACACATATTCTTAATGAAATTTTAATAGTAAACTTCAATAAAATTCATCACCAACGATTTTCCGAGAATTTTTCCAAACTTTCTGCATCCCATCTATTATTATTAAATTTCCAATTTCCTGATGAGTATCGATTTTTTTTCTAAATTGGTTGGTTCTTTTGAATATAATAATAATAATAATAATACTATTCATTCAGTTTATACAATTCTGTTGTTCATTATTGAATATTTGGTTTGAAGTGCACCTAATAGAAATGTGATAAATAATATTCTATATTCCACAAAACATTTTTTGGCTGAACCTATATTCCAAGAGTGTTATTTGATGAAAATTCAAATAAAGTAAATTGATTCTCAGTATTTTCGCAGTTACAGCAGGAATTTTTCTAAAAGTGTGGAGTACATTCAGGGATTCTTTAGGTGCAATAGTCACTATCATATCTACCGTTGAAAAAAAAGGAGGATATAAAAATTTCAGTATTCTCTATGGGATGAGAATTAAACTTGACATTTTTGCTGAGAAACTTTCTAGATATAGAGGGGGTTCAGAAAGTGTAAATTTTCAAAATCGCCCTGTATTTCATAAACGGAAACAGTTATGCAAAATCTGATTAGACCATCTTGAGTTTCACCAAAAAGTGGCACAGGACCGCGAAAACCGCAAAATTTCTCCAAAGATAACTGAGATATCATGCAAAAGTATGGAAATCTGGACACACTGTACATAATTTGGGAGCGTGCCCTCCCCTTACTAAAAACCAGACAGTGTTGTTTCTCCCGAAACGCTTGACCACAGATTGCGCAATAATGGCATATTAGTTCTCAGTTGTCCGCAATATGGCGACACTTTTTACAGATTTCTTTCATGACAGAAAACAGAAAATGGCGCTTACACACCGCTTGCACCAGAATTAATAATATCGTAACATTCATAACAATCCTCAAATCAAATAAGATTAAATTTGAAAGAATGAAACTGTAATTTTGGGGAATTTTAATTATCATCAGTTCCACCAACCTTGAATTTTGGTTGAGATTTCGCCATCTAACGGGTAAACTGCGACCTATATTCCGCGATATTGAGAAGAATCCTTCTGTCAAGTAGGCCGTGGGTCAAGAACTTTGAACGAAAAAAAGTAGATGGGATTTGATAGGAGTTTCTACACTATCTTCTGTTCATCCAACAGAACTAAAACACAGAGGAGAAAGGAATAACAAATCCCAGACCTGTAGGAGATCAAGTATGGCGGAGATAGCCCCTTATTGACACGTCTGCGCACTAACTCGTGCTCAGAGACGGCGTCATTCTAATTGTTGCCCCACAGCAGTTGTTAAAGTCTGAATTTACTTCATCCCAAGTCAGAGACAAGTTAAGTGGGTAACTTATCTCTGGTTCTGTGGTTCATCCTCTTAAAAACCTAAGACAACCTCAATCGAAATTTCCCAGACCCGAAGCGCCGCAGGACCCTCCACGGCGTCCTAGTGATGAAAGAGAACAGCACCTGCCTCATGGACGTGGACGAAGCCTGCAAAGAAGCCGGCATCAGCAGGCACGTCGTCCGGTTCACCTCTACCGTCCAAATGACCGATGCGGGGCCTTCTCTGACCACCGCCCACAAGTTGCAGATGTTGCTGAAGGAGAAGCTGCCCCTGAGTTCGGTGATTTTTTCCGAGGGGGAGATCTCTGTCGAAACTGTGCTAGTGAAAGTTGAGGGGGATGATGACGATGACCAGAAGAGCGTTTATGTGTCATGGACTAATCAGGACGAGGAGTTGGGTAGTCAGATTTTGAATGTTATTACCAACATCAAGCAGTTCTGATGATGGGGTTTTTGTTTATCAACAGTATTTTTGCTTGAAGATTTTGCTTCAGAGCTAACATTTAAACTCTCACCAGTGCAACCAGAACGTGAGGTCAGTGTCAAGTCAAAAATCCCAAAAAATTTGCTGGATAGCCCTAAAGACCATGGCCTGTTTTATGGAAAAGACTTGAGCCAACTTACGTCTTTTTACTCTCAAAGTGCTCAAGATATCATAGGACATTGCAAAATGACAGGAAAATAAGAAGTATATTAATTATCAGTTCCAGCAACCCTGACCTCTTGTTTCAGTTGGAAAAGTTTGACATTTAGTGCTATTTGCTGGCAGAAGTTACTGTCACCTTTGGTGTCATTTGTCAAATGCACTGTCTTGTCAAAAAAGAAGGATCTGAGAGGGATCTGAGAAGTTTCCATTGTTCAATTATTTTGATAATCATCAATAAAACAAGTTGGGTTTGTTGAGGTTCTTTCAAGAAAACAAAATTAACTGTTCTCCTTATAATGACTATCATCAACAGTAATATCCAAAGAAGGAAGGATCCAAGAAGATAATCATCAATAAAACAAGTCTTTGTTAGGATTGTTTCATGAATAAAACAATATTGACTGATCTCATTCATTTACAATAACATCCCAAAACCATGACAAATAGGAGAGGGGGAGTGTGGTTTCTTGAAGCAACATAATATGTTTCAAATAAGAGAGCAAACTTTTATAATCATCAATCAAATGAGTTGTAATTTTCAAGATCATTTCACTAGTTATTTAATGAATAAACAATTTCATGTTGTATTTCAATTTTCAGTCATTGCGTTATGCAACTAACATTACAAAAGAGAATTTAGATTGCCAAATTGCCGTGTGACTGCCTACTGTTATAGTTGGTTATAGTCTGTATAATATTATGATCCTTAGAAATGATGTTATGGTTAGGAGGTTAGCCGTTCACTTTTATGAGTATAGTTTGATTGTGAAAATGAAAATGCACCGCCCAAATGACCGACGCCCACAAGTAACAGATGTTGCTGTTGCAAAAATGTATTGTAATCAGTTGTGATACTGGCTAGGTCATAGCCATCTTTGAGAGCCGACTTTGACTAGGTATTTTTATAGGTAGAATTCTAGTTTTACCATTTGATTTCCTGATAAGTCACAAAGTATTAAACAAAATCCATGAACAACTAATCAAGTAGTTCAGATGCCTAGTGACATTCCAGTAAAACCCAGAATAGCTTCCATACTCAAATATGGATCTTGGAATTAATGGAATCAAATAAAATTTTTGCAAGACAGTAAGTGAATGCTGACATCATGCCTTCTGGTTTGTTTGGTTACTTAGTTTCAATCAGCAAAACTTATACCTATATTCATACTACTCACCTATTCATATTATAAGTTATTATTTTAATAAGAAAAATGAGGTACTTTATGAAAAAAAAATAATTAGAAGGAAATCATTCCATTTAAACCAATCAGTTTACAAAATGAAGAGTGTGCTTTCATAATATTACAATAATCAAGTTCAATAGGCCTTTTCATTAAGATGACAAATGACTATAATATCTGTGTTTACATCGCGCATCCAACGACATTGGCGGCCATTTTCACCGAAACATTTGCAGCACACACTTCTCAGTAACGAATAAGTAACGTTTTTTCGATTTAACTTAATATAATACAATTAATACACACCAGGAATATGGAAACGAAATACTATATTGTTATTGTTGTTTCTCGTTTCTCAATGAGGAATGCCCATTGTGGTTGACACTGTTGACATTTGACAGAACGTCAATTAAAACCGCCATATTCGAAATGGCCAATCAGAATTTAGTGTAGGAACTATAGCCAATGGGATTTCACCTTCGCATTACCCAATCAAATTTTGGATCTAAAGAAGAGGGCATGCCTCTTAAAAATGAATCTATATGAAAAGGCCTATTCTAGAGATGTGGAAAGGCATATAAAAATTGATTATTTAAAGAAGGAGTACATTTTTATGTGCTCAATAATAGATAATGATTTCAAAATTCAATTCAGTATCATACCAGAGCGGAGTTGACTAAAATAAAGTGGAATTTTGGACTATTAGCATTTTATTTCCATGTCCTCACAGAATTGGATTTAATGTGAATTATTTTTGCAATTAGGAAAGTGAATGGAATGTTTGATTCAAATTGATTTTGTCATCTGAATAAATACCTAACTTATGTGAACTTCAACTGCTAATTATTGTTGATAATAATTATTGTAGGGAGAGCTCACTATGAATTCATTTATCTTCACTAAAACACACCTCAAATCTATTAGAACAAATTGCACAGACAGGAAGATCTACATTTCTCCCTCTATCAGATGATCCAGGTTCATCAGGGCTCACTTCATTTTCCAATTCTATCAATTGTTTTGTAGTATTTGCCATCAAGAGCTCAGTTTCATCAACTGTTTCTTCCTCATCTTTTATGTGTTCTATGAAAATGTCCTCTGTTTCAATGTCTTCCATTACTGCATCTTCTGAAACTGCACCATCTGTCTTGTGCTGGGTGGACACATGTAAATTCAAATGGCCAAGCTGACAAAACCTCTTATTACAAAGTTGGCAGCTGTAAGGCTTCTGGCCTGTGTGGTATCTAGTGTGCTGCCTCAGTTCTTGCATATTGCCGAATTTTTTCGGACAAACTTCACAGTGGAATGGCTTGTGTGCCCCATGCTTACTTTTATGTTTTTCCAGTTCTTCCTTCAAAGCAAATCCTCGAGAACAAACAGTGCAATAAAAAGGTTTGTCAGGAGTATGAGTGGTGAGGTGGTGAGTCAAAATACTTCTTCTTCCAAAACCTCTACTGCAAATGTTGCATCTGTATTTTTGGACCAAATTGTGGCATTCCAAATGCCTTTTTAGGGCACCAATCCTTGAAAACGATTTGGGGCATAACTAGAATAATCCAAGTTTATAAAAACAAAATTGGTTTGCACAGAATTACATACTGTACACATATGGCGTTTTTCATCAGTTGTTTCTTTGATTTTCTGCAAACTTTCATTGCAGTTCCTGGTGGTATCAATAAATTCCAGAATATTCTCCAATTGGAGTATGCAAACTTCACATATTTGTTGGGGATAACCATCAAAGCGGGCAACCTGTCAGAAAACTTTTGAAAAATGAGTTATTTCAAATAATTAAGGACATTACCTGAATATTTGTTATATTTCTTATTACATCTGTTAGATGTAGATGATCTTTGAGTTTTACTAATCTGTCCCTTCTTAAGCACAGCCTGCATATGGAAGGGAAATCCTTTGAACTGAGGCATATAGTTTCCTCAGTAACTGAAGAGTTTTCTTCTACTTTCACACTACCGACAACCGTTATCCCTTTGATAAATCGGCGGTTAATAGTTGATTCGGTGTGTGCTGACATTTTTCATTGAAAATTTCGAATTTGGTGAACAAAACAAATTTGTAATATTTGCATTAAATTCCGTTTTTTTTTTGACGATAAACAAAACACAAACTCCAAAACGCGCTTGCAATCGTCTTCTAACTTATTCTCTTTTTGGTCTTATAACATTTTAGACTTTAGACTTTACGCTGATGAGCTGATGCTATTTAGGGTCAATTTGAATAGTGTCATTGTCATTAGACTCATTAGAGTGCCTCGATGCTTCTTCTTTTTCACTCACTTGAGCGAATTGGAACTGTCAGACTGGAGTCCTGTGCCACTACTGGCACTCTGTACTAGCAGAAACCAAACAAACAGGTGAGCAGGTGACTAGCAGTTGTTAGCAGCAATCTTCCATCTCTTCCATCAATCTAGATCTAGCAGCATTAAAATCTGAAATAGTTGTGGAAAAAAATAAAAATTGGTTTTGGTTTTGTATTTCCAATAATTGCCATGCCATGAAGACTGAAAATATTCCAACAGTCGATCCTGTATGGACTCACAATGTTGAATTATCAATCCCAGAGGTTGGAACTTTCTGGTAAACAACCTCTTGATCAACTCATCCTATAAAAATGTATCATTTTCAGGAATGTTTACCAATTATTGGAAGTTCTCAGGTATCTTCTATTTTACAAAACTTGGATCCCATTACCACAGCCAACACAGCTAATCATGAAGTAAACCCTCAGAACTTGGATTTAATAATCATACCTACCAGTGACTTGAATAAGATACCCTGTATAGAAAATCCTCTAAACCTTCAGAGCAACTATGTAATTCTCAAAGAAAACTCTAGTACTAAATCAGTGAAACCAAAATTACTCAGCTGCAATGATAACAGCAAGCAAAAAGAAGGCTTTGAAGATATGCTTTATTTTGTCTGCAATTTGTGTCCATTTTTGTGTACAAAAGACAGCAAGATTACAGAACATCTAGAGAATGCACACAAAAACAAAACAGTCATTAAATTACCAGAGCTAAAGTGTCCTGCTTGCCAAAATATTTTTTATCATAAAATGTCTTTGAGATCCCACTTGATTCATGATCATGGTGTAGGGAATTCAGATTTGAGCCAAATAATTCAAGCTGTGATATATTATTCCAACAAAACCAAGAGCAAAATGAAAGAAGCTAAGCATAAAATTCATGAAAAGCTGCAGAATGTTGAAAAACATACTGAAATTAATGACTTCAGTACAGACACTAAGTCAATGGGAGCAAATAATTATGCAGGACAGCATCAGGCTGATTATAGCAATGGTCTACCTAATAAACATGAACCCATAACTATCCCTCTTCCTCAAATAGAAATTCCATTGAGCAGCTCTGTGAAGATAAACAATTCTACTATGAAACAAAACATTACTAAACATCTGGACTCCAATGAAATCAAGTGTGGCCTGCCTAATTGCAAAGTGAAACTACAAGACTTGGAGAAAATGAACTATCACATCAATAGCCACAGTGGGGATGGTTTCAAGTGCTTAGATTGTGGTGAAACTTTTCTCTTTTGGAAACCTTTGACCTCACATTTGTGGCGCTATCACAACATCAACATGGAGCTGTTTTCTTGTGACAAATGTGAGTATAAAACTTACAGCCTAGCCAAATTGAATAATATCCACAAGTTCATCCATAGTGATGATAAGAGTTTTTTGTGTGATATTTGTAATAAGGCTTTCAAAAACAATAAGCAGATGAGAAATCACAAGTTGACACACAAAGACAAAGCAATTCATTCATGTGAGGAGTGTTCAAAGACTTTTGGAGACAAAAGGCAGCTTAGGAGCCATATGGATGTGGTGCATAAAAAGCTCAGGCCTTTTCTGTGTAATTTTTGTGGGTACAAAGGATCTTCTAGGAGCTCCCTCAAAATGCATGTGAGGCAACATACAGGTGAGTACCAAATAAAAAAAAAAACAATTCCACATATCCCAGGTAGTTCAGATTCAACATTTCATGTGTTGACCATAATATGTTGATTCATTCCATTGCTCAAGAATGATTTATATATAACTCTTGATGAGTTACAAAAAATATTGAATGAAAAAGAGCATAGAAGGGATGAATTATGAGATAAGGAATTTTTATCTGTCAAAAAAATTGTTGGTATGAAAATCTTACCAGCAGAGCTATTGTGCTAATATTTCTCATAACATATTGAATGATATTTAGGTATACAGCTGATTCCTTAAATGTGATTATGTGAAAAACTGTAGTTTTATGATTGTTGTAATTGGTAGTTTGAATTATGTGCTTTTGAAATATAGCATTGGCTTGAAAAATTTAACTTGTTAGTAAGAATTGAAAAACTCCATTCTTTCTCAAAATAACAATCTCATGATAAGAAGATCTGGAAGTAAATCAAAAACCATTGTGTTAAGAAGGGATCACACATATATCCGACATAAATAATCTAAGTTTAACCACTCCCACAGCCAAAGAGCATAAGACAGTTGAGGGTGAAAGACTAACTTTTGTTTTTTCTTGCAATCTTGTATAATGATGAAGCTATCAGCTTCTTCAAGAACTGAAATTGAGGCTAACACAGTAAAACAAGAGTAATTTTGTGTAACAGTAGAAAAAGTTAGTTTATGCACGTGTTAGTTACACTATTTTTTCTGCGCGGGAAAAATCTAAAAGTTGACATAAAGGAACATTTATTATTATTATTATTGAATATTCAAATGTCCCCAAAAACTTTATAAACATACTTTTCTGCACTAAGTTCGAAAAAGATACTCATTGAACACTAAAATGAGTGCGGAAATGTTTACTTCTGCGCACGCTAGTAGTAAATAGTAGTTCACTTAACAAGAACAGAAAGTAATTATTTTTTGCATGTGTAAGTAAACTATTTTTTTTACTAGCATGTGGAAGAAACCCAAAAGCTAACATAAGAAACATGTATTATTGTTATTAAATATTCAAATGTCAGTATACTCCCCAAAAACTTGAAAGTTTACTTTCCTACACTAAGTGCGGGAAAGTGACTCTTTCGACACTAAAACGAGTGCGGAAAAGTAGACTTTAGCGCAAGTGCAGAAAATGATAATTTTCTGCACGTGTTAGGTACACTATTTTCATCTACTAGTGTGTGGAAAAACCTACAAGTTAACACAAAGAGACATGTTATTAAATATTCAAATGTCAGTATTCTCCCCAAAAACTTGAAAATATCCTTTTCCGCACTAAGTGTGGAATACTGACTCTTTCAACACTAAAATGACTGTGGAGAGTGGTTGCGCATGCTAGTAGAAAATGATATTTTACCTAATAAGTGCGGAAAAGTCACTTTTCGCTAGTTACACTATTTTTTTTACCAGCTTGCGGAAAAAAACAAATTGCCCTTTTTCTCACTATTTCAGCGTTGAAAGGTTGCGGCAGTAGTGAAGAAAAGTGAATCTTCCAACACTTAAACGAGTGCTGAAAAGTGGACTTTTGCCGACGCAAGTGCAGAAAGTGATACTTTTCTAAACGTGCTCGGTACACAATTTTCATCTTCTAGAGTGTGGAAAAAACTCAAAAGCTAATACAAAGAAACATGTAATTAAATATTCAATTGTCGAAATTTTCTCCAAAAACTTGAAAATTCTCATTTGACTCTCAACGCTGAAACGAGTGCGGAAAAGAGGGCTATTGCGCACTCTAGTAAAACATAGTAGTTTACCGAATAAGTGCGGAAATGTCACTTTACGCACGTGTTAGGTACACAGTTTTTTCTACTAGCGTTCGGAAAAAACCAAAATTCCCCTTTTCCGTACTGATTATAGCGTTGAAAGTTTTTTCCGCACTAGTGCAGAAAAGTTACTGTTTTAACACTAAAACGACTGCGGAAAAGTGAATTTTTTCGGCACGCTAGTTGAAAAATGATTTTCAGGTGAGAAACCATTTTCGTGCTCCGCCTGCTCCTACACCACCTCCGATCACAATTCCCTGCGCAGACACAAACTGCGCCACACCGGACACAAGCCCTACAAGTGCAGCTATTGCTCCTACGCCTGCATCCAGACCAGCACCTACAAGATGCATCTCAAAACGAAACACCCCGGCATGGAGAAAGACCTCATGTTCACCTGTCACCACTGTCAGTTCAGGTCGGTGAGCAGGGAGATTTACTCCGTGCATATGGCCACTGTGCACAAAGTGAAACTGAAGGATGATTAGAAATGGGCAAATGGGGTACCTTCCAAATTGTACATAAAAAAATATTGTTAGGTGTGTTTTAGTTAATTTATTGCCTTTTTTCGTTTTATAAGTGATTCATAATAATTAAATATAAGTAATCTTATTTCCTGTATTTTCCTACCTAATAGATATTAATTTAGTGAACTATATGGAATATTCTTCAATCGGCGCCTGTTTCTGTAAAAATAGTAGATTGTTTTATAAGAATCAAAAGTGACACTTTGTTTGACAAGCGAATTTTGCATTTGCGAGGCGGAGCGTTCAGCAAAGCCGAGCGAAAGCAAAATTTGCGAGTCGAACAAAGTCACTTTTTGATCCGAATGAAATTTTTTCTGCAACCGAAACAATTAACTCAAATGAACAAGTGAAGTAACCACCAATGCCGTGCCATATGTATGCAATGCAACAAATATCGACAAATAATCCGTTGGTGAGAATATTCTACCTGCATTAACAGCAGGTTAGGTTTCCTAGGATGCTCGAATTGTAGTTTCAATATAAATACAAACACAGAGTGACATATTTGTGTATGGACCAGGTGCTCTAATGGCAAATACCGCGCCAGTACCAGCTATAGGAACAAGACGTGGAAAATGTTAGGTTAGTGAGCATATCAACAATAATAATAGCGATTATTTATTCCTCTCTATACTACACTGTGTTTGACTTGATAATCAAATGAAGGTAAACAGTATCGTTGTTTGAGACAACAAAAACTCTTGCTTGCCGTGATTGTTCAAAAACAAGTTATCCATCCCGAGAATAACGAATGAAATACAGATCAAGCAAGTGATTGAATCTTGAAGGCTTCTCTGATCAAAACAAAAATACTCAACTGAGATGTTAATAATTCCAATACTGGCAATACTTAACTATAATAAGGTGTAATAATATCTCCAGCATCGGCATGAAATGCCAAATATGCCGAAATCGGAAACAAATCAGGTATGCGTCTCAACTCAAATAACCAACCATAACAATGTAAATATATGTTGCCTAGCAACATACCTACTTTTGTGTCAGTTATAGAAACGTCAATTTAAGAGCTAATTTTGGTATCAAAATGGACGACTTTTGTGTCGGTTGCAGAAAAATCGAATTTTATTGTTCATTGAAGTTTGAAGTAGGTATACTTTTATGGTCCCTTGATGCAAATGACGTATTTGTCATTGTCATCTTAACAGGTTATGGACAGATCTTGAGACAGATCCTCGTCTCCTCTCACTCTAAAGTGTTTGTGAAACAGTTATATAGTTTCATCCTTATTCAATTCTGCAGATAAACTAGTGTTTCATTGGTGTTTTCTAACATTTGTTGTTTTTTAGGTTAGATGGAGGACATTGGCGTATCATACGTAATTTCCACATGGAATTCCTGAATCAACGCTACATATTATATCCAAATGATTATGAAATAATTCTTGAGTTTTCGATTCTCAAACTTCAGTATAATCTTCGTGATGCAGTGAGCATACATTTTTCTAAAAGTTTAATATGTTTTCCCAATTATGGGACACTTCTTGTAGGCTATACCTATATATGAATAAATGGATTTTGGATTTTGATTACAGACTGAGCCTTATGGTTGAGAAATGGTGAAAACTTTGATGCAGGTATTTAAACTAATGCCAAATGTGTTGTATATTTATTTACTCATGTTGGGTATCATTTTTGCAGTGTTTTAGGATCACTTGAGTGTTTTCTGAATGTAGGCATAATTTTTCGAAAGTTAGAGCATATGCATATGTCATGTCAGGGACGCCAATACACAAAACCAAAGTCACTACATCATCAAAAGGGAAAGGAGCTATGATCTATCCGTACCCCCTACAAAAACTAATTACTAGTTAAAAAGAGTGATTTATTCTGCTTTTTGCCTCTGTAGAAAATACATCACATTCTAAGGACCACTGTGGAACTGTTGCAAAGCAGTTCAAGAAGATTTTTCTTGATAAGACATATTTATTTTGGGTTCCCACTAAACAAAGTTGGTTGTTGATGCAATGTTGAAGCAATTACTGAATAGGACGTTCAACAATATTGCAATAAAGGTGACGTTTGATTATGTAGAGTTGCAGCAATATTACATGTTGCTGCTGTGACATTGCTGGAACATTACATTTACAAGCTGAGTGTTGGCAATAATTATTGGTAGTATGATGAGCCATCTTAAATAAGTTCATCGGAAACATGAAGGAAAGTTCGGAATTAATTCCAATACCGATTTTTTTTCTAACATTTTGAGCCTTTTCCACCACTTTCTTGTTGCATTTTCAATTTTGGTTTTTTATTTATTTTTGGAATATTTGAGGCAAACTTCAAACGGAGGGCTCAGAAGCCAATCAGTGTAAGTCATCTAATGAGTGAAATGAGATAATTGGATATTTTCGAATTGTTACATATGAAAAATACCGCTTATTCTTATATGGGTTTCAAACAAACTCTTTATTGGAAACAAGTACATAAATAAAGTATTTCCCCTCCCTTTACCTTATTTTCATCTGAATATTACCCGACCTCGCTAGCTCGTTCCGTTCAAAAGTTTAAAGGGGGTGGAGGACTTTTCACTTCCTCACTGTTTTTGATCTGGTCTGGCATATAATGCTATGAAGTCTTTGGTGTCTTTGACTTCTTGGTAGCCCTGCAGGACCCACTCAGTACTTCCGAAGTCAGCTTTGAACGGCTGTGGATCCGTGTGCCTTCCGACGTCATCTCCAGGGCCAATCACGATCACCAGGTGGCCCTTGTAGTTTAGAACGTACTCCCGAAATGCTGAGCCGTCATTGAAATAGCAGAAAAGTAGGGCGCAATGGGGGTCGAGAAGATTATCTCTGTGTTCTTCGGGATAGTTGAGTTCTATGAAATGCGGGCTGGAGTATTTGCTGTCCCACCATTCTCGGTTTATTTCATACCCGATGGTGGGCAGTCCTGGGAAATGACAGATACATCATAAACAAAATGGCTGTTTAGTATTGCTTGTTACCTGTTGATTCATGAATTATCCACTCCAAAAGTCCACATCCGCATCCTATGGAAATGATACCTCTACATCCGAAAGCTTGGACATTTTTTTTTATAAACGTTAGATTCTTTTCGCTGGGCCATACCCACAACAATTTTAATGCACTTGAGTTGTTAGATTGTTGCCTCAACTTTAAGATTTCTTGCCATCTGTTGTCTTTGTGATAATTCAAAATAAGATTTAAAAATTCATTGTCCATAGTAGAATGATGGAAATTTTTAACTACACGTTTTTTCAGATCGCCTAAACCGACGTGAAAAAAACCCAGCTATTATGAAATGAATTTTTAAATTTGTGGAGCTGCCAATGAGTTATATCATTACCCATATTATAATTATATGCCAATATATGCTTGTGTTCAACAAAAATAGCCTAATCAGTAATCAGATTATTTGGCAAGGATTTTTTTTTCAAATAATATAGATGGTGGGTATATATGTCGTGGGTAAATGATGCAAACGGCTATTTTGTCTCCTTTGTTGTTTTCAAATATTTATTTTTTTAACGTCTATAAGAAGTAAGGATTGTCAATATCTATTCTTCAATAACAACATAGTAATTTTAATAGTTTCAGTAATACACTATCGTGAAATTGAATTCTTGAATGAATTATTATACCGGTGATGTGAAAAATGCAATAATTCATCTGTATATATCTGTTCCAATAATTACTCATCTACCACAAATTGAAAATTAGTAGGATGCAAAAATTTAAATAACGTGCCTATAAGTTATAATTTATATATAGGTATACCTCTAGTTCTTTTATTTTTAGTTTTTTAAAAAATTTCGTTGGTTTAAAAAATAATTAAAAAATGACTTGTTATTTGATGAGAAGGGCACACAAATCATATGTATAACATGAGGGGTATATAGTGCATTTTCCTCCCTTGAAAGATTACTGATGCCCTCCGCTACGCGCCAGGCAGTACCTAATATAAAACTTCATCTTCGTGAGGAAAAGTGGCACTTTCCTCCCCTGTAATACAAATAGTTATATTTTATATTAGCGTGCGGAAAAGTCCACTCATTTCATTGTAGAAAGGGACACTTTTCCGCACTAGTGCGGAAAAAACTTTCTAATATGAGTGCGGAAAAGTTAAATACGGATACGCTAGTAGAGAAAATAGTGTGCCTAACGCGTGCGTATAATGACTACTATGAAGTATATGGGTAAACTACTATTCCGACCCTAAAAAACATGTGCACAAGAAGGTAATGATTTTAACAATCTGCAAAAAAAAACATGAACGGCACTGTAACAAGCCATCTGATGTTGACAACTCATAATTTTATTGCTGTGAGTTCTTTTGTTTCGTGAATTCCATGGTTATCTAACTGTCATTTGTCAAACTCATTCTGTCATTTCTGCCTGTGCTGCCAGCTGCCATTTTGTTGCTTGTGCGAGCAAGAAGTTGATGCGTTGTCTTGTGCTTGTTTGAGCAAAGGATTTATCGTTTCTGTGGGACACAGGAACTTGTATTTATCCACGATCCCATACCCCATATTATGCTTTCATGAAATCCGAATTTCAAAGTGGCTTGTGAGTTTTGTGTTTGAAACTTTACGTTTTGAGAACCTCGCCATGGAAAGATTCTCTTGCAGAACTTGTTTATTGCACACTACCGAGGACTCTAGTGTCGAAATAAGTCGAGAATGTATTCTGGGCAGATGTATAAAGGACCTTTTAATTCATTATATACCAGAATTGGTGAGTCTCATTATTTATGCTAGTAGTGTTACAAGTAATTTTCACATTTCAAAATATAGGAATCGACCCTGGTTGACTCCAACAGAATGTGCAGAGCTTGTTTCAAAACCCTGAGGAGCTTTGTAAAATTTGTTGAAAAGTGCTTGGAGGTTGAAAACAGATTGAATAATCCAGAACCAACAAGGAAAGACCTGGGCCTGGATAGGTTGGAACTTGGTGGTAATATTGAAATTGTAGAGAATATTCAGATTGTTCTAGAAGATGGTGAGTGTGCCTGAAAAATACTAGATCCTATTATCTCAAATTCTATCTTCCAGATCAAAGTTATTCTGGTGGTGAAAATCCCCTTCTGTATGATTCCTCAGAAAATATTGGTCATGACCATGCCTACATAAAAGCAGAATTATTGGAAGAGGGAGAGGACATACCCCAACAAGCTTATGAAATTCAACCTGAAGAGGTCAATGAGCATAGCCAACTTGTCAGTTCCCTGCTTGATGAAGGTAATTTGCCAGATGAGGAGATGTATGATGATGACATGGGAGAAGGCAGTGTTATTTATGCAGAGGGTCTTGATATGGAAGATAGTGAATTGATAAGGGCTGTGCAGTCTAATACAGTTAATGTCAAGAAAGAGGATACTAATGATTCGTAGGTCAAAAATACCTTGGGAATTGGCAATTATTTTATTATACATGATCTTTTTGTAGTTTTGCCACAGTTGAAGGAACATCAGAGGGAGGTTTTATTTACTATGATGCAGAAATGGGAACAGAAGCTAATGTTTATATTTGTGATCTTTGTGGGGAAGGTTTCCTCAGTGAGGACTTGCTTAAGCAACATTTTCAGTTCCATGGAGAGGTGCGGATAATGTGTGACAAATGTCCCAAAGTATTCAAAAATTCTACTGCACTCAATGCACATTACAAGTGAGTTTTCATTTTAGGTTTTTTATATCAATTTCATTACTCTGAAAATTTGCTGGTTATCAGGCAGGGAACATACATTTAGAACTGAACATGTGAACCAACTGCTACTTATTTATCCTGATATTCATGACAAAAAATGTCCCAAAGTATTCAAAAATACTACTGCACTCAAAGCATTAATTCCTAATATCTCAAAGACTACTAGTCCCAGTGGTTTATGGTCTCAATTGATTCAGCATGAAGTTGTCTACTGGATAACCCTTGTCACATGAAATTGCACATATTTTAGGGATTTTATTGCATCAGAAGATGGGGCTGTATTTTTACACATGAGATAATTTCAGATATGGAAATGAAAATTTTTCTTAGGCACATTAAAAATCTGAAAAAAATCACAAAAGCCTAAGTAACCCTGTAAAGAAAGAATCTGTCAAGAAATTTTTGGAAATAGAAATAAAATAGTGCTTCAGAGTGCTCTTTTTGGCAATAAACACATGAGGGTGATTCTTAGATTCTGTTTATATGATAACATAGAAGAAACAATAGTTCAACAATTATGTCATGAAATAAATTGATGTTATTCCTGCATAACTTGGTAAGTTGTATAGGTTATCACATGCATGCTCCTTTCGGCAATAAACCCAAATATAGGTGACTGCTTGCCAATATCTCAAAAACAACTAGTCTTGGCAGTCTGTTTGTGGTCTCAGTTGATTCAGCATGAAGTTTTTTACTGGAAAACCATTATGTCCTGTGAAATATTTCTGGGATTTTCCGGCATCAGAAGATGATGAAAATTTTTGTTAGGCACTCTAAAAATCTGAAAAAATTCACAAAGGCTATTGATAAATGTTTGGGGATACTGTTCAAAAAACAATTTTAATAAAATATCTGCTTTATATAAAAAGAGATGGAAAGTACTGTATCGTTTACCATATGATACACCAACAATTCAATTATATAATATAATTGAATCATTCTCATTAGAAGAAATGTTCAAAATTGAAAGACTGAAAATTTACATACAATATCATAAATAAAAGATTGATATCTAATTTTATTTCAACAGGAAACAATGAAATTCATAATTACCAAACTAGACAACATGGTTTATTTCATCTTAATATGGCTAATTCTTCTATAGGCCAAAAATATAAAAGATAATATAAAAAATTGCAGAAATACAATAAAATTCAAATACCGTTATGCCGCGTGGAATTCCGCATTTTTCTAGGATTTTCCCGCATCGGAAGATGGGGATGTGCTTATTATAAGATAGTCTCAGACATGGAATCGACAATTTTTGTTAGGCACTCTGAAAATCTGAAAAAATTCACAAAGGCTAAATGAACTTCGCAAAGAAAGAATCTGTGGAGAAAATTTGAAAATTTTTGCATATTGAAGAGTAGTGATGCTTCGGAGTGCTCCTATCGGCAATAAACGCGAATAGGTGACTTTTTTCGCTATTATCTCGAAAACTAATAGTTCCAGCGGTCTGTTCATGGTTTCCATCGAATCAACGTGAAGTTTTCTGCTGGAAAACCGTTATGTCGCTTGGAATTCCGCATATTTCTAGGATTTTCCCGCATATAAGATAGTCTCAGACATGGAAACGAAAATTTTTATTAGGCACTCTGAAAATCTGAAAAACTTTGCAAAGGCTGAATGAACTTCGTAAAGAGAGAATGTGTGGAGAAAATTTGAAAATTTTTGCAAATAGAAGAGAAGTGATGCTTCGGAGTGCTCCTATCGGCAATAAAAGCGAATAGGTGACTTTTTTCGCAATTATCTCGAAAACTACTAGTTCCAGCGGTCTGTTTATGGTCTCAATCGATTCAGCGCGAAGTTTTCTACAGGAAAACCGTTATGTCGCGTGGAATTCCGCATATTTCTAGGATTTTCCCGCATCGGAAGATGGGGTTGTGCTTTTACATATAAGATAGTCTCAGACATGGAAAAGAAAATTTTTGTTAGGCACTCTGAAAATCTGAAAAACTTTAAAAAGGCTAAATGAACTTTGTAAAAAAAGAATCTGTGGTGAAAATTTGAAAATTTTTGCATATAGAAGAGTACTGATGCTTCGGAGTGCTCCTATCGGCAATAAAAGCGAATAGGTGACTTTTTTCGCAATTATCTCGAAAACTACAAGTTCCAGCGTTCTGTTTATGGTCTCAATCGATTCAGCTTGAAGTTTTCTACTGGAAAACCGTTATGTCGCGTGGAATTCCGCATTTTTCTAGGATTTTCCCGCATCGGAAGATGGGGATGTGCTTTTACATATAAGATAGTCTCAGACATGGAAACGAACATTTTTGTTAGGCACTCTGAAAATCTGAAAAAATTCACAAAGGCTAAATGAACTTCGTGAAGAAAGAATCTGTGGAGAAAATTTGAAAATTTTTGCAAATAGAAGAGTAGTGATGCTTTGGAGTGCTCCTATCGGCAATAAAAGCGAATAGGTGACTTTTTTCGCTATTTTCTCGAAAAATACTAGTTCCAGCGGTCTGTTTATGGTCTCAATCGATTCAGCGTGAAGTTTTCTACTAGAAAACTATCATGTCGCGTGGAATTCCGCATATTTCTAGGATTTTCCCGCATCGGAAGATCGGGATGTGTTTTTACATATAAGATAGTCTGAGACATGGTAACGAAAATTTTTGTTAAGCACTCTAAAAATCTGAAAAAATTCACAAAGGCTAAATGAACGTCGTAAAGAACGAATCTGTGGAGAAAATTTGAAAATTTTCGCAAATAGAAGAGTAGTGATGGTTCGGAGTGCTCCTATCGGCAATAAACGCGAATAGGTTACTTTAATCGCTAATATCTCGAAAACTACTAGTTCCAGCGGTCTGTTTATGGTCTCAGTTTTTGTTTTCTTGCAATAAACTTATATCATGTTCTAATATTTTTTGTTTACTTTCTGCTTTTTTTCAAATAATAGTTTCTGTATATCTATTCCTTCTCCATTTTGTATGAGGCTAGGTATTATATTACCTGTATACTGGGGATGAATACCAGGACTCATGCTTCCATCTTCATCGTTTTTTTCTATAGACAAAGCAGGTTTTCCATAACAAACTTTTCTTTGTGAACAACTATTATGGAAAACTGCTTCACATGTAGAACCTTTCACCCTCTTCGTCACATTTTCACCACAGTAATTACAATTTTTATTAACGACGCTATTTGCCATATATTTCACCACTCTTCTTCTTCCTTAACCTCACTTCTTCTTGACATTTTGTCTGGTTTGGTTCAAGGTTGAAACACATCGAGGTGGAACGTTTCAAGTGCAACCTTTGCCAGCAAACTTTCGCCAGAGCCGACTACTTGAGAAACCATCTCAAACGCCACCAGGAAGAAAACGAATCCAACAGGGTGAAGTGCAGAGTGCCAGGTAAATTTCTGCGGTTCAAAAACACAGGTAACTACTATACAACACGGCGCAGGGAAACCTTGATTCTCTATTTTTGCCGTTTCAGAGTCTCCTTTGCCTTGCAGAATATGCGGGAAATATTATAACGGGATTCAGAAATTGAAGGTTCATCTGCAGACACATCTGGTGGTGAAGAGGTATGCCTGCGAGTATTGCGATTTGACGTACAAGAGATGGCCGAGTCTGAAGAGGCACGAGAAGACTCATCTGGAATCTGAAGATATATTCCACAGGTGAATAACTTTTTTGAACCTTTTTTCTAGTAGCAATATTATCAACTAGCAGAACTAGCTGGTGGTGAGCCACTTTGCTTGATACTTTTTTAACATTATGCACTGAATAAATATTCCAGAAATGATGATTTGTTCTTTGTTTCAGAACATTTCTGAAATTTTGTCAACATTCCTGATATTTTTAGATCTTGACTGACATTTTTAGATCATTGGAGATCATTTTACAACATTACTGACGCTATTTGAAACTCAAATGTGTATAGAAATTACCGAAAATTTACCCTATTAATGGACTGTATATAGAATTATGAATTTTATTCACGTGAAATGTTGGAATTTGTCTTCTGTTGCACCGGTTTTCTGCTGTATATGTGGTAGGTGTTAGATTGAAAAAAGGAAGGAAAAGAAGAGGAAGGAAGAAAACACCCAATTTCTAATTAGATTTCCATTATTCCACTATGAAAATATCCCGAAATCCAACTTTGCGCCGATATTCGTTCTCCTTTTGTTGATTCATTGACCCGATTATTTGCCCGTGCAAAGGTTGTCAAATCTGAACAATGTCTTTGACTGTAGGTACCGTTTTCAACTGAACTACTGAAAAACTCACCTGCATCGTTGCCACATTGTATATACAGGGTGTTTCAAAAAAACCTAACCCCCTTGCTAGGGTAGGCAGAACATTGCAAAATAAGTTGGGTTTGCTCAGTGAAAAAATGTCGTAACGGCATCCGTTTTCATCATACAAGGTGTTGAAAAAATTATTTTTTTACACATTTTTCACGATTATTCCGAAACTACTGGCACCATTGTAATGAAATTTTGTATGAATGTTTCTTGAAATCTGACACATCGCATGAATTTGTTTTTATATCTGACTCTCATAGAGGGCGCTAGTTACACGATTCGTACCGAGTAGTTTTGAACATAACTTTTTTGAGGATAGATTTTCCAATCCAAATATGATATGAACTTGAACATCATTCAATTTCACACCAAAAAGTTACTCCTGGTGAAACTCGATACTATGTTCCGTTTTCGGAATATTTCGATTTGAAAATAATGGAGTAGTAATGATGCTGGTATAAAATGAATTTTATTGAGTTCAATTACCTATTTATTCAGGTTCAAAAACAATGAAATTATTCTTGTGCTGAAGTTATTGATGGAACAAAGAATCATAAGTAGAAAATTGAGAGATATTTGACAAGAAACAGTTAGAGTAAGAGTTCAAAATGTCCTACGTTTCGAGGATTACACGATTCTATATTCTTTTTTTAAGAATGAATTATTCTTCTGAACAGTTGAGGATGAGCTGTTAGATCATGATGTTCAATTATGTCTTACAACTCTTGACGTGGATTTACCTATGTAGCATAGACTTTCTGCTCAAGATACAACAAAACTGTGTAATCCATGTTCTTAGTCAAATCTGTTTCGATGTTATTCACTCTAATACATAGCTTTATACCAGCAACAGTTACCACTTCATCATTTTCAAATCGAAATATTCCAAAAACAGAATACAGTATCGAGTTTTACCAAGAGTACCTTTTTGGTGTGAAATCGAATGATGCTCAAGTTCAGATCAAATTTGGATTGAAAAATCTAACCTCAAAAAAGTTATGTTCAAAACTACTCGGTACGAACTGTATAACTTGCGCCCTCTATGAGAGTCAGATATAAAAACAAATGCATGCGATGTGTCAGATTCCAAGAAACATCCATGCAAAATTTCATCACAATGTTGCCAGTAGTTTCAACATAATCGTAAAAAATGTGTAAAAAAATTATTGTTTCAACACCTTGTATCTTGAAAACGGATGGCGTTACGACATTTTTTCACTGAGCAAACCCAACTTATGATGCGATGTTCTACCTACCCTAGCAAGGGGATTAGGTTTTTTTGAAACACCCTATATACATATGATCGAATTTAGGTATTCGCCCATACAAAATGACTGTACTGAAATACAATTGACGCTTTCTGAAGTGGGGGCTAATATCATTTATTTTCCACAAAATCGCGATACTGAAACATGATGTCAGAGTTGTTAGAACTGATAAATATACTTGTTTTTTTTTTTGTGTCATTTGGCCTCTTCTTACGATATCTTCTCCGTCAATGTAAGAAGTAGTCGTAAAGTTCTACATTGAGAGTAGAAAAAACGTAATTCTGATTAAGTCGTTCCATAATAAGGTAGTGAGAATCAAGGTAGTGAAAAAGTCGCGCGAGAGCTTGCTCCAGCGATTTTTTCTATTTCCCTTGATTCGTGATTTTTTGCCAAATGACGATACAATTTCAATACAATTTGAAATACTTTCAATATCCAAGAGTTCAAGCATTCCTTTCACTGCGTTCATAGAATCTCATTTAACAAATATTTAATTTAATATTAAATTGTTTTTCACTCAGTTTGGATCCTACCAATTCCAGTCTATCGAAGAAAGTTTTAGTCATAAAAAAATGTGACTGAAATTGGTTTCCTGGAATTATGTTTTCGAAACAATTTGAAATTTTTGAAAAATCCTTCTGGCACTCTTGTATATCATTATTTTTCCTCGTCCGAGGAAGAAAAACTACTGTCATCGTGAAAAAATGAATTCATAATAGTTGCGTTTTATTTGTTCCATTCTGGTAGCGGTGGTGGGAACAGAATGACGTTTTCAAATGAAACGCGAATCTTCATGATCTTGCACGGGAGAATTCACATAAGAGGTTTTATATATATATTGTGGTTCCAAATAATTTCAAAATCATGATACTAGAGTTGAGAATCCAGAAAGTCAATCAACGAATATTTGGAGCAGCGATTGTGGTGATTGGAGAAATTTCTCTGAGATCAAGAGAAATAATTTTATCTGGGAATGAACATATGAAACCTGTCCTACTTAAAGAATCACAAACTTGTGAACTTCATGATAAAAAGATATTCTGAACTTTCAAAAAGTTTAGTTTTTCGTCAATCTGATATAATTTTTTGATAACTGTCAACAGTCATTCCACGTCAATGAGAAGAAATGAAAAGTAGCAACCGGCATCCGAAAAGTTGCAAATTAAACGATACATCGAGTGATTCTGGGGGCGGAATCGGATAAATAAAACGCAACAATTGAGTTCATTGCATCGGAGTTGCTCCGGTAAAAGTGCACTTATCATGCGATGATTTTTTTTTTGAACATTTTTTTTGGTACTTACGGATTTTCGTCTGAAAAACACGAATTTCATAATGAAAATGTGAACAAACTACTATTTATCGAGATATTTCAAGAAAAAGTTCGAAATTTTGCCTCCTTTTCCCCCTTGTGTTGGATGCATTTACAGGTACTTGCTCTTATTATTTTGTCATTGGACACTTTATATACTCATGATGTACTTCACTGACACATTTTAAGATAGAAAATTCAACAGGAAATATGATTTTTATGGCGAGTTTTTCCTATTTAGTGAGCAAGCATATACCAGATGACGGCCATTTAATCCATATGCAATCCAAATAGGCCTTTTCATCTAGATATATTTTCAAGACGCATGCGCTCGTCTTTAGATCCAACAATTCATTGGGTAATGCAAAGGTGAAGTCTCATTGGCTATAATTCCAACACAAAATCCTGGTTGGCCATTTCGAATATGGCGGGTATTATTAACGTTATGTCAAATGTCAACAGTGTCAACCACCATGGGCATTCGTCATTGAGAAACAACAATAACAACATAGTATTCTTATTTTTATATTCATGGTGTGTATTAATTGTATTATAATAATTTAATTCCAAAAAACGTTACTCATTCGTTACTGAGGAGTGTGGTACTGTGGTGTAAGTGTTTCAGTGAAAATGGCCGCCACTGTCGTTGGATGCGAGATGTAAACAGAGATAGTCATTTGTCATCTAAATGAAAAGGCCTATACGAGATGTCAAATGTCAATAGATTGCTTTGGAATGACACTACACACGCCATTATTTCAAATGATATTCTTCCTTCTTTTCACTAAACATGGATAAATCACAAGAAAATCATATTTCTAGTTGACTCATATAATAAAAAAAATGTGTCCAACATTGTGTGATATATATAAATTGTCCAATGATGGAAAAAGAAGGGCAAATTGTTCTAAATGTGATCCAGAAGACAGGCGGAAAAGATGGTGAAATTTGTAACTTTATAGTGAAATATCTTGATAAATAATGGTTTGTTCACATTTTCATTATGAAATTCGTGTTTTTCAGACGAAAATACGTAAGTACCAAAACAAATTTTCGAAAAAAACCCCATCGCATGATAAGTGCACTTTTACCGTTGCTCCGAGAAAACATGGATTCTTGAGCGGTTTCAGAAAAAAAAAACCATTTCCAGGTGCAACGTGTGCTGGAAGCGGTTCACCACCAAGGGCGAGCTGGACGCGCACATGAGCCAGCACGGCAACCCGCGGTACCGCTGCCAAATCTGCGAGGAGCAGTTCCACCGTAAGTACCTCTTCGACGACCACTATCTGCTGAGGCACGCCACGCCCGAGGACATCGAGAACTCCAAGAAGGAGATTATTTATGACACGCTGCTGGAGCTGTCCGGTCAGAATGTCTCTCCGGAGTGAACATTGAATATTTATTATGTTATTGATTAATCATATTGTACCTTGTTTATAATAGTTTAGTAACAAAACGACTAATACAAATATATAAGAAAATTGGAAAAATTCAAACTAATATTGAAAGGTACATACGTGATATACGTACATTAAACCAGAGGGTTCATATTGTTACGTTATTCGGGCGCAGAAGCGAACAGGACACTATTTATTTTCTAACTGATTCATTTTAACTAAAGGAACACTAATTTATATCCAACTTATAACTACTATTTATAGTAAATGACTGTCTCTCTGACACCCGCTGCTTGACTGACTGACGGCTGCGGTCCGGCTGTCCTTATACATTAGATCTCTTGGCAGGCTTTGCTTCTCGAACCATTGTCGATCCAAATGAAAACCTAGTAGGCGACCTAGTGCGCATGGAGGTACAATAGCCCTTGCCTACTAACTACCTAACTAGAACGACAAAGGTCGAACCTTCTCGAATGATCTTCCGGAAATGGGCTGCTGGTAAATGTTGAAATCATTGGGATGTTGGAGAACAATCTGGGATGCGTGTTACAGGATGATCGTGGTACTCCTGCTTTATATCATCAGTTTTCACCCAGCTATCGGAGCCGATATTCCAATTCCAGAAGTACTAGGTATCGGAGTACCACCAGAAGAGTTGCGGAGTAATATCATACACCAAGTAGTGGATTATCGTTATAATATTAAATCACGTGAAACCAACTATTGAGAGCTCTAAAAAACAATAAGGTTAAAGCGTCACTATATATCTCTCTCTATTGACAATCCCGAGATGTTTTCCATTCAAGCGATGGTTGGACAAGCTGTGCAAGCATTTTTTTGGCTGTGCTAATAATTTACATCAATTATAATAATAATAATAATGTCTTTATTCATCATAAGTTAACAGAAGATACACAACAATAAAACTAAATGAGATAGATTGGTAACTTGAATGATGAAAAGGCGGGGTTCAGCTATGAATTATATATCAAGCTTCTTAGAAGTGTTCAAGTTGTTGCCGTTTGGTGGATCGACGTGTTATTTTCGATCGCGAAAAGAAATCTGTCATATGATTCTCAATCATTGCTGAAGGACCTATTCGCGGTTGTCAAGGTCATCATCGGACGTCGTAATGATATAAAAACTTTAGGAAAACATGTCTAACTTTCAATCTAAGCCAAAAGTTGGGAATGTTTTCCCGTAGTTTCCATGTCATCGCAATATCAGATGATGACCTTGACTACCGCGAATACAAGAAAATTCATATCAAGATAGCAAAAAGAGCAGTTCCACCGTAAGTACCTCTTGGACGACCATTATCTGCTGAGGCACGCCACGCCCGAAGACATCGAGAACTCCAAGAAGGAGATCATTTATGACACGCTGCTTGAGCTGTCCGGCCTGAATGTATCTCCGGAGTGAACCTAAAATATGTATTATGTTATTGATTCATTTATCATATTGTGCCTTGTTTATAATAGTTTAGTTACAAAACGACTAATAAAAATATATAAGAGAATGGGGAAGACCACTGAGGGAAGAAATCCGTGCAAACCTCTTTCAATCGACGAATCATGATTCACGTTTGATCTACAATCAATATTATGAGTTGAAGTTGAAAGGAATCGAATCTATATCGTTTTGAAATCAGCATATTTCATTTGTTATTTCGAAAAGCCAAATATGATGGTGGAGCTGTGACGTATTAGTCCCGCACTGTAGCTATCTCTCTCTGATACCTCATCATTCTGCAGTGTTGCAGTGTGATTGGTGAGTTCAAGGACAATGGGCGTGTTGGGACTAAGACGTCGCACCAGTCTCACCAATGAATTGACAAAATTTCAAATGGCGCAGGAATTGTGTGTTTAGAAATGGACATATTCTAATTCATTTTTTTCATCGTCTTAGCATGAATGAAAAAATTCAAAATTAATTCACTGGTAGTTTTTCAGTATAGAGTTCACGATAATGCCGTTTCAAAAAATCAGTGGTCTCCCCCATTGGAAAAATTCAAAGCAATCATTGAAAGGTACATACTTACCGTCGAAACTACAGGGCTTGTAGTCTCCGTGGTGACGTCACCTTAGTGAGGCCTAACCAGCGGCTCGAAACGACACGCGCTTATGGTGCTATGAGACGACCGTGTATTTCAATTTTAGTTTTAGATCATTATTGAGCCGATTTTGCTGTTTTTCTGAAGGGCTTCCGGTTAAAAGAGGATGCCAGTCGTCCACTGAGCCCTTCTTCGCATTCCATTTGATTTTATTATGGAAAAACGAAGTTTCAAAGCAAAAACCAGAATGAAACACAAAACCCCACCTACAGCATTCTTTTCTCAATTTCCTGTTGGATTTTTTACCCAATTGATCGTTAGACTGAAAACAGTAAGTTTTAAGTAGAGTGTTTGTAGTACATGTTAATATAATAGTTGGTGACAGGTAAGAAAACATCCGATGCAATTGTTCTTATGGTCGCAAAGAGTTTAATAGAATCATACTTAAGAAACAGGCCACAGACGGTAATTGTTAATGAAATCAAAAGTGAAACACTCATTATAAAACGGGGAGCCCCACAAGGGTCTATCCTTGGTCCTCTCCTCTTCTTCTTTATATAAACGACTTACCAAATCACATGAAAACCTTTGATAATAAGTTACAAATTCAAACGGTAATGTACGCAGACGATACCAGTTTCACTTTTCAACAAAAATATGAGGACTGAGGAGAAAGATTCCATAATCAATCTTATCTTAATTCACGCTTCGAGGTGGTTCAGTTCCAATGAACTAAACTGGGCGTCAATTGAAACGTTAATAGTAAAATTTGGCATCAAGTTTGACTTCTCGTAATTTCTAAAATATTGAACGAATTTTGAATTGCCGCCCAGATTCTGAATGCCTTATTCATCGTCTTTCGAACCGTTCCTTACCGCTTCTTCTAAATTGATCAGGACCCGTGATACAGGGTGAGACAAAGTTTCGTGCATTTTGAAAAGAATTTCTCCGCCCCCCCATTTTGTCGGAAGACCACGATGCTCATATTTTATTCAGGCATTTCATAAATAGCAACCATGCCTCGGGACGTTTTCGAGTTTTTGCCAAAAACTACTGTGGTTTCGGAAAAAATTTTTTTTTTGCATTTTTTTAAATGGACTGATTACCTGTATCCTCAAAACGATGAATCAGTCTATTTATGGTCATGACTGACTCATTGAAAGTGGTACTTAAATGAGTTTGGGTATATCCTAATCGTCATAACCTGAAATAATAATTATCTGTACTGAATTATAGTTTATATCACTATAGTGATCTTGTTATAGAAACAAGGTATCGTTGTTTGTTTTTGTTGATGAGATGTGTTGATTTACTGCTCACTAAGGTTGAAAACTTTTATCATAGACTGCGAAGTAATAAATTATTGATTGTTTTTGAGTAACCTGGTATACATATCTGCTCCAACGCTTTCCTGAAATGCATAAAAGCATCCATTTATGGAACTCCTCTAAAATTAGTCCATTTAAAAAAAATACAAAAACATTTTTTTTTTCGGAAACCACAGTAGTTTTTGGCAAAAACTCGAAAACGTCCCGAGGTATGGTTGCTATTTATGAAATGGCCGAATAAAATATGAGCATCGTGGTCTTCCGACAAAATGGGGGGGGGGCGGAGAATTTTTTTTCAAAATGCACGAAACTTTGTTTCACCCTGTATCATGGGTCCTGATCAATCTAGAAGAAGCTGTAAGGAACGGTTCGAAAGACGATGAAAAAGGCATTCAGAATCTGGGCGGCAATTCAAAATTCGTTCAATATTTTAGAAATTACGAGAAGTCAAACTTGATGCCAAATTTTACTATTAACGTTTCAATTGACGCCCAGTTTATATTTGAATGACTAGAAAACTGCAACACGCGTTTTTTCAGATGCAGGTTCATCAGAGAACACGGAAATAAAATTCCTCGGAATATTTTTCGACTCCACTCTATCATGGATTTCTCAAATAAATTTCAAAAGTCGATTTGTTGGTTTTGATAAATATTTAATAATTATATGTCACGAAAATCATTGACAAGAATCCAACAGACATCTGCTTGATATAATATGGGAATAGTACTTTGAGGAATCCTTGGCAATTCTAGGTCGTAGTGGATCACTCATATTGACGTAGTACATCCCCAATTTCGCACTAAAAAAATCAATCAAAATTAAAATAGTATATCGTTTAACGAGCATTGATTTTTTCTTAAGTAATGCTCATCTATTTGACAAAACTGTCATTGCTTAAAATTTGACATGAGAGATCAGATTTTGCAAGATAATAATCAGATACGGAAAAGTAACAGTGAAGCATTTTGTGTTATAGCCGATGAAAAATTAATATTTCCACACATTGGAAAAAACTAACTCACTTATTGCCCTGCGTCCATTCGAAATTATCGATGATGCTCCATGCAGTGTATCCAGTAACTCTTACACCACCATCATACATGGCGTCAAGAAGGTGACTCATATAAGACTAAAAAAAAAATATTCATGATACCACACTACATGTTGTCCGATCTTAATTCGAAAAATTTCAATTGGATTTTTAAATAGTTATTCAAATAACATCAATTGTCGATGAATTTTGAAATATATTATATGTATTTTGAATCAGTAATCTCAACATCCAAGAGCATTATACATTGTGTCCCACTTACCATGCTCACCATGGGTATCTTTTTAACGGTGAGAGATGCGAGGTCGGTTAAATGACAACAAATGTGGAGTTTGTCAAGGCCAACTATAATGTGAAAAAATATTTTGATAAAATCTATTCGTTTTTGTTTTATACACAAAAATTAGATTTTGATCATTTTCATGTCTCCTCCATAATTTCTTTATCTATAAAAATATTCAAATAGGAATTTCACATTCTCATGGCAGTTTTTCAAAGTGATTTCTAGAAAAATATGAAAATTATACCAACTCTTCTAGAATTTGAGATATCAGCATCAACTTTAGTTTTTCAAATGTAGGTCATAGCTTACTATGACTTAGTTACAAATAACTTTTTTTTCTCTTACAGATGATATGTCGCAGTAATAGTTTTGTGTTGATAACAACGGAGGTATCGTCATTTATACAAAAACAAAAAATTATTTGGAAGTCGCCATCTTGAATTTATAAATTTTTACAAAAAACTCATGATCTCCGACCTCGAAAACCCCCACTTACCAATTTTGAATGGAATCGGACCAAATCTTGTCCGCTATCTTATTGGAGCAGCCATTTTTTGAAATTTCAACAAAAATTCCATAATGTTTTGTCACCGAAATTATGAACACCTGTCAAATTTCAAGTTAATCGGCCTTATGGAATTTTTGTTGAAATTAAAAAAAAATGTCTGCTCCAAGATGGCGGACAAGATTTGGTCAGATTCCATTCAAAATTGGTAAGTGAGTGTTTTTGAGGTCGGAGATTATGATTTTTTCGTTAAAATTTATAAATTCAAGATGGCGGCTTCCAAATAATTTTTTGTTTTTGTATAAATGACGATAACTCCGTTGTTATCAACACAAAACTATTACTGCGACATATCATCTGTAAGAGAAGAAAAAAATATTTGTAACTAAGTCATAGTGAGCTATGACCAACATTTGAAAAAATAAAGTTGGTGCTGATATCTCTAATTCTAGAAGAGTTGGTATGAATTTCATATTTTTTTCGAAATCACTTTGAAAAACTGCCATGAGAATGTGAAATTCCTATTTGAATATTTTTATAAATAAAGAAGTTATGGAGGAGACATGAAAATGATCAAAATCTAATTTTTGCATATAAAACAAAAACGAATAGATTTTATCAAAATATTTTTTCACATTATAGTTGGCCTTGACAAACTCCACATTTGGTTAAAAAAATACCCATGGTGAGCATGGTAAGTGCGACACACTGTATGAATCTTCAAATTATTACTTGAATTCAAAGTATATCATTCGTTTTTCAGTATGTGCCAATAGGGGTGTTCATCTTACCTTCATATAATTGATTCTGTGTTGATCTCTCAATGTTCCAGTAGTGTCAGACACTCCATTTTCCGTTATCACAATCTCAATATCGCCGTAAGTCTTTTTGAGCCATCTCAGAAGTTTACCGAAGCCCCATGGAACAATCTGAAGAATAAATCAGTCATAATCCATTTTCAAAATTGAACCAAATCAAGGTCACACATCAGTTTTATGTTCAACATCCTTGAAAATTGAATGAACCTGATCTGTAAATGCACGGATTATTTGTTGCATTGCATACATATGGCACTGCATCCACGTTTCGGGTATAATATTGAATTTGTACATGTAGTATCTTATGATGCATGTCAACACAAATTGTAACAAAGTAATGTCATCGTTCACTAATATTCTAATGTAAAGTAGTCTGAGGTCTTGCTTCCATCTTCTTACCTATATTATTATAATAAAGGTATTATAATAATCTGTCAAGTAAGTCACTTTGGTGGTTACTTCACATATTTATTTTAGATAATTCTTTCGGTTGCAGAAAAAATAGCATGTTTCATTCGGATCAAAAGTGACTTTGTTTGACTCGCAAATGCAAAATTCGCTTGTCAAACAAAGTGTCACTTCTGATCCTAATGAAACAATCTACTATTAGCCCTTATTCGGCTATCATTCTTCTCAATTTGAAAGTGATCAGCAGAGTGAAAGGACAAAAACCGACACAACCTCTTTTGGAGAGCACGAAAGGAAATTCCTATAATGTTCGAAGAACATCGTGCGTAACTAGGGAGGATAGGGAGAGGAGGTATAGGTGTTGGAATATTTCTTGACCTGTTGGAGGTTATAAGATACTCACCCTGAACCAGCCGATGGCAGCAGTCTGCCACTCGTCCTTCTGGTACGACCTCGCCTTCGAGTCCGTGTCCCAGCTGACCACCTTGGGGTACTCCTCCCCCTTCACGGCCGTCACCATGTACGTGGTGTAGTGGTTCAGTGCTAAAAAGTCGTAAGTGCCGTTCACTAGCGCGATTTCCTCCTCACTGAATGCGGGGAGTCGGGATTGGTTGAAGCCCTGCCTTCGGCTGATCTCGCCGACGTTTTCGATCATCTGGTCCGGCCAGTCGCCTTTGAATACAGGGTGCGCGTACATACCGAACTGTAAGTTGAACGAAAAAAAAAAGTGATTGAAGGAGATGGATTCATACATGCATATACAGGGTGTATCTAAATAACACCGAAAAAATTCAAGGGATGTTTCCTCGTGACATTCTAGCAACCCCCCTGTATAAGCTTTCATGGTGTCAAAATTCAGTATGGATGGAGACCGAGTAAGCCCTTAAGTTTCAAAATGATTCTAATTGGGGTTATTGAGTAATCTCAATGGAAGTCTTGAAAACACCTACATTAAAATTTGGAGTCACATCGAATTTTTATTGTTGCCTCAAAAACTAAGCTAGATATAAAAATCACACAGAAGGTAAAAAAGTTGTTATTTCAATAGTTCAATCTAATAATAGTTATTTATTATACAGGGGAAAAAAGTAGTAGATTTTAGCTCCAGGTTGTGTTGTCTCGCGTAGCGGAGGGAGACAAAAAATCGTGAGCTAAAATCTAATATTTTTCCCGTGTATAATACACTATTTTTTTCTGTGACAGAAGAAAGGACGAATCAATATTGAGAAGATATTACATTATTTGGAAATCTGAAAATTATCGACGTGAAATTTTAAGTTTTTAACAGTAGGGACACCTGCGTTGTAGGCATCTTTATCATTCTTTTGAAGTAATCAAATATCTGATGTCACTTCTGTCAGTCTAATTCTGTGATTTGATTTAAAAAAATTGTGAATTTAGTGGTTGTTCTGTAATATACCTAACCGCGAAGTCAAATGGAAGATAAAAGGACTTGATGCAGTTCTTTGTCGGAGACGGTATTTATAATTTATGAAAAGTGACATTTTATAACCTGCCAACAGAGATGAAATGCCAAATGTTTTTCCCGTCACAGAAAAAAAAAAATGAAACTCAGAAAAACCGGTTGTGTACAATGTCATTCACCATGAATATCGATAAATTTGCCCACTGTGACGCCACTGGAAATATTATTTCGAATCTAATAGCACTAGAAGAAGCTCCATATATTACTATCAAAACCACAACGTTTTATTGAAAATTGATTTGAAGACAATTGAGAAATTGATAGAAATAAGATTTTTAACGGAAATATTAATACCCTGTATCTCGAAAACGAAGCTCATGTTCATATGAACTTTATTTTCTAAAATATCACAAGAAATCATCCCTTGAATTTTTTCGGTGGTATTCATGCAGATACACCCTGTAGAATTGGAATCACGACTTTAGGAGGGTACTTATTTTTTCAAAAGGGGTCAAAAATTAAAAAATCAGATGATGATTTTTGATTCCTCAGGAGCCAATCTACTTTTTTCGAAGGAATTAAAAATTACAAAATATCTCGATATCTACTCTAGACGGAGAAATAAATTGTGATTTCAGGCGGATAACAATATTTTCTTTTAGCTGGCGTCGAAAATTAAGAATGTTGAAATGTTTTTTCGATGAACCTACCTTGATTAAGAATTATTGAAATCAGCACTTCAGGGGCGTACCTATTTTTTCTGAGGTGGTTGAAAATTAAACAAAGGTCTGATACCTAAAATAACGCATATTCGATGCAATAATTTTTTTCAAGATGACAGAAAGAAAAATTTAAGAAAAATATTAACTTTCTCACCACAAATTGACGCTTAATTTCGGCTGCTACGACATCCTCCTCCTTATTGGTCGCGGGCTCGTACCAGTCCGAATCGATGACGATGGTGTTCCTGCTGCCCAGTGCGCTCCTAAAAAAATTGGTTATAAAATTGTTCTATCCGTCATTCGGTTGCCCCCTTACGAGCAACCCTGAGAAGTCTTCGAGAGACTCATGTGAATGAGCATGTCGTCAAAAAATAAACGTTGATTCTTAACCATACAACGAGAGAAGCAGATATTTTTTCTGTTAAGAAGATTGAATCAGATATTGTTGAACAAATCCATCAATGATAATGGAATGATCAATTACCGCATTAACTACCAAATAACTTGACTTGAAACTTATTAATAGGATTGGAAAGTACAACAAAAAGAATCAGGGAAACTTCTACTGCTGTAATATTGACATATTATCTCGTTTTTATAGTTTCTGTTTTTACAATTAGGTACTATAGATTTCCATCAAGTACCAAGTACCTAATGACCGAGTCAACTGAACATAATATAATGTTTAGATGTTCATATGTACATATAGCCCTGGAAAAACCGGAAATGCATAGGCTTCAAGAAACTTTGAAAAAAAAAATACGATTATTCGTGAATATTGTTGGAATCATTCAACCAATTTTGTTGAAATTGGGCAGGATTATTTGTAGTAGTAAGGGGCAGGTTTGTTAATATTCAGATTAGTAGTACGGCTACTTCGGCGAACCTTCTAGATCTTCTGATGAAAGCTAGGGTGTCTGCCCACTCAAGAGAGTTCATATATCTCTTCTCTTCCAAAGAACGCTTTACATTTTCCTAGAAAGTGAAATGATGTATATCTTCTTCTTCCTCGCATCTCTGGCATGTTGGGTTGTCTGCTGAGTTTGCAGTGACCCGTCAAGATTCAATTAATTACTTCTTGTCGACCTTTGCTCAGCAGCCACTTCGTTCTCTCTTTATTTAGGGTTGTTATCACGTTTTTTGTTGCTTGGCTGCACCCCACAGTCCCTCCTGTTCTCTTTGAATTTTTTCCACACCCACTCACTGAGTGCGGATGAAATTTGGCTTGTTGTGACGCCTAATACAGGTTCCGGGCTATGAAATGGTGTCTCGGCACCGATCCTGGCGAGTTCGCCCGACTTCTCGTTGCCTAGAATCCCCTTATGCTGTCCTCAGATCCACATCAGTGTTATCGCCTCGTTGTTGAGCTGATCTAGTTCTGGGGGAGCATACTGCCTTGAGTGCTGCCTGACTATCGGAACATATATTCTCTGTTCCGGTCCCTCTATTGCTTCTTTGAGCGTTGCTAGTGGTTGCTACCGCATGGATTGCGAATACCTCTGGTTGGAATACCGTTGGATACTTCTAGAGAGCAAAACTCTCTTGCAATCCACGTCCTAGCAGTTAGAATCCCGTACCCGCTTTCTCTGTCATACGCGATCCGTCTGTGTAACAAACCAGACTGTTTGGTATGAAGTAAACCTCATTGCGCTGCCATTCTTCCCTTGTCGGGATGGTGAGCGTATATTTTATTCTCCACCTCAACCTGTCTTCCGCCTCTACCACCTTGAACGTCAAGAGAGGTATTTCCTCATCCGTCCTGGCGGCAATAATAGCAGCATGATCGGTTGGGGTTCCTGTTCCATCTTGCAGTGGAGTGCAAGATAATAAATAGGACAGGAAGAAAATCTTATAGTCAACTCCACCAAAACTATACTTTATTCAACTTGGAAATTTCAGGAAGCTTCATCATCAGCAAAATTGTTACAGGAAGTACTACAATGAGACAAAAAAAACACGTCAGACAAAGTATTCAAATAATGAAAGTAAAAGAATCCTCACCTCCAAGTATAGTTTTGGTGGAGTTGACTGTAAGATTTTCTTCCTGCCCTATTTGTTTCAGGTTTGACATTGTGTACTCAACTTGAAAACTATGCATTTACAGATACCCATGTTCCCTGACGAGCATAATTATGTTGTTTCTTGAAAACAAAGTTGATCGATTGATTGAAATAGATTACCTGAACTCCTTGTCGAACACCCTCCACGCCTTGGCGTGCGCCAGAAGTACATGCCGCGCGCAAACGTACTCCCCCACCCCGGGGGAGACCACCCCTGGGGCGTACCCCCCGGTACCGTACCCAGAGTGGCAGATCTGTTTGGGCTCGTTGATGGTCACCCACACTTTGACATATTTGCCGAAGAGGGTGTAGCAGAGACGCGCATAGTCGGTGAACCAGTCGACTACTTTGGGATTCAGCCAACCTGTGAAAAATATCACAACATCAGCAAACACAGTTTCATCACAGAGATATCGCCGCGATGTAACAATTATTGTGACCTGCGATATCGCATTCTATGTCGCATAGACGTCCCACTCAAGTTTCATCCATGTGACGACGCTGCGATAAGTTCGCTGCGATAATATTTGTATAAAAAGTTATGTGGTGTGTGGCGGCGAGATGTAAGCAAACCAAGAATAGTGTTTGATAGCAATGTAAAGAATGTTTGAATTTTTGAAAAATTCTCGCATATGAGTTTGCTTGTTGCCTCATCATGACATCTTAGAGTTATCATGTCGCAGATGTGTTTGCTTATGTACATCGCAGCGATGGAACGTTTATGATATAATCGCACTGTTACCTAAACGCGACATCTCAGAGATGTCATGCCACAGATATGGTTTATCTCGTTGTTTCTCTATAGAACTTCAAAGCTTCGAAACTCTTTGCCTGGGGTTGTATTTGCAAGAACTTACTATCTTCGAAAGTACACACGATGTTCCAAGAACATAATAGGACCCTAATAATAGGGATTCCTTTTCATGCGATTCGAAAGATCAAAAAATACTGTCTTGTCCAGATCCATTTTACATATCCCTCATGTACCGTACACTAGATGTTTTATCGAGGTTTTTTGAGATTTTCTCTACTCGTTTCTATAGATACAAATATTAGTTTCATTTTAAAATGAAAGAGATATGTATCTCCGAAGAATTCCGAGGGTTTACAGTTCTAGTGATCTCAGAGGGTTGACATATCAATTTTTCTGCAATATCTTCTGGCCGTATCGAGATCGAGATACCAAATTCATGTATAAGTCATCTTGAAAATGTGCTAATTACCATCAATAATACATCCTTAGATTTTTTCTGTGACGGGAAAAAGTTTTGAAATTTCTTTCTTGTTGCCATCCTGCGAAGACAGGACTGTTTCTATAGTTAAAAGAAACATGATTAATGGTTTTTATGTAACTAAAGTTTTATCTCGACAAGTGGTGTAATTCTTATTCCTATCCTACCGACTGCGCCATTTGTGACGATTATCTGGATAGGAATAAGAATTACACCACTTCTCCAGATGAAACTAATAATAATACTCAAATTCAATCGCCTTGTAAAGACAGGACTGTTTCTATAGTTAAAAGAAACATGATATTAATTGTTTTTATGTAAATAAAGTTTCATCTGGAGAAGTGGTGTAATTCTCATTCCTATCCAGAGAACCGTTACAATAAATAACTTTAATTCACATTTCTTAGTCTTCTAGAAAACATATTTTCAAATCAACAAAAATAATTTGCATTCACAATATTCGAATAACACGGTCCTATTCTCCTCACCTCCTTGTTTTTCTAGATCTGTAGGAATATCCCAGTGGTATAGGGTGACCATAGATTCAATGCCATTTGCTTCTAATTCCTTGAACACATTCAAGTAGTAGTTAACACCTTCGGTATTAATATTGTCCACGGTTCCATTTGGGAGAATTCTCGACCAAGCTATGGAAAACCTAGAAATATTTTTTAATAATCATCGTCACTATATGGATTGAATAATTTTCTTTCATTTAAGAAAACTCCTTCCACATAATATGTACATTGTGTTCATGAATAATGAGCTCAACCCTTGATTAGGGGGTATACTTATTTTTGTATTATATGACAACTGAATTTCAGCCAAAAACTTCATCAAAAACGAAATGGCGGAGATGATGGATGGATGGATGGATGAGAAAAAGTCATTGACGTTCAAATATAATTATTAAAGAATATGTTTATAGAATGTTATCAGAATGATCATAGAATATTTCCATTATTTTTTACTATTCTGAGAATATTCAAAATATAATATGATATTGATGTTCCTATTCTTGTATCAAGATTTATAATGTTCATTCTGACATAACCTATTATTCTCTAGTCTCAATGCTGATTATGCCACTAATTCATTGTCATCTTTCTATTAATTTTTTTTAATAAGGTTCGTGACGAAGTGGTAATCTTTCAGGTTCGTAAAAATTCAATTACAAGATAGTAGGTTCGAATCTCCACCGTAACAAGTTCAATTTCTTTTGATTTTCCTCCTCCTTTTTCAATATATTAGGAATATTCTCAGAATATTTAGAACAGTCCATTCCGAATGTTCGTAGAACGTCCCTAGAGTATTTGTATCATGTTGTGAGATTATTTTGAGAATATTCAAGTTTTCTCGAAGAATATCCTATGAACGTTCTATGAATGAAATTGTGTTATCTGGGGATGATAATGAGGTCATTATAATGAGAAAAAAGTAATTATAATGAAAAATACAGTCATTACAATGAGAAAAATAGAATTACTATAATGTTTTAAAGATAAGTTTGCGTGACACGAGAATACTTTTGTTGTGTATATAGGTAGATATGTTCATACATCAGAAAAAGCTATTATAATGAGTGAACGGTCATTATATTGAAAAAATGGTCATTATAATGAGAAAAAAATTGAATATAATGCATTCAAATTCGGAATATGGTTTCATCTTTCAATGGTTAATTTTTTGACCAGAACGACATTCCGAGAATTTCACCCAGTGGTGTGCTACAGAGGGTTGTGATAAATTTTCCTCCCATATTTCCTACGCCACTGATGAAATTTCGATTATTTCCAATTTCTCGAATTGATTGTTCAATTATATTGAAAAACTGCATCATCTTCAATTGAGCTCAAATTTTCAGTTATCGAGATATTTGACCCAAAATAGAAGTTTCCATAGTAATTTTTCATCTTCTTCAGTAGTAGAAGATTACAAAAATTTGTGTTTCCTCTTTATGCGTGGAATAACTATTTTTGTTCAGCTACAGGATGAGATCTGAATAGTATCTAATCTACTCAACACCAGAAAACTATTTTTGCAATTTTCTACTACTGAAAATGATGAAATATTACTATGCAATCTTCTATTTTTGGCCGAATATCTCGAAAACTGTTCATTTCAGCTCATGCATTTTTCAAACAAAATTGAACAATGAATTCGGAGAAATGGAAATAATTGAAATTTAATCAGTGGCGTAGAAACTATGGGAGAAAAAGTTGCCACACCCCTGTAGGGCACCACTGGATAAAATGTCCGGAATGGCTTCCTTGTCAAAAAATGACCCATTCAAAGATGAAACCATGTATATACTGTCTGTAGGTTAATCGAGGAGGTGGTATACATTCATTATTCCAAATTTTTTGGGATTTTCTCTCCTCGTTTCTATAAAATAAAAATATGAATATTATTTCAATATACGTGTAGTAAGGACAAATCAGATGATTTGCCCCAAAATGTCACTGCGTTTAAAGAATTTTCCTATCAGAGAGCCTAAAAGAAAAATTCACTAGCTTGTCAGTGACAATTTGTATTGAAAAAATTTTTGGAGAAGGGAAATAAAGGTATATAGAAAAAATATCAAATTTTCACTTATCTTTGGACGTTTCGGGACCGGTTCTGCTCCCGTTTTCAACATAAGAAGAGATTATTTCGATAGCGAAGTCGTATAATGTCTTGAAGCTTTTCAGTTTTCAATGACAATTGGTGACGTTGGCAATCAAATGAGTTACAGGATGTTTTCATTAATTGATCTTGAATTTACCATTTTCATGTTCAGATTTTAGTAGTGAATACCATGTTCTGTTGATAGACAGAACATGGTATTCACTACTAAAATCTGAACATGAAAATGGTAAATTCAAGATCAATTAATGAAAACATCCTGTAACTCATTTGATTGCCAACGTCACCAATTGTCATTGAAAACTGAAAAGCTTCAAGACATTATACGACTTCGCTATCGAAATAATCTCTTCTTATGTTGAAAACGGGAGCAGAACCGGTCCCGAAACGTCCAAAGATAAGTGAAAATTTGATATTTTTTCTATATACCTTTATTTCCCTTCTCCAAAAATTTTTTCAATACAAATTGTCACTGACAAGCTAGTGAATTTTTCTTTTAGGCTCTCTGATAGGAAAATTCTTTAAACGCAGTGACATTTTGGGGCAAATCATCTGATTTGTCCTTACTACACGTATATTGAAATAATATTCATATTTTTATTTTATAGAAACGAGGAGAGAAAATCCCAAAAAATTTGGAATAATGGATGAAACCATGTATCCCGAAGATGAATGCATTATATTCAATTTCTCTTGAGATATTGCGAAAGAACTATTTTTATTTCTTAACTTTAACGCCCTTTATCTCGAGAACTGAAGACTTGAATACTATATATGTCCCTATCTCAAAGATTATGAAATCACGAGGGCTATCACCTGTCAAGCTTTGTAGGTGGAATTTAGCAACACCCTGTATAGGTAGGTATGTACATACATCAGAAAAAGCTATTATAATGACAATTTAATTCATGTATGAAAAATCCCATAAGCCGCGTGATTTTGTCATTATGACAACGAAAAAAGTGTGCCCTAACTTTTCCAGAGACAATAGGAACCTAACTTTTGAAAGCATGACAACCAGCCATAAACAAATAATGTTTGATGAATTAAATTGTCTTTCCGAATTACACCAGCTTTTTTTTTAGTCGAAGTAAACTTGGCATTTATAATTCGAATTTTTGTTGCCATTAGGTAATTCAACTCAGATAACTGCCAGAAAAAATTACTCGTCCTACGGACTCGTTATTGTTTTCGGATGCAGTATTTCCGTCAAATTGCCAGGCAACAAAATTCTTATTGATACATGTCAACTTTACTTCGACAAAAAAAAAGCTCTCGTGTAATTATAAGTGAGAAAACGGTCATTATAATGAGAAAATGGTCATTATAATGATATAACAAGTAATTATAATGATATAACAAGTAATTATAATGCTAATAAAGTAATTATAATGATAAAAAAGTCATAATTATGTAAAAAGAGTAATTATTAAGGTAAATAAGTCATTATCATGATAAAAAGGTCATTATAATGAAGAAAAAAGTCATTATCATGAAAAAAAGTCATCCTCACCTGTAATAATCGACGCCCACCTCCTTCATACACCGCACGTCGTCCTTGTACCGATGGTACGAATCAGAGGCGACATCTCCCGTGGTCCTATCGGATACTCGGTCGGGCTTCTCGTGGATGAAGGTGTCCCACACTTGCTCCCCCTTGCCGTCCGTGTCCCAAGCGCCCTCTATCTGGTAGGCGGCCGTTGCCACGCCGAAGGTGAAGTGGGGGGGAAAGGGGCGGTCGGTGATGGTGTAGTTGGCGAATTCGTCGTCGCCATCACAGGCGCTTTAATCGAGAATAAGATGGGTTGGTGCAAGAATTAAATATAAATAACTGTGATTTTTTTTGGATGTATAATAAATTGATATTTATCATACAGGACGTGGAAAGAAATTCTGAATTGAGAAAACCTAATAACAAGTTTCCATCGTTCAAGTTTGAAAAGGAATATCCTCAGACATAATGATGACAATAAGACATATTGGCTCCTACTGAGGCACAGGTCAATTCATCCACCAATACGAGCTATATCTGCTCTGTCCTGGGTACGAACTCCACACACGTTCCAGATTCTTCCGTCAACGCACTATCAGACGAATTTGCTTGGTCTCAAAACGAATAAGCTAACGGTCCTGATGGAATTCCACCCATTATCCTCAAAAAATGTGCACCAGAATTAACACCGATCCTCTGCAAGTTGTTTACCGTGTCGTACAGGTCGGGTATTTTCCCATCATGCTGGAAGACAGCTTGAGTCCAACCAATCCCCAAAAAAGGGAACAAGAACCTGCCCAACAACTACAGGAGAAAGCCATCAATATTGAGCTCATATCTGGAGAGCTCAGGAATCATTAATGATAGACAATACGGCTTTCGCCACCCAAGATCTACTGGAGATCTACTTGCCTACGTCACCCATTTATGGCAAGCTTCATTAGAAAAACACGGGGAATATCTAGCTGTCGCGTTGGACATATCGAAAGCATTCGACCGTGTTTGGCACGAAGGACTCATCCACAAACTACCATCATACGGCTGACCACCTCAGCTATGCCATCTCTTATCGAGTTTTCTTTCAGGCAGATCGCTTCACGTGGTATGGAGGACGGTGTATCGTCTGATACCATTGGCATCGATTCCGGCGTTCCACAAGGATCAATTTTTGGCACCAACATTATTCCTTCTTCATATCAATGATCTGTTGGGAGTAACAACTTGCCCCATCCACAGCTTTGCAGATGATAGTACCCTCCATACTGCGTTCTCTTCCAGAATTCCCATTTCTTCCCATGCTAAGAACTCACGGCGCAGGCAGTTCAATGCTGTCAATGAAGACCTCATGTTCTACAAAGCACAGATACGGCCTGTTCTAGAATACTGTTCCCACATATGGGGTTCAGCACCAAAACATACGCTGATGCTCTTAGATTCCATCCAGAGAAGAGCCATTCGCCTGGTGGGAGACGCCACACTCACTCACTCTTTGACATAATTGGAACACCGTAGAAAGGTACGAACTAGACAAGCCCAGTCAGCACATCCTTTCGTTGTCAACCTCGAAAGATGTCGAACAGCACTTTATCAAAACTCCTTCATCCATAGAACGGCTAGGCTCTGGAATTCATTGCCTGAGGAAGTATTCTCAACAACATATAGTCTCCAGAAGTTCAAAAAACATTCCAATACCTACCTCCTGTTCCTATCCTCCCTAGGAACGCACGATGTTCTTTGAACATTATAGGGATTGTCTTTCGTGCGCTCCAAGCGATACAAAAAAGGAAGGCGATTCTTGAACCCATCTCAAGAAGAAAATTTTACATGAACGTATAACCTTAACGTCTAAACTTTCGAGATACAGGTTGGTGAAGTTCTCAAAAATAAATTGTTTTTTATTAATATCTGTAATACGACCTGATTTGATCTCTTGAATTGTTTCACTCCAAATCACGGTTTTCAACTTAAAAATCAAATTGTCACAACCCATTACCTAGAACCGGCCTAAGCACGACCCTTTCATGTCTGTCTTATACCACTTCCCTCTCACACTAGGTATTGAAGAAATTAGTGTTTGCATAGAAGCGAGCATATTACTTGAGATATCACCTCGTCGTACAATATAATACCAATCTAAGTACCACGCGAAGACTAACATAACATCCGATGTTATATTGGCGCCCAACGTGGGTCAAAAATCCACGACCCTGAGATGATAATACATGTACCTATGCTAAAATTCATCCAAATATCTCAAGTGGCATTAGAGATATTAATAAAAAACTATTTATTTTTGAAAAATTTACCACCCTCTGTATCTCTGAAGTTGAGACGTATAGGTCATTCATTCATATGTAATTCTCTTCTCAAAATGAGCAAAGAATTGCCTCCCCAAATATTGACATTCAATTAGGAAACACCCTGTATATAAAGAAATAAATTGAGAATTGGCATTTTCTATGTGATGAAAATATCAATTCTTTCTCGGTTTATTCAAAAGTAGTTATTTTCTGTTGAACATTCAGAACTTCAGCTCCTAGCCACTGAAAGTGTTGCCTAGTGATTTTATTGTTTCAGTAAGAGAAACGTCAACTTCAAGAGCTAATTTTGGAAAAAAAATGGACGACTTTTGAGCCGATTGCAGAAAAATAACTTATATTCGATATAATTGAAAACGGAATTAAAAATTTGGGATGCGGACACAGATATTGATTTCAAGCAACTTTTTTGAATATAATTTTAACTTAACTGTTACTCAAAAGCAATGAACATTCTACCTTATGAAAAATCAAAAAATAATGACCAAACGTTTGATATCTCGTCATCTTTTTTTCCAAATTTGCCACCTGGAAGACAATATATAAGTTACTCCACGAAGTCGGTTCCTTTGAAAATTTATAAGACCTACTCAGTATGATTCAAAGCTTAAATTATGTAGACAATCCGAAAGAACACCGTAAATATACAGAGTATTAATGATTTTCATTCACTTACCTTAGAACTATGATAGCGAAGAAAACAAGAAGATTGGAAAACATCACTATTTTCAGTTGGATCTCCAAATCGAACGAAAATTATAATGCACAATCACTTCTTATATGATACATGCAACTCATTTATCACTTTATCAAGTTCAAGTAGGTGCTTATATTTAGTATAATGAATACCTACACATACCTGTGAGATTATGCGAAAAGTTGAGATAATAGAAAAAAACAAAGTACTTGATCAATATTATTACTTTGAATAGATATTGTCAACAGTAAAAACACAAGAGCTTTTTTTATCGGATAAATTTTTCTTGGTAAGGAAAAACATTTGCCGATCAGTAATTTTACGAGAAAAACTGACATGAAAAATGAGAATTTTTCGAGAGAAATAACTGATGGACAATGTTCAAGTTATTGAGGAAGTTTATCCAATTGAAAAAAACTTTGAATATTTTTTGACAAGATAAATCAACAATATATACAAATAAACAACAATAATGATTACCTTTTTTGATGATTCCTACCTTATTTTCCTTGGTTCTCACGATGTTCTCTGAACATTACAGGATATCCCTTTTCGTGGATACTAGAACATTTTTGACATGCTTGGTAGTATATAAGGCACAGATCCGACATGTCCTGGAATACTGTTCTCATATTTGGAGTGCAACACCCAAACATACCCTAAAACTGTTGGATTCTGTTCAAAAAAGGGCAATTCGTCTCGTGAGTGATGCCTCGCTCACAAACTCACTCACTTCTTTGGAACACCGTAGAAAAGTTGGCGATCTGGCTCTATTTCATAGATATTTTCATGGACGATGCTCTTCTGAAATATAAAAAATTGTTCCTCCCTTGGCAGTCTCCGCGAGATGAACCCGTCGAGTTGAAGCTTCGCACCCCTTCGTGGTCACTTAGGAGACCTGCAGAACATTTCTTTCCAAACACTCGTTCATTCAACGAACAGCGAGGCTCTGGAACACATTGCCAAGGGAGGTGTTCCCCGAGGCATATAACTTCCCGAAATTTAAGAAGAACAGCAATTCCTACCTTATTTCCTTTGGTTCTCACGATGTTCTCTGAATATTACAGGATATCCCTTTTCGTGGTAACCAGTACATAAAAAATAGCTACTAAATCAGAAGAGCATCCGTTTTTATCGATGTCAAAATGACTCACGTCCGTGTAGGAGTTGATTTATCAATTATAATACCATGAGAGCTCGACTCGGGAAAACTTTCAAAATATTGGTGTCTCGAAAAAATTACTGGTCTTCAATTGAAGCTAGAGTGGTATTCGGTGAGAAAATGCCACACCGAAATTTAAAAAAATACTAGGATAAGAATACGCTAAATAAAATACAAAATACAGACTTGATTTACGCAAAATAACATTTTTGAAAAGGAATATTCTCAGATATATTTATGAACACAAAAATATGAATATACACCGTGTCCCAGCTAAAATGTCCCCCCTTTTAAAAAATCAACCACGCGATCGAATGACTTGAAATTTGGTCACCCAGTATATTTGATGATGATCGTGTTATATTAATAAAATATAATCATGTACATTTTTTATTGAATCGATTTTTTGGCATATCTTCGTAGTCGTTTGAAAAAATCCCATCAAACCCGGCATTGTTGAATTTTTAATAATGAACTCTACTTGAATATGGAAAAATACTGGGTGTCCCTATTCGAATAAGAAAGTTGAGGTGCACTTCGGTGTGACCCTGTATACCTAAGATGTATTCAATAGCATATTTCGAGTGAGCATCATCAAATATACTGGGTGACCAAATTTCAAGTCATTCGATCGCGCGGTTGATTTTTTACAGTGGGGACATTTTAGCTATGGGACACGGTGTATATACATATAGAGAAATACATTGATAATTCGCATTCTCCATGTGATGAAAATTTTAATTCTTTCTCGGTTTATTCAACAGAAAACAACTACTTTTCTGGCTATATGCCACGACGAACATTGAATTACATCTATTGAACACACACGATAAGAATATGAAAACAAAATCTTCTATTGAATATTCAGAATGACATTATTTGCATATCTTTATATGAAGGAGAATGCAAATTATCTCCTGTAATGTTCAGAGAACATCGTGAGAACCAAGTGGAATCAGGTAGGAATTGGTGTTCTTCTTGAATTTCTGGAGGTTTTATGCCTCGGGGAACACCTCCTTTGGCAATGTGTTCCAGAGCCTCACTGTTCGTTGGATGAACGAATCTTTGGAAAGAGATGTACTGCAGGTCTCCAAAGTGACCACGAAGGGGTGCCAAGCCTCAACTCGACTGGTTAATCTCGCGGGGACAGCCAAGGGAGGAAAAATTATTGATATTTCAGAAGAGCATCGTCCATGAAATAAATGGAAGATATTCATTGAAATACGAACATATATTTCCTGGTGAATTATAACAACAAGTAGGTAAAAATCTAATGTCAAATGTTGTTAATATACGCTTTCTCTTTTGAACAACTTCATATTTTTGCATAAAGAAAACTATATATAATATGAGATTGAATTTTATCTCTATGGGGTCACTTCAGCTGAGGTTCATGAGAATCAGCTTCTTAGAAATGCAGTTGATTATGACCCAGGTGATCAATCAAAGTTCAAAAGACCGAGATTGTCCATAAACTAGAGAAAATATCGACATTATGACCAAATTTACTATTCTCAAGTTTTTGATATTTATTTTTTCCGTTCGATCTCTTTCAATTCTTAGAATGTATTTCTGAAACTTATTTGGGGCAGAAGGGCTGTTCGCATCAAACTTCAATACCGTTTTTATTTTGTTCCATAATAGATATCAGGATAAGAGGGACTCTTCCCTGGTCTGAATAAAATAAAAGAAAGATCCAATATATATTTTTGCATAAAGAAAACTATAATATGAGATCGAATTTTATCTCTATGGGGTCACTTCAGAAGATTCTAGTTTAACAAAGATATCTTTTGAACGACTCCATATTTCTGCATAAAGAAAACTATATGAGATTTTATTTTATCTCTATGGGGTCACTTCAGAAGATTCTAGTTTACACAGAGATAAGACAATAAATAAGATAATCAATCAATAATTTTATTTCTTCATCAGTAGCAAATTTCGTTAGACGACGAAGATGGATGTTAAAATACAGGTTTTAGACAAAACTGACAATGTATATTCGGTCATTGAAAAAATCAGCAAATCTGGAGAGCAAGACGAAGCCTTTTACATTTGTGACGTAAGTGAATTGTTGAACAGATATGACACTTGGAAAAAGTTGTTGCCACGGGTGAAAACTTATTATGGTGAGTAAAGCTCAGTGTGAGGCCATCGAAAGGTATTCAAAAAGATTATGCCACGAAAAAAAAGGAAAAGCTTATAGGTGTTATTTAAGAATGTGGCCAAACTTCAAGAGTTGATTTCTCAAGTGATTCCAAACAGAAAAGTTCATGTATACATGGATCCGGGAATTCTCAAGACACTGCTAGGTTGTCAAAGATTTTGTAATGAAATCACTTTTCCGTAAAGATCGCAAAAATGTCTGGTCCGATTTTGTTGAAATATTGCAGTGTTATTTGTAGTAGCAAGGTACTAATTAGGCCATTACTAACGCTCGTGGTGCATACAAGATTTTATTTTTCACGAAAAAAATATCTCGAACGGCGTTGTTTACTTCATAAAGTCATAAAAGGAGTATGGCCATTTTTTGAAATGGAAAGATGAAAGCGAGTGAATATCGTAAATGAAACTTATTTTACATTATTTCAGTATAAAAAATATAGTGCAAATACTCCATGGACCAAATACTCACAGCTGAAAACATCATTGATTGAATAATGACAACATGAATTGAATATTATTAATATTAATTTTTAAACTCAAGCGCAATGGATTAAATGAAGTCAACACAAGCGCTATAAAAAATAAAAAAAATTCGTTTGGAGCAGTGATAAATACAAGATTCACAAAATAACTTGTAGAAAGATACATTGTATAATTAATTATAACAGTACAGATATTTGTTTATTGTTGTTACAGATTGCTTAGTCATATCTACAGATAAAAAATTGTGGAATCATATGATTTAAAATAATATACTAACTTATACAATAATTGGAGTTTCTTACAATATTTCAATAACTAATAATTCTTACTTTTAATATTTTACAAATTCTTTTAGTGAAGTTTTAAAATTTTCCAAATTGGATAGTTATTTTAATTCTTCCGGTAATTCATTGAATTTCTGGGAACCTTTAAAAAATATTGAATTCATGGTACTTCTGAAAGCCGTTCTGTTTATATGTATGTTGTTTGAATTTCTAGTGTTGTACGATGAATGTCTTTATTCAGGTTGATGTACTGTTTGAAATATTCAGGTGCCATACAAGAATCATTGTGAAATAGTATAGTCTATTTTCAACTGTTATCCAATTCAAACAATCCATCATATTCCTCACAGAGGAGTAAGACGATTAGCTTTCAAGATTATCCTCATCCCTCGATTTTGTAGTTTTTGTAGTATATTCAATTTATTGAGGTTGAGTAAATATAATATAGATGAACAATAATCAAAGTGCGGTTGGATGATAGTATTGTAGACTGTAAGTTCATACTGAATAGACAGATGATGTGATATTCTACTAACAATTTAATTCATGTATGAAAAATCCCACAAGTCGAAAAAAGTTTGCCCTAACTTGTTCAGCGATAATAACGGAACCTAACTTTTGAAAACATGACAACCAGCCATAAACAAAATGTTTGATGAATTAAATAAGTGAAAAATAAAACCTTTTTTCTCAATTCTGGTCACCTGAACTTTTTGTCCCAGATTAACTTGAAAAAATCGCTCCTTGAAGTTTGTCCACATACTTGAATAACACCCTGTATTGTTTCCATTCCGAGCATTATCGATAAGTATATTCTTTTCAGCTGTGAAATGTAATGACAGTCGGATAGTTCTAGAAACGCTAGCAGCTTTAGGGACAGGTTTTGATTGTGCCTCCAAAGAAGAAATTCGAAGAGTACTCTCCCTGGGAGTACCTCCGGAAGATATTATTTTTGCCAATCCTACCAAGAAGGCCAGTCACATCACCTATGCGTCCAAAGTGGGGGTAACTGTTATGACTTTTGATAATGAGGCAGAATTATACAAAACTAAAAAGCTCTACCCTACTGCACAGTAAGTAATAGATGGAATGAAATCCGTAACTACATAAAAGAATTAGTATATTATATGTAACAAGTGTTATAAACGTCCTTTTAGTAACGAGTAGTTTAAGCACGAGCGGAGCAGAGCGGAGCGAGTGATTAATAAACGAGTGTCTAGAAGAGTTTATAAACGCGTTACATACTATGATTTTTCTACGAACTACAAAATAATTCGAAAGGAATGGGAATTGAGAACATAATACATGCAACTGCATGCAACCAGCGAGACACGTATAAGTGATATTGGTTGTAGATGTGTCCAGTCCATTGCTTACTAACCTTGTTTCACGTTCATTGTCATGCTCAGCGCAGAATAAATAAATTGTTCTCAAAGATAGATGCTTCATTTTTACACTTCTTGGAGATATGCAAGTACCAGAACATTCTCTTCGATTTCACTTTCGTCTACTTTTCGCATATATTTTCAATGATGAATTCTGATACAAATAACGAATATTGTTTGAATAATTCTGGTACAAAATTCGAAAATAACAGTTGACAGTTAATACAATTGACAGGCCAGACATGTCTCAAATTACTGAAGCTGTTTTTAATGAACTGCGTTGCCATGGTGATGTGTTTAAGAAATCGTGTTGCCATGGTAACGTGTTTAATATTTTGAATAAATCACAGATCGACAATCCGTGATTAATCGATCATTTAGCGTGGTACATATCCGTACGATAAATGCCATTTTAGTTATGTGAGTAGAAAATAGTACATTATACATCGAAGGACAGAAATGCGAGAGAGGGCGAGGCCCGAGAGATACTAAGCACCGAGGAAAAAATAGCATTCTGTCCTGAGGTGTATATACTATTTTTACGCTGGCGAAAACACAAAAATTAAGCAAGAATAAAAATTTGGTCAAAGTGTTTGTAACAGTCTCAGGGGTTTGGTGGGTTTGCTGATAGAAACGCTGATGGTTCAGGAGACTATTTATCTGCTTCAAAAGTTCACCAAAATCAGGTGGTAAACAATCATAAAATAGTATAAAAGAGTTTTACCCACCTAAATATGAAATGTAGGCACAGGCCAAGATGTTCCAAAGGAACATTGGGCACATATAAAACCAAAAACACCAAATCTGCAGTAATTCTCAACTTTCTACCAGTGAGATCTAGAAATCGGTATGATGCAGCTTATACTCGCTTCAGAGAAGGGTGTTTCGAAAAGAAAGGGCAGAGCTATGAGGCAAATGTGAAGTTGGTATAAACTCCCTAGGGAGAAAATATGTCACATTATCCCCCTAGAGAATGATACGACACTTCTGGCCCTCTTTTGTTAACAAAAAAACCAACTTCTACTCCTGCCGGCGTGAAACTATATTTTATAAAAATCTTTGGACAGGTCCATTTTTATTTTTGAAAATCTACACCTTTTTGTAGTGAGGTATTTTAAATATCTTTGTGTATAACGGTATGTTTTTTTTAATTCTGTTGAGCCATATTCGCAAGAGAGCAATTGAAAGATTTAAAATTCATTGACAATTCTATCCAAATTATTGGTAATGGTATAGGTAGACACTGTTTCATCATTATGATTCCGACCAACCTATCTTGCCTCCTAATATCATTTCTGAAAATCCTCTCTGTTTCGAAGAATTGAAGATACATTTCAGATCGAACAACAATTTCAAGAAAACCATTTTTGATATTTTTGAAATTGTTATAATAGTCCAAATAAAAGTACTTCACAGTGTTTACCAAGTAGGTACCTACATTTTTTTCCTCATTATCTCTCAACAACATTCCTATTAATAAAAACTGACATTTTTTCCACTTAAACAGGCAAGTTCAGACTTCGAAATAGAATAGGTACAGACACAGGTACAGATTAAACAATCATTTTCAACATTTCCTGTAGACTAAGTAACATTTATATGAATTTTTCGTCAATAAAATGTTATTCGCTAATATTTTTTCTCCCTGTATCTCGTGATTAAAAAGGATTTTCAGAAACTCATCAAAAGACAAAATATGAGAATCCTCCAAGAAACAATCCCCTGTATTCTTAGCGCATGTTTAATAAACATCCTCCATATACAGGGTGAGTCATGAGGAACTGTACATACTCCTACCACGAATAGTGTATACTGACAAAGGAGGATAATTCTAGTACGGAAAATAAGTGACCAAATTAACTGAAACTATGGATTAAAATCATAAAATTATTGACAGATGTCCACTGATTCGAAAAAGATCGACAGGGTGATTATTATCCTCCACAAAAAAAAATTGCTAAATCCAGGCCTGAAAATAAAATACTATGTTGATTTGCATTGAGCTGAAGCATTGAAATTGTAAGCTTTACTTTTATTCGTAAAACTTATGGGTTGCGAAGTATTAATTTCCAAATGAATAATTTTTTTACCGATTTTTTGTTCTTTCATAAAATTTATTGTTTTTTTCAAAGTGCAGTGAAAGTGTGAGCAAAATTTGGAATATTTCTTCTTTGAAGTGTGTTCGTGACCTTCGGAAATTCCCTGTCACAATTTACAAAAATGATATACAGGATGAACTTTTTGCTATAGAACGGTCCCGGATTTTCCCGATTCTGACGAACCGAAGAAGCTGTTGGAAAGTTATGACCAAAAGATGTTTTTCCGAAAACTCATAATTCACCCTATATAATATTGGAAAAGAAGTGAAGAAGACACTTTCTGATGGAGATTAGGTTTTCCCCTCATGAGCCTCTATTCGTGGTAGGAGTATGTACAGTGCCTCATGACTCACCCTGTATAAAATTATTCCGTATCAAGGCACAATCTCCGATTCTTATTTTCTTGAACGGTCAATCCGTAGATTGCTGCTGAGGATAAAATGCGATGACGTCACGGCCAAATACGTGCTCGGTTCGAAATTCGGCGCCGAACCTGGTACGGAGGCACAGCACCTCCTGGAAACAGCCAAAATGCTGGACCTTGACGTTATTGGCGTTGCTTTCCACGTGGGATCCGGCAGCGCCAAATACTCGGTGTTCGGGGAAGCCATAGCTGCTGCTAGAAAAGTGTTCGACATGGGAAAAGCACTGGGGTACGACTTCAAGATTCTGGACCTGGGTGGAGGGTATCCAGGAAAGGCGACCAAAAGTATTGACGAGGTAAGTGAGCGACCGTTTCGTATGTAGGGTAATTATGCGCATGTAATTTTTAACACCTGTTGACCCAAACCAGGATATGGTATCCATGCTGACACAGGTTACATGAATATTAAATACCGATGCGTTAATAAGGGGGGCTAAGGTAATTCCACGCACCTCAGTTTCACTATCAAATGATCGTAACGAGGTATAGTGCTGATATGAAGTCTTAACCCTATTTTTCAATTACTATTTTTGAAACTTCCACGAGGGGTATCCAGCACAGGCGGTCAAGAGCTTGGAAGAGGTCAGTAACTGACCGTTTCGTATGTAGAAGAGAAGAGGGTAATTCTGCGCATGTCATTCTTGATACAGGTTGATTTAAATCGGAATATCTACGTGGGTTCCGGCAGCACAAAGAACTCGGTAGAGAGGTGATCGACATGGGGAAAGATCTGGGGTACAACTTGAAGATGCTGGACCTGGGAGGAGGGTATGCAGGAAAGGCGGCCAAAAGTAGGGACGAGGTCAGTGAACGACCGTTTAGTATGTAGGGTAATTCTGCGCATGTCATTTTTGGTATCTGTTGATTCGAATCAAGATAGGGTTTCCATGTTGACACACCTTACATAAATATTATATACCGATATGCGTAAATAATGGAGGATGGAGGCTAGGGTAATTCCACGCACCTCAGTTTTACTACCAAATGATTGAAACTAGATATAGTGCTGAAATGTCGTCTCAATTCTATTTTTTTATTACTAATTTTGAAGCATGCGTAAAGTGACTTTTCGCACTTGTTAGGCAAACTAATATTTCAGATCGCCAGAATAGTGAACGAAAGCTTGGAAGAACACTTCGATGATCTGAGCATCAAAGTCATATCAGAGCCTGGGATGTATTATTCCAACGCGGCTTTCAAGTTGGTGGCGAACATTCATTCGAAAAGATTGTCCACGGAAATCGACAAGGAAACAGGAAAAGAGGTGAAAATCAGGATGTACTATGTGGATGTGGGTATATTCGGCGCACTGATTTCCGTGCTGTATCAGGATTATTACGAAATCAAACCTGTCAAAGGACCTACAAATGGCCAGAGGTAAGAAGAATTCTTTAAATAATCAACATGTCGTTGGATTTTTCAACCTTTTCGACTGATGATGGGCTTATGATAAGCCCGAAAAATACCCCCCCCCCCCCTTGTAACTTTTTGTTATTTTTGATCAAAATTCATGGAGAAGACTTGGAAAATGTTTCTTCCCTCACTCGTCTTTGAGCACTATGGACTTCAATTCTCAGGTAAATTTCGTGAATGGATTGTCAACTGATGAAAGACAGGCTGTTTCGTCTTGCCAAGCCTCATCAGTTGCACTAGGCCATATGACAATCGATTCACGAAGGATCCTTCATTATTTGCTACAAAGCTAAGTTTGACTGGGGGAGGAGGAAGATCTAACCATCAGCGCTATCTAGTATCAAAAGTGTGCATACGAAGTTTGTTCAGTCGAGCGGAAACTCCTAAATTTGCTCTACAGAGAGACAAAATGTCACAACTTTACTCAAATGAAAATGTGTATACAACAGAAGTCAGAAGAACCATCAGTCAGTATAAAAATCCACTACATCTTACGTAATTTCGTCGTTGACGATACGTAAGCACTACGTTATTGTGTTTGTTTCAGCTACGTAGAAAAATCGTGACATTTACTCGTAATTTGTTCCCCATCTTGCTGTTGACTATACATTGTAACCACGTATTTATAGCGTAAGCGCAACTAGCAAATATCACTTAATAAATAAAATTAGTTATTCATACAACAAGGTAGTAAATATATAATATCATTATCACCCAGGGACTAAGATTATATCCTGAGGCTTCAGCCGAGAGTTATGAGGTCCCGTGCTAATAGTATTCTTTACTAGCAAAGGTTTATATTAATTTTTTCACCACTCGCAATATATTTCAATCTAATGAATAATGATTGAAATATAACTATTCCTTGTAGGTACCCGAGTATAGTTTGGGGTCCGACTTGCGACAGTTCGGATCAGTTATCTGACCACGTGATACAACTGCCAGAAATGCAAATTGGAGACTGGTTGATTGTAGAGGAAACTGGAGGATATACATTATCTATAGCAAGCGAATTCAATGGTTTTCCCACCCCGACTATACATGGAGTGATCAATGAACAAGCCTGGTACGTTTATTCACGATTGGATATTTCTTCTTTCCATTTTTTCCGAAAAATTTTCATAAGTAATATCGCGATGTTCTGTATATTGTAGCTAATTCTGTCAATCCATTTTTCACGAAATGCACGGCAACACAATGAACACGATTATGAGAAAATATTAAGAAAATAGTGGTATTTTGCTAGACTATTTCACGTTCAGGAAACATAAGAATAAGCATTTATTATAAATGAACGATTCCTTCTGACAACTACATCAGAATCAGAATCAGAATCAGAATATTCTTTATTGTCAGAAGAAAAAGCTCTTGTAGACAAAGAGAAGATAAAACATAAGTACGTAACATACAATAATAAAAATTTAAAACAATGTGAAAGATAAAATATGGCATCACCCTAACTACACAAGTACATCCTAGGGACTCCCCAGGGACGTCCCTAATTTTATGCTAGGACATTCCAGGGATATCCTTTGTCGGGACAAAGTACATACTATTGACGTCCCAGAAACATCCGCTTTCAGACAAAATGGAAATCCAAGGGATGTCGTCCTTCTGGTACGTCCCTCGGATGTACCAAGTACGAAGGAAGGATATCCCAAGGATATTCCAGGGACATCCCTTCGATGAAAGAAAAAAATTAGGTCGAGTAGGGATTGAACCCGGGACCTTTAGCTTATCAGGCACGCACCTTACTCCATTGGCTAATATGTTTTCTGAAGATTTATGTACTAAACAGATTTATAAACAGGCCTAAGCTACAGAAACCTGCATAAATACAACTTGATTAGGATTTGGATATAATTATTATCATTCTTGGGTGTTTTAAAAATGAAGGGCATTACGTATTTACGATTTCTGTTCGCGAAAAACTGTAATTTCTTAAGAAGTTCTGAGACTATATTCTTTATTTTCATTACAATTATTTTCCGGAAGAAAAACAAACATTGTCAAAAGAATTCAACTCAATATTCTGATGAAGTTCAATGACTCTGATGTGAATGGATATCAGCTAGATAATCCAGGGACACGAATAGGATAACCTAGGGATGTACCGGGCTGGATGTCCACTGGACATCCACTGCGGGATATTCCCTGGATGCTCCAATCATGTCATTGTACCGCGGGACAAAAAACGGACGTACCTAGGACAACCCTGTGTTGTTAGGGCAGCTATAATTATTTTATGCCAAACTGACAGTCGTATATACAGGGTGTAATTTAATTGATGGCTGAAAATAAATGACATGGTTCCCCATCTCATTTTGAGAAGGAGAATTTATAAGAACATATGCCCTACACCTCTTAACTTTTTGACCTATACGTTGTTGAAATTTTGAGAACAACATCGTTTTCTTATCATAACTTCAATACCGTTTTCGATATTTTCATGAAATTTGACATGCACCTATTAAGCACTGATAGGCATGAGTTTTTAATATCTCTACCAGTGGCGTACGTAAGGGATGTATCCTGGAGATTTTTTGAGAAAAATATTGTACGCCCTTGATTTTTTCGAGAATAAAAATCTTATTTGAAATCTTCTTTTTACGCAACCCCCCACAGATTATCTTATAAACTTACACAAATCTAGTTGCACTGGAACTAATACATGTACCTGCCCAGTAATAGATCAAGTATCATCTATAAAATACCTAGGAGTGACCCTGGATCAGCACATTCGCTGGACCGAGCACATCTCGAATGTTAATAAACGACTAAGAGCATTACTGCACAGATTTTACACACTAAGAGATATCCTCTCACGCAAAAACCTGCTAATGCTTTATACTTGCCTAGTAGAATCGATTTTAAGATACAGTATTATAATATGGGGAGGAGCCTTTGTTAACAACTTACGTCCTCTACATATCACACAAAATTCCATCATAAAAATCATATTCAGAAAAAGGAAACAGTATTCCACAACATTACTGTATGAAGAAACAAAAATACTTCCAATCAGTCTATTGTATGCTCATCAATGTATAATTCGAGTATACACAACTAAAAACTCACTTCGAAGCAGATCTGTTCAACCAACTAGACAAACTAGAAATGAAGAATTAGCAATACATACATTTAAAAAAACTATAACCCAGAGAACATTTCTATTCTTCGGTCCTAAATTTTACAATTCAATACCGGTACATTTAAAAAAAATTAACACACTAAATAAGTTCAAAACTGAAATAAAGAACTATATCCTGAGAAACAAGGAAATATTCTATAAAATACAACGATAGTTACTACAAAAAAAAAAAAAAAAAAAAAAAAAAAAAAAAAAAAAAAAAAAAAAAAAAAAAAAAAAAAAAAAAAAACAAGCTCATCCCACCATTGCTGCTATCCCTGCCCTCTACCAACCGTCAAATCAAATATCAACAAAATTTTGGTTAAAATTAATGTACACATATTGAATACACATGCGTGTGAAGTCTCTATACTTATTTTTTTTTTCTTTTTTTTTTCTTTCTTCTTTTAAATCTTTGCCCGCCTAAATTTCTAGCATTAGTTCATGTACAGTTACAAATAGTTTTTAGAGAAGCCCTGGATACAACCCACACACAGGCTATTATGCCTAGGTATGTTGTACTCAGAGAGCAACTCTAACCCCATTTTTGTAAAAAAAAATAAAATGTAATATTTTTGTACATGGAATACTTGAATAAACTTGAAACTTGAAACTTGAAAACTTGAAAATTTGCAACAATTTCCTGATTTTTCTCCGTCCGGCGAACCGTTTTCGCGTAAAAAATAAAAACAATATTCATGCATTTGTGGCATAAAGAAATTATTTTGAACTAGAAGGCTGATGCCCTATTTTGTATTTGAAATAATGAAATTTGATCGATTACGTTGCGATCTTATTTTGACCCTATAGTTCGAAAGGGGTCCAGGGAATATGTTAATATGAACTTCTTTCTTAAAATTAGCTAAGGAACCATATATCCTATATTTTCAGCCATCAATTGAATTACACCCTGTATATTCCTTATGTTTCATCTCTATTGATTTTCCAGGTCTGTGCTGACGAAAAATGTCCATAAGCCAATGTCTGAAGATAGATTCATCAGGGGAGAAGATCTAAACAATTACCTAACGGGTTTGTGTGAACCATACCAATTTAAAAGGAGCTATTTTTGACACCACCCTGTATTAGGTTTTTAAATTAAAATAAATCAATTATTCGAAATGTTCATCTATTTATTCATCAGATCGAATGATATCGAGTATTCTTCGTTCCAAGAAATTTTTTTTTCATGAATCAACTTCATTCAACTATAATTGATTTGTTCTAGGACATATTCTGGTATATTTCTGGTTCAGAAGAATTGATTTGATCCTTTTTCAGAATTCACACTAATATGTAGGTATAGATATTTCTATAGTTTGTCCAATCAAAAATAAATGCCAAAATACGATAAGGAGATAATCATGAACAATACACCGACTTGCCTTTATCTACGCTAGTACGCTACTGATGAAGCCAAAATAATAAAAGTTGGAAATGGTATCGGTTGACAACTTGGCTACCAGATTGTATTCCTTGATAACGTTCGCCAATAAAAATGGTAAGATAATTTCCATCTACCTACTAAACTTACTTACAAATTCACGAATCATCAGATAGGTACCAGTATAAATTATAATACATTTCATTGATTAAATCTAATCGTACATCTGAACATGAAATAGAATAACTATACTCGTGTCCATTCGACATGTCTATTGTTACATTCCAACAGGCAGAAATTCAATCGAAAATCGTCCAATTGATAACATCAGTAGATCCAGCATTATTGTATAAAGATTGGATGATTATCTACTTTTTATTTCAGTTAGAAATGGAGTTCAATGTTGAATTTTGAATGCTCAGTTTTTAACAATTATTTTGGAGGATGTTTACACTCCCTAGTCCCAGTAGTCCCTATTGATTTATTTCCCAAAGAGACAACGATAGGGATGCTGGAATGAAGAAGCGCATGATCAGATTCCATAAGCGGAGTCACTAGTCGATAAAAGGGTTCCAAAAAAATTTTAATTATTGCTAAAATGTTGGTCTCGGTTTAATTTCTATAAGTTCTCCAGATATTTTGTTCCTTATAAAAGTTTGAGCATCTTTTGAAACGTCATAAAACAATTAACAATGGAATTGGTCAGTTTCCTATATTGAGATTTACAGGGTGTATCTAAATAAAACCGAAAATATTCAGGGGGGATTTCTTCTGATATTTTAGGAAATGAAGTTCATATATAAATATGTGTCCAAACTTGCTCCGTTTTAAGTAATAAAGGGCAATAATAACATCAGGTACGGATTCGACAGCTAAAAAAACCTCTCAATACCAATTTTCGTTCAATTAAGGTAATTAATTCGAGTTATTCTAAAAAAAAAAAACGAATATAAAAATAAAACTTCAACACCCTGTATCTTATTAGAAACGAAGCGTTTTCGGATATATACTTATTTGGAAAATTCATATTAGAATATTGTGAGGAATCACCTCCTGAAGTTTGTCGAATTACTTTTAAACCATAGTTTAAGAATCTAATTCTTGTTATGCAACCAGTAATGACCCTTCTATTGATTACAATCCAAAATAAAAATTTTGGTGCAATACCTTTGGAGAAAAAAATATGTTTTTCCGATTCAGGAGTTAATTTATTTTAATTAGCTCAATTACGGAGAACAAATTAGCATGAACCTGGCAAATTATTTTAAAATATTGCTCATTCGGTGTAGCTTTTTTAAATGAGGAGAAAAATATTTCTAGTTTCGATTATCACGAAATTCACAAAAGTGCCAATATCTCCAAAACTATCAATATTTTACAAAGGTCATATTGTGGTATTCTGGTCAGTCATGAGCTGGACTATCAGCCCTCCAAAGGATGAGGATGATTTTTGGGACACCCTGTATGCGCCGTTTTCGTCATGTTTGTTCATTCATTTGTTGATTGTAATCAACATGAGCAATGGAAATCACTTAATTATTGTTTATGTCTCTTACCTAGATTTTCCTTTCGTTATATCAGATACTGCTTGTTCGGATATATTTTATCACGATCACGAACAGCAAAATTTTTCACACCTATAATCATACTAGATTCATAGATAATGTCATTGTTTGCCTCGTGAAAATTTCTCAATTGCTCTTGATGATAATAAAAATAAAAATAAAGATGATTTGAGTCATTTTTCAATGGGCACTTTAGATTGCAAAAACATGATAGTTAGTGTATTATGTAATAAGTGTCTAAACGTATATTTAGTACGAGTGTCTAGAAGAGTTTATAAACGCGTTACATACTATACTTTTTCTACGAACTTATAATTCCCCTCTTCGACAAAATTCCATAATTCCGAAAATAAGATTGATTTTCCCGCTAACATACAAAATTCGAAGGGAATGGGAATTGAGAACAAAATACTATGCAACTGCATGTAAACGAGACACGTATAAATGATATAGATTTTTCAGGTTTGTATCCATACTTTTATTGCATAGTTTTTGCTTACATAAATGTTCATACGTTTACCTAAAACGTTATCGTTGATTTCACTTCCGTCTTCATTTCGCATACATTTTTAATGTAAAATTCTCATACAAACAGAAATTATTTGAATACTTCTGATTGTCACCGATTGTAAATTGCAACAAAATTCGAAAATGACAGCTGACAGTTCCTAAAATTGATAGGCCGGTAATGTGTTTAAGAAATTGTGTTGCCATATGGTCACGTGTTAAATTTTTTGAATAAATCACAGATCGTCAATCCGTCATTAATCATTTACCATGGTACATCCGTACACTAAATGCCATTTTAGGTTTGTGAGTAGAAAAAAGCTATAATCAGTGCAATATATGATATCATTCTGAATTTTCAACAGAAAACAACTATACTTTACTGGCTATTGGTCACGTCGAACAATGGAAACTTGTTATTTTTATAGAGATCTATTTCTCAATTAAAAATTTTAATTCATCGCCCTGTATTATGAATATTAATTTGTCATACATCCAAAAATTTTGAGAAATGCATTAGTTTCAATATTCTCCTGAAAAGTCTAACTATTAGGATCCCAATCTTCAATACATTATCCAGATGTGATACACACTCATCTATATTTTCCAGACGATTTCATCGAATGGCGCCTATTGGGCCAAGAACAAAATGGCAGCTTCCTCTTCAGCTGGATCCAATCCAACGCTGACCTCGCCTCACCACCTCGCACCAGAATCGGCGAATACGATTACCAAAAAGGCACCTTGGTCCCCATCTACACTTTCGACAAAAAAGTCGATTGCATCCAGGCGTCCGTCAACAACGCTAGAACCCTTCTGGCATACGTGCTAAAAGAATCCCGAGACGAAGGAGTCTACAAGGTTTATTTATACCAAATCGACGAGCCCTTCGAAAGGGCTATGGAGATCGGTAGGGAGAGCAGTCGGCAGATAATGGTACAATTTCTCTACCCCAAGGTTTCTGTGTTGTCTGGGAATGTCCCTATCAAGTTTTTGGTACTCGTTCATCAAGAAGGTAAGACCAGCAACCATCGACGAAACATTAAAATTAATAAAAGCCCTCGATAGTCTTGATGGTGATGGTGGAAGATATCTTTAACAAGTGAAAAAACTACACAACCACTTGATTTTCATGAACCAACAAATCACTACATCCATCAGACTCTTAGAGATCGAAGTGTTCTATGAGCAAAGTACTTCCAGAAAGTTACCTCTAGTGTTTTATTGTCTAATTCGATACTATTTTTTGTTTCCACCTTGTTTTTGGTGCTCCAAACAGATGCTTTGGTCTCATGAACCTTCCATTGGCAGTCTACCCAAAATGCCTTTAGACCCAGTGTTAAAGATAATTATAGTTATACTTATGTGGGTTAGTTTTATACCTTGTATATGTTGAAAATATCGAAAAAAGAAGGCGATGTTTAAATACAAATTGAAAAATAAAAGTCAATAAAAAGCCTGATATTTTATAAAAGTAGTGGAAAGCCCGACTCTATTACATTTGGTCCTTCGAGCCGGATTTAAAGTGTAGAGTGCTTCTTTTGTTAATTACCTTATCCTTTTCCAGTCTGCAATATCTTCCAGACAACAATCGTTTTGGATATGTTTGGGTCATATTCTTTCAGCATTTTTTATTTCGTCACTCAGGACCTACTGAAACTCCAGCTTGTTCTCTCGTGTTTATTTACGTCTACCTCATCCTCCAGCACACCCAAGAGATTTTTGATAAAAATTCTAGTGCAATAAACCACCCTCTTTAATTAGTGGTCCAAATGCTCCAACACTTGTATGACCTGAACCAATTGAAATTGTCATTGTACAGGCTTCTTTGGCAGACCAATATTGATCAGATTTAGAGTTTACTGAAGATTGAACAGCCTTCTGTTCTTAAGAGCTCTTCTTGTTTTAGGTATCCATCAATACATCATAAAATCCAAAACGTCAGACCTCAATGAGGACACCATCTCAAGCGAGCTGCTGGTGAAAAACTTTGTTTGGGCCCAATGGGACCCCTTGCAACAGACCCTGTATTACATCCATAACAGGAAACGCAACAGAGGACTAGTGGAGGGGGAAATAGTCGAAGATACCGATCCTTCAAAAATTACCCCTACTTTATCGGGTTTGCAGTTCAACGACGAGTTGCCCCATGAGACTGTGGTAAGAATAATCATCTGAGTAGGGTTTGAGAGGAACGAGTCACACAGCTAGTAATATTTTATATTTATGTATACTTTTAGCTTAATATACCATTAAACTTGCCACATCTAACTACCAATTCGTGTTTGATATATGAAGACAACACAGTACCCTTGAGAGTCCACGACTGTTCTCTAGACCTGATAGTAGTAACAGACTCTGCAGGTTTCGTATGTATATGCCATCATTATCTGTATCAGGTTAGTGACATATAAACCGATCAAAAAAGTTTCCAAAATCACTGTCGTTCCAGCCTGTACAGCCAGTAATCGAGTTGAGTGAAGAAGACAGCAGCCCAGTGCATTTTGCATACACAGTTACTGTTTTACATCAAAGTTGCGTCATTAAATGTGTGATACCTGACATACCCTGGAACCGTGCCAAAAGAATCAGACCTCTATTCAGAAAAACTGGTAACTATGAGCAATTTTCGGACACCCCGTAACCCTGTATATTCATTATTTTAATTGCTAGGTGACTATTTGATGGTGCTCATACCAGAAATCTGTACCCACCTGCTGGACATAGGTTTGAGCCACGAACCGTTTTGCCACATCACCACAAAACCACTTCTGACAGCCATGGAAGCCCACCATCTTTGTTTAGCATCCATCATAGAAATAGACGAAGACAAAGAGTTCGTCATCAACTTGGCAACGTTGGACCTGATAGAGCTCGATTTGCCTAGCAAAATATTGATGGATGCTTTCAAGAGTGACACCATCTTGGAGAACAAACTAGCGATTTTGCATTACTTCCTGGTGCATTCTGAGGAACCTCACATAGCCGCAGAGGTACAACAAAACCTAAATTGAATAGCTAAAGAAAATATAGAGTAAAACCTCGCAAGTCCTTTCCACAAGATAACTATTCCTCTGCCACGCGGAAGATTGAATTATATCCTCTTCTTCCTGAATGTCGCATTATGCTTGAATTGAAGTAAGGTATCGCCTAACTACCTGCAGGCCGGTTTCAAGCTATTGGCAATCATCAGTGCAAAGCAATCATCAGACACCGATCCACCGAATGAAGGTAACTTAGTAACAGTGACATTTATGTCACTAAATGACATGCACTGTCTGCAGGCAGTTAGACAACACCGCACCTCAATTTAAGTAAAATTCGCCATCTTAGTTGGGAAGTTTCCAATATTGAGGTTTTCATCTCACTCTGAAGTTTGTAAAAATTCAATATAAACGTTTTTATTTCGTAAGATTAAATTTCACTTCAGAAATAATAATTGAAAAAGTAACTTCTCTCCTTCACCATTCCTATGACGTATTCTGTGTCAGTACGACGGTGTCGGCATCATCAATATGTCTGGATTTCCGGAAATTGTTATTTGAATGCATTATAACTATAAATTATTTAATTGAATTCGGTCCTTTATAAAACGGATCTAATTTCTAGGAAAGTTGAAGATTATATCTTGCAAACAGCGCATAATACTTTGAGCTCGTTCACACCACACAAAATACTGACAGGCACACCGAGTGCTGATCTGATTTTGTAGTTATGTATGTTTTTGTTTACCAGTTTCACTCGTGTCGATTTTTGACCTCCAGTAATTCGTTAGTATATGTCTACAGTTGATAGTTATTTTGTGAGTTAGTTTTGATCTTAGTTATTTTTCATGATATAATCAACAACGACGCCAGGTTGTCTTCTTCTATTTTTAATTCGCTTTATATGCGTTAGCTGTTCGCTCGCAACATTCTTCATCATCAACTATCATCAGGTTAGATTCAGATTCAGTCACAGTTTGCCACCCCGAAAATTAAAATTATAAATTGCTTACTTTCGAAATGGAACATATTTTATGAAAATTCATCTGGAGGAAACTTCCCCATGGCAATCAGCAGCCGATTTCGACTTTTTCAACCCCTATCAAGGTAAATACCCTTCAATCCTTCATTACAGCTAATCACCTGGCACTCTTCTACGCCATTCACCCTGGCATTTCCCGAAATCCTGAAGGAATACCTAATCGCCAGCTCCTACACCTCGGTGCAAGGCAACCTACCGCTGGACGCCGTCAAACTAGCTACGTTCTTGCCAGTGTCCACGCAACGCCTGGGTCTGGAGACCGAAGTGAAGCTGGACGGCTACACCATAGGTCTGTCGCAGGACGTGCTGTGGAACGCCTCCATGGTGCTTCTGTCTCCGCAGCAGAGGATAGTGCCCTATCGCAGCGACATCTGGATGAAGCTGTGGGAGCAACTGGCGAAGCTGTCCAAAGGAGTGCAGAGGTTCAGGCCCAGTCAGGTTGTGGACAAGCTAGTGATTTCTCTGGAGTGCTATCAGGTAATATTTGTATGCAGAAGTTGTGTACGTGAACCCAGTCAGCCTCAATATGTCTTGACTAGTTTTGAAGCTATGGAAGCAAACATAGTCTTTGATATCTTGAATGATTCCGAAGCTATGTAAAGACGAGAACTACCAGAATAACGACCTTTGGTCTTCGCCTAGGTTTGCTTCATACTGAAATGCTATTGGGAAATGTAATCAGAAGTTGAAAACATAGCCAGAGTAGCCTCACTATACCTCCTCCTTGATTAGATTTGAAGCTTTGGAAGGACAAACACTATCAGAAGATCGGTCGCCTGAGAGTTTATTTCATGTTCGAAGTTAGACAATTTTCAGTAAACCTCAGTCAGCTTTGTATTGTTTAGATTTAAAGATATGAAAGGAAAATATAAATATATCATAGGCATGATCTTTGATGAAGGTGATCAGAAGTTGTTTACTGAAACCAACCTACTACTACTACTACTACTACTGCCTTTGTCTTGATTGGATTGGAAGCTATGGAAAAATAAGAATCATCAGAATAATGGTCTTCAAACTTCGTCTGTGTGTAGGTGAATACATACACTTAATTAGAATATTTTATCATCCTGTAGGGAGATGAAAAATCACTTTGACGAAAATTCAAGAGATTTATCGAGTTTTCAGAAAATAAGAAATGGGAAGAAGGGTGTGTAGCTGACAAATATAATGATCGTTCTTATATTGTTGAAGAAATAGATGGAGAGGAATTCAGAAGAAATAGAAAACTGATCAATAAAACGAAAATTCCTTTCATTGTTAATAATAGAGAACCTTTGGATTCTATAGCATATGAAGACATCACTAACTATTCTATAGATTCACAGGAATGTATTTTTCAAATCGAAAGTAATCAATCGAATATTGAATCTGAAATTGAAATCTTGAGTGAAGATTCAAAATTAAGTATATCTTATCATATGAACGTGAATTTCTATATCAGTGACCCTGAAATTGAAATCTTGAGTGGAGATTCAAAATTAAAAAATATATCTAATCATATGAATGTGAATTTCAATATTAGTGACCGTGAAATATCTTATCAACATATAGCTAATACTTATGTTGAGATATCCGATCAAGAGATCGAGTGATAATATTACCGATATGATAGCTGATTATGTCATTGAACCGATAAATACTGTGGTTATTCGTCGTGGTTCACGTTCAAAACCACCTCAATATTTGGACGACTATGTTAAATATTGACTAGTATTTGATAAAAAAAGCGTGTTGTGTAGGTGAAAACATACACAATTAGAATATTTCATCATCCTGTAGGGAGAGAGATTGTTGAGTTTGGGAGTAGTTACCAAAAATATTGATTAGTTCCGATGTTATTATGTAAAATGTAACACTCACATAATATATAATAAAATTGGACGGATTCAAATCTGGAGACCGCAGAGGCCATTGAATAGGTGCTTCTTTTCCCCTACCAATCCATCTTTCAGGAAATTATTCTTTCAGATATTGTCTTCTTGTCTGAAGAATTTATTGAAACATTTACAGACAACGTCAACAACGAACTTGAATGACAATAAATTTGTTTCCTGTCAAAATCACGACTTGCCGTCGTTTCCACTGCCAAGCCAACTAAGTTTTATATCACAATTTGAATAAACTTGTACTGCGAATATCTGGTAGCATTTTTCGAGAGAACATTTTCTTCTTCGAAACTATGCGGTAAAGGAAATTTTTACAAGAGCAATAAAACGAAGGTAATTGATTAGTCTTCAAGCTCAAAAAATTTCAGAACCGTATTATGACCCCTAAGAAAGTTCTGAAAAAAAATTCAGGGGATGAGGGTGATTTTAACCCTTCTACAATTTCATTCAGATTTCTTCGATCACCAAAAGGAAATTAAACCTCTGAAATACACTATTGACAAAATTTCATCAAATTCGTTCACTTGTTTCTGAACAGCGTACAAAAATGTGTTTTCGTATGAACTTTAAACCCTTCTCACGGACAAACGGTACATTTTGGCACATAAATAAATTGGGTCCAATCAACTCATTTTGACCTCTTATACACGTGGTAGCTCTGTGTCCCAGCGATTTTGGGACACCCTGTATAGGCAGAGCTTGTTTACTGAAACCTGGTCAGCCAACTACATCTTGATTGCATCTGGAGGACAAAAACTATCAGAAGAATTCATGCTAGTTTGAAATTACGAGCACAAGTTGTCTGCTGAGACCTGCTCAAATTCACTCTTCATTGTTTTTTGAAGCTATGACAGAAAAATGGTTTTTAATCTTCGTCTGGGTTGTCTTCATGATGTTAATGTTAATGGGGTTAATATGTGCAGGAGTTGTGCACAGAATCCTAGTCATAGGTTCATTACCTAGACCAAAGATGGAAGGACACAGACTCTAAGAATCATCTTTGATCTTCCTCTTTTTTAGCCTGAAGCTTTATCTAGATGTTCTACTCCGCTTTCCCCAAGTGGAGGAGCATCATCTACATTTGCTGATTTCTTGAGCAACCAAACTGGGGCAAAGAATCAAGCTGACTCTCTGCCCTTCCTTGAAATCGACAGTTGCACTGCTAGTAGACAAGAACACATCATTTCGGTGGTAAGAAACATCAGACTTTCTGACTCCTCGAGTGTTTGCAGTGCTTATTTTAGAATTTGAGAGAAATCAGCATGCATCTATTGAAGCAAAGTTCGAACAACACCAACAAGTTCCAACAACAGAACCAGTCTTCTATGCACGTACATGCCGTGGCTACCAGATATGTGACTGCTCAGCTCGACCAATCCCGACAACTGTGCCAGATTCTCTGTAAAGCAGCCCTTTACGACCCCGAGGAGGATTTTGACAAGGGATTCGTTTATATGTAAGCAAATTCGGCGTTAAAAAAAGTGGAATAGTGTTGATAAGAGAATAATATGTGAATATTATTCGAAACAATTTTTTTTTCTCAATTAAGTATACGGGTGAGTCCGTTTTTTCTAGCAGGACATCAACATCTTAAAGAAGAAATTTATTCAAGACGAAAATCTTGTATAAACATACATGCGTGGGAGCTTCGTTTCCGATATACAGGGTTTCAAAGTTTGCAAGACCGCAAGATTGTAATATCCTGTAGATATTCAAGAACGTTCGATAGCCCCAAATATTAATTTTTCGAAGTGTACCAGGTGTACCAAACTTCAATTCATTATTTTGAAAAATGTAGGAGAAAACTTGAAAAACACAAAAAAAACTTTGAAACCCTGTATATCGGACACGACGCTTCTACGCATATATATTTTTTCATGTTCTGGTTCCCACGAAAAGGTATATCCTGTAATTTTTATATATGTTTACATGAGGTTTTCATCTTAGAAAAATGTGTTTTTTAAACTGTTAAATCCTGCTACAAAATACGTACTCGAAAAATAAAGTTTCATTACAAGTACATTATTTTTGGCATTTATCTTGAAATCCATACAGTTTTCGAAAAAAAAACAAAAGGAAGCAAAAAGTATCCAAATTGAAGCAAGAATCTGAACTAATGTTCCATATAAAACAGAGGCAGTAAGCAAAAAAGTTCGAGAGGCTTAACTCGGGTACGACCCTCAAAAGTGTATCATCCTGTAGGTATTCAAGAACGCTCTATAGCCCCAAATATTGCGTTTGCAAAGTGTGATAGGTGTACCAAATTCCAATCCATTATTCTGAAAAATGGAGGAAATTCGAAAAACACAAAAAAATTGAAAAACTTTTTAACCCTGTATATCGGAAACGAAGCTCCCATGCATATAGGATTATATAAGATTTTCGCCTTGAAAAAATGCCTCCTTGAAGCTCTCCCTGTATATTCGAAATTGTCGCCAAAAATCCGCCAGTTTCCCAATATTTCCGGAATAATGATTAGGCATAGTTGCTTGAAACTGGTAAATCCAAAAGCTCACAACGAGGCTGCTGGATGGTATGCTGGATGCTATGATATATGGTTCGTAGGTAATCCCAGAAAAACATGGAACCTAGGAGCTTGTATACGTGTGAAATGAAAGAAGAGTATTTTTATTACTACTCCTTGAGGTCGATGTTATTAATCTGCAAAGCAGTCTTGGGTAGCTCCTATATATCCAGCTGTAACCCTACCAACGTTGAGTAAATCTCATTATAAATCAAGTGAAAAAACGACCTATAGCAAATGGATAGCTTATCTAGACCATCGTCGATATAAATGCAGAAGCTAGTTAGTGGGCGAGAAGTATAATAATGTCTGTTCAAACTCCCAAAATTTGTCTGCCTGTCAATAGCTCAATTGTTGTTTCAATGTCAGTGATACTGTTTCAGGTTGAATTTGTCTTCTGTTTTTTTTTTTAAACACTACTCAACCAGTCAACCACAGATATTGATGAATGAGAAGAATATTTGTAACGATTGGTACATGACAGTTTTGACGTTTTTTGGTTGACTGTTGACCAAGGATTACCATTTTTGAATAATCTTTCGTTTGTTTGTATTTGTTGTTGTTCGTAGGTATTTCCAAAGAAGTATATTGATTTGTTTATTTTCTTTAGCTGTTATACTTCTACCTAGTTTCAGCTTCTAGCAGTTATTATTTTGATTTTCCATATTCAATAATTTTTTCTCTAATGCTTCTTTTAGCTTTTTGGGTTTGATTGTGATGTGAATAATGTCATAAACTGTCGTGTTCCATTTTGCACTCCAAGAGGTCATGTGATAATATTTATCTACAAAAATATAAAGGAAAATAAACAGCCCCTAAGTTTCAGCAAGTGTTCCGCAGTTCTTACTCCAACTAAATCCAGCTTCCATTCGAGTATAGGTAGATCATTTTCATACTTGATAAATATCTTTATTGATAATGTTTCAACCTCAAGTTTCAAAATGAGAGATTTGTGTTCACAAACTGGAACAACTCAATTCATATATATGTCTCTACGGTATAGGAATCCGTCACAATAGGGGGCGATTTTCGCAGTTGTTTTTTCCAATGAACAGAAAATATTATACCTCGCCTACTAACTATAGCTTCTTCATTTAGATCGACAATGTCTATACTATTATTGGGTAATGGTTTATCATCATCAATTCATAGAATAAAGCATCACAAATAGAGTATTTTCTTCTAGAAACAAAATTGATGAAGACAGGCGATACGTGATGTTCAAACTATTGGAAAAATACTACATGGCGGTACAAGCTATAGCTTTTCCGCTGCCACAGGGTTTCACATCATTTTTCGCATATCTCGGCTACAAGACCATGGAGTTCCGCATGTTTCTACAGTACGTCGACAGACATGTCTTCGAGTTGCAAGTGGACATAATGAAAATCATCATGGCTGGTGAGTTAATCATACAGTGTGAATTTTGCGGAATGTATCCATCATAAATATAATAGGTAGAAATCAGGAATCTATAATTGGTGCCGAAACTGCCACCCAAACTAAATTTATTCACGAACCTTTGCATACCAATGAACAAATAAATTCTAAAATTATTTGATTTCAAAACACAATCTGGTGTGAATTTTCTTACCGAATCTAGTGGTATTACAAATGAAAATATATCCATGATAATGATGAAATTGCATGCATTGATACAGGGAGAGCTGCATCAAAAACATGAACTTATTCTCCCTAATTCAACCAATGCCAAAAGAGATCTGTATAATTTTCCTTTTAGAACCTGAGAATACGAAAGCCGATGTACACAAAAAACTCAGACTGCTGAGCGTTTTGCCGCGCTCCAGGGCGAAACGGCTCCTGAACCAATGGAACCACCCTGTGAGTACCATGATAAGGGCGAGGGAGCATGCCCAGAACATACTGTCAGGCATATCGGCACCGACATCCACTAGAAGACAATATGGGATACCCAAAAACACGGATGTGAAAGGTAATAGTGTTTTTACTAGACAGTCAATCTGCTTTTCAGCCATGTGAAACATAATTTTTCCCCAAATTCGTTCTAATTCAACGCAAAGTCCAAATAATCCATCAATTTGTGTTCATTGTAGTGACAGTCAAAAAATTTGCACCACATGGATTTTTTTACTATTGATAGTCTTGTTGGAAGTTGCATTTCTTGAAACAACTAATACCTGAAAATGTCAAATTTTCGAACCTTCAACAATAGGAGGGAAGTAAAAATAAACTAGTTCAATGCTCCACGAGTTAACTACTATGAAAATGGAACCAAAACATTTAATTCGAAACAGTAGGTAGGTTATATTTAAAAATGGTGTGATACTTTGATTTGAAAAAAAAAATGTTTTCCTAAATGAAAATCGACTCTCTACAGATAAATAGGTGCATTATTAATACAATTTTATGGAGGTTTCAAAGAACAAAAAACTTTTAATCTGGAATATAACTTCCTGAAAAAGGCGTAATTTTTCAATATTCAGATTTTTATTTCTCCATGAAGACTGGAGAGTTTATGAGAAACCATTGTTAACATTTTTTCACCTGTTTCATTGGCTCAGATTTTAATTTAAAAAAATCCAAGAATTAGGTCTTGCTCCTTCAGCATTCTGTTGATGTAATTGGTGAAGTTGAGGCTTAAAATTAATGGAATCAAACTAAAATTCTAACTTGTGATTAAACAATATTTCCATATCCATATTAAAGCCACTATATTTCAGGTTTGGGAGGCCTGTCGTCTAGCAATATGACACCTATGGACACATTCCTGGAACTGCTGACAGCTAAGGCTAGTTTGACTGAAATCGACTTCGGATTGCTGATAGAAGCAACGGAATCGTGGAATGAGAATATTTTTTGAAAAACTTCCGAGAAAAATCTCGAATCTAGTCATACTCCAATAACATAATTTTGCATAAAAATAGTAAATCAAAAGAATACTCTGTCATAAACAAACATTCATTCTGTAACAGATACAAAAAAACATACTGAAAGAAAAAAATAAATGGAATCTAAAAATTTTCGACCATCAATTAACACTCAATTCATTGTATAATATGTATACAAATGTCACTACTTACTGTCACTGAAAAACTACTTAATTATCAAAATATTATCTAAAATTCAGAATACTGAGCAGGAAAATGGAATGAGCGGAAAGAAAAGAATTATTTTTATAAAAAAATCATGTTTTTAATATTCCATATCCATAAAAACAGTTCAGTCTGTCATTGTCACGTGCATAAGTGAAAACAATCATAATTTTTATAAGATATCTGAATATATCAAAGTGGTTAAAATTGAACAAGATGTGTAAATTAAAATAAAATTACAGATAAATAAACAAGTAAAACTCAACTCACGGTCTCACAGTCAAACAAAAATAAAGTTATATCCACACAAGTTACTTAGAAACATCAAAATACGTATTTCTGCAACTGGACCCGCCATCTTCATAAAAAGATTCAGACTATTCCTAAGTATTTTCCTGTATCATGGGTTCTTCCTAACATTCGTGTACTCAAACATAATCGTCAAATATTCACTTCAATTCCTAGTCATTTAAAATAAAAACAGACAAAAACAGATTATTCCCCTAGTAATTCTTCAGTGCATAATACACGTCGTCGACGCTCACGTTCAGTATGATCCTTTGGTAAATGTCGCAGCCCTTTTGCTCGGTCAAAATGAGTCTGCAAGCCCCTAATCTGGCAACAGCGGATAGAGCGACCGTGGTGGAAACCATTTTGAAGCCCTCGATGGCCGCGCAAGTTTGGAACATTTTAAATACGTCCGCGAACGTCGTTTCCTCCACTCCCGTTCTTTCCACCTTTCGAGAAATAATAGTAAATAAGAGAAGTTTTGCTAGGTTTGAGAGAATGAAAATATGTCTTTCCATGGTCTTTCCAATTTGTCCTAGTCTTCAGTTTTCCCACGTAAAATAATGAAAATGTTATGTTGGCGAAATGAGACGAAATGGAGATGATCATAATAACCTCAATATAAAAAATGTTAGAAACTCAGATTATCTTGATGATGAAATGAAAATATCAAATATCTAAACCTAACATCATGTGGGCACTTCGAAGGCGCAAATTCATTACTGCATGGGAGATACCCTTCATATTTTTAGCTATTCAGTGACTTTGCCACGAATAAAATTCCGGAAACGGCAGCCATTTGGAGGTCTACTATCGTCACTCCATTCTCATTTCCAGTGTTGCCAACATAAAATTTTCATAATTTCACGTTTGAACACTGAAAACAAGGACAGATGGGGAAGACATATTTTTTCTCTCTGAACGCTAGCTGAACTTCTCTAATTCATTCGTTATTTGAAATCATGGGCACTTTTTTTTCAATGATAAATATTGCCACCTTCCCTAAACGCTGTTAGTATTATTAAATGTTTAGATTTATTAAGTTACACACTTTGCATTGAGACAAGAGCACTATAATCGTTCTGCGCTTTTTCATTCAAAATTGTTTGGATTTGACAATGAAAATCTAACCTCTAAAATCGTATTTGACAATCAGGCACTACTAGAGAAATCGAAAAGAAGAAAATAGAAAAGGACAGAAGTTCAGCTGTGTCCGAACTCTTATGGAACAAATACCATCCAGTGACTCTAGGCTATCCAAACCAAACAATTTATGACATTTATATCAGAATTCCCATTCGTGCCACAAAATTCAATGCAAAATATGGCTGATTTGTCTATACTCTCTGAATCAGCTTGAGTCCATCTATCTGCAAGTTGCTGAACTAAAGAATATTCTTTCTGAAGCAGGAAAATCTACTGAATAGAATTTCTGGCTCCATTGCTTTCATAAGGATATTTAATCTTGTTAATGTAAGTGTTCAAGAGTTGTACTATAATATATTGAAGTCACTTACCTCAGCTACTATAGATTGCATGATCAATTGCTCGAGTTTGGAGCAATGCTTGATGGCCCTGATCTTCGGCTGGGTGATCATCGCGTTCAGGGCTTCGTTGACGTGATTCATGCTGACCAGCTGACTCTTACCCTCGGCCTCCGTGATTTCCGCAGCCCTGCGGCAGATGTCCAGGGCTCTTCTAGCGTCTCCGGACACCGAGGCGACTTTTCTACAATTGACAAAATATCCAGATATACTCGTAGATCCACAGAAAATAACATGAAGTAAAAATCTGAATTGCACCCACTTCCGAACGTTTATTCAAATTTTCAAGTAATTTTTGCAGTTTTCAATGGCACTCATTTTCAAATATATAAATTTGCAGTTTTTGCTAAGGTTAGCTTGAGAAACTCACGAAATCGTAAAAAAATAGGTCGCGTGCACGATGACCTACCCTGGAGGTAAAATATTGAAACATAACCTCACTCTTCTGTGGTACACAACCTCACTTTTTTCATTTGGTTACAGAGGAATCAGAGGATTGAAACAGGTTTTCACAATATTTTGGCATACGAACCGTGTTTTTTGCGCTATTCATTAATTCAAGCATGCCTTCTCATTTTGCTGTTGTACAAGGCACAAAAAATGCAGCGAGAGACGGAGGAATATGATTTTTCAGGTAATTAGTAATCTCACATAGTTTTCATCATGAAATATTGTCATTCCTTATTAAAATTCCTTCTGCCACTTCTGCAATACAAGCTAATACTGCTAATAGATTGAAAATGTCTGCAACACACACGATCATATTTCGTCAGCATGTCAGACCAGTCCTCCCGTTTGATTGCATGAATCCAATCTTCTTGCATTGTTTTAGAAATTTCACAAGTATTTCTATTAGCTCCTATTGCAGAAGGAATTCCGATGAGAAATCAGAGTAATTCCCAAATTTCAAAAATGAAAACAATATGCGAGTGACTATAGTAGGTACTTACTTTTAAATCATAATGTACCAACCGGATTTCTTCGTCTTCCGCTGCAGTTTTTGTGCATTGTACAACAGCACAATGTGATGGCATGAGCGAATTAATGAATAGCCGAAAAATACGATTCGTATGCCAAAATGATTGTGAAAAATTATTTCAATCACTTCATGTCATCTGACAGTTCTTGCACGCAACCCATGAAAAAGTGAGGTTGTGTTTCAATGTTTTACAGAAAAGTGAGGTTGTGTTTCGCTCATCGTGCACGCGACCTATTCTCCCATGCAAGGTCATGAAGTTTCTCGTTTTGTTAACGTCATTCTGTCCCCACCACCGCTACCAGAACGAAACAAATAAAACGCAACTAATATTTTACCTTGCGACGAACTGCACCGCATCAGGGTTGAAACTCTCCGTCCCGCACAGCCGCCTAGTCACGATCTCCTGCAGCTGCTTGTGCGTGTACGGGTTAAAAGTAAGCCTCGTCAGCCCCAGCCTACTAGTCACTCGGCTCATCAGCAGCCGCTCGGGCAGGTCCATCGTGTTGGCGATGGTAATCACCACCAGCTGCGTCTGCGCCTTGGTCGGCCAATCCAACAGGTTGTAGACGACATCTTGCCGTTTCGTGCACAAGACGTCCAGCTGAGAAGAGGAGGAAGAAGAAGAAGAAGGTTAGAACAGAAAATTGGTCATCCCTTTATGATATAGAGGATTTTAACGAAGCATTTGATCATTTTTACAATATTTTCTTATCACATTTTGAGGTGAATTTTCCCAAACGAAAATGCTACATGTACGATAAGAAAAAAAGCTGGGTAGATGGTAGCGTAGTATCTTCGAGCCGCAACCTGAAAGATTTATTCACTCTTAAAACATGCGATGACCGTTTGACACCGGTTTACAATGAAGCTAAGAAAAAGCACTATGCTCTATTGAATGCGAGAAAAAAGAGTTTCTATCAAGAACGCATAACGAATTCCGATGATGTTATACGTTCTTCATGGAATGTTGTAAGGGAACTCACAAACAACAAAAAGAAACCTAAGGAAATTTTCATTAGAAATGATGGTGTTGTCATAAGCGACCCCAATACTGTAGCTGCAAAATTTAATAATTTTTTCGTTGAAGGTCCTACTGATTTGATGAATGATATTCCATCAGTTAATCTCACATATTTCAATGACTTTAATGTGAAAACTATGTTTCTGAATCCAGTGTCCGAGGAAGAACTTTTAAAAATTATTAATATAAAGATGAAAAATAAAAAGTCAGCAGGGGAAGATGACATCCCAGCATTTCTTTTGAAAAGAATTATGCGAATTATTTCTGAACCTATTACATATTTAGTGAATAAATCATTTGAAACTGGATGTTTTCCCCAGAATATGAAAACTGGAAAAGTGTTGCCCTTATTCAAAAAAAATGATCCCACCCAATTGGGGAACTATAGGCCTGTTACAGTACCAAATAGTTTCTCAAAGGTGTTTGAGTATGCTTTCCTAGATAGACTCACATCGTTCTTAGATCAATTCAACATCTTAACAAGTAAACAGCATGGATTTCAGTCGGAAAGGTCAACGTCAACCGCTATGTTTTCATTTTATAAGCAGATTGTTGATTATGTTGATGCAGGCGAATGTCCTGCTGCAGTTTTCTGTGATCTCAGCAGGGCATTTGACTGTGTCAATCATAAAAAGCTGTTGACTAAATTGGAAATGTATGGCATGAGGGGTGTATCCTTATCGTGGATATCTTCTTTTCTAGAACACCGCAAACAATTCGTTTCATTAGAAACTTTCTCGGAAAATAGAGTTCAACAATTCAACTCAGGGAATCTGATATTAGAAATGGGGGTACCACAAGGCTCAATTTTGGGCCCTGTGCTTTTTATACTCTACGTTAATCAACTCGATCATTTCATTGGCGATACACATTATACTGCATATGCAGATGATTTTTCATTCATTATATCGGCAGCAGAAACCCATGCACTTGAGAACAAATGCTCAGAATTGATGACCAAAGTTTCTGATTATTTCAATGATAATAGTTTGTTTTTCAACACCAAAAAAACAGAAGTTTTAAGAATTCATCATAGCCAGAAGAGGGTCGATGATTTGGTATTTAATATTGATAATAGTCCAGTGTATAGCATTCATAGCTCGATTAGATTCTTAGGCATCAATCTAGATGAGAATCTAAACTGGAAAGATCATTGTAAAAAAATTGCATCTAAGTTATCTTCTTTGAAATTTCTTTTCATCAATCTGAGAGATGTACTGGAGATGAATCAGATGTTAAATTTGTATTATGCACAAGTAGATTCAAGATTGCGGTACGGTATCTGTTTTTGGGGAAATTCTACTGATGTATCAAATGTTTTCATTGCTCAAAAAAGCATTATTAGATGCATTGCAAAAGTCTCACGTAGAGTATCATGTAGAGAATTGTTTATCAAATACAATATTTTGCCTTTGACATGCCTATTTGTATATGAATTAGGTATTTATGTGTTTCAAAACAAGCAAACATTTCCACTAAATGAACATTTTCATAATTATAGCACTCGACAAAGAGATCATTTTCATGTACCATTCTCCAGAAATGAAATATCATACAAGTCACCTGATCATATGGGTTTGAAAGTATTCAATAAGTTACCAGACTATGTAAAAGCCAGTAAATCATTGACTAACTTCAAAATCAAATTGAAAACATTCTTAATTGACAACTGTTTTTACAATATGAACGAATTTTTTTCAAGCACTGTTTGAGTTTATTTATTATATTTGCTTTGGTCTTTCTGAATATATTAGGGTTCGGAAAACTTTTGAACTGTAAATAGTATCTTCTTCTTCTCTATCTACTATTGTATATACCTACTTTCAAAATGACTGTACCAATACAATGTAAATTGTCTAATGGAAATGAATAAATGATGATGATGATGAGAGCAAGAATCGAAAAAACCATCGAACTGTTGCAAAAGCATGTGCTCCTTCAGTGCAATCCAGAAAATCACCAAAACAGGAATCAGATCAGAGACAGATAGTTATACACTCATGGCCAAACACTTTTTAAAGAAAGCGGGATACCAGGGATTGAAAGTAGTTCTAGGTTGGATACCAAGCCACACCAACATCAAAGGCAATCATATAGTTGACACCATGGCAAACAAGGGAAGGAACAGAGTCGCCATCGATTACAAGGAAATTGAGAGTCCTCTTACCGAACATGAAAGCAACATTATATGCGGAAATATGCTGCACAAAAGGAAGACACCTATATAAGATCCAGGATAAACTAAACAAGAAACCATGGTTTGATCACATCACATATATCTACTACTCATATATGAAGCATAGCTGTCCTCAAAGCGGGACCAACTTCTGTCTCTATAGGCAACGAAATCGACCAATAGGCGTTGATGCCGACGTAGGAAAAAAATAATACGAAACTTGTCAAACCAATATGGCTGTGTCCATCCTTCACTTTCCGTCCTTATAGATTCAAAAAGTACCTCTCATTTTGGTCCCATTTATGTTGAGATATCGTATTGGCGATGCGCCATATATAGAAATAGTAGATATATGATTGTAGGAGATATGCAGAAAACTGACTTATTGGCGATATTTCTAGTGAGCCAGCGACCTCTATCCCAAACTAAGCTATTCATTTGTCCTAACCCTAGAACATTTTTCAAATTTCTATCAAGATCCACCTTTTTATCGAGGTAAGAAATGTTTATTCGCCTTTACTTACGGTCACTTTAGAAAGTAGGCAATAACAAATGATATACAGTATCAGTAAGTAGCTCTTTACACACAGTAAGCACATCGCACAGTTTTCGTTTATTCCGCCCGCGAAATCGCCGTCAACAGCGGATGACAACTGTCAAGAATTATAATTCAGACTGTTTGTCCAAACTTTTTTGATGTACTATATGGCAGTAGGTGAAGTACACAATGGATATATTTTATAACTGAATAATTTTAGATAAAAACAGTATCTTACCTCGTCTATCAGCATAACAACAGGCTTCAATTTCTTAGATTTGTTGAAAATGTCGTCCAACATACTTTGGGCTTGTTCCCAAGGTACCGATTTTCCTTGAAGCTGCTTCAAAATCTATCGAAAAATTAAGTTCTGTAAAGTCAAAACATTTATTGATAGATTCATACTTACTTCCACATAAGCTTGCCTGGGCTCAGTCAATCTCATGCCATTAACATTTATGAAAGTGAATTTCGGCACATCGTCATTTTTCAACAAGTTATTGATTGCCGAAGTCACAGTAGCTGTTTTTCCGGTACCAGGTACACCAGAAATATACATGCAACTATAAAAAAATAGAGAAATATTTCATTTATTAACTTTTTTAACGCTCTTTTATTATTAGCTTCACCTTTATGTAGGTATGTATATTTTGACTCACTTTAAACGGACCGATTGATTTTTGGCAGGTATACATATTTAGTTCGGGTGGTAATGCATCATGAAATTTTGGTTAGACAAAAAAACAAAATGGCGGCTCCAAAATGGCGAATGACTTTTGTAATTATGATCCGATTCTATTTATAATTGGTATCTGGCGGTTTTCGGGGTCGGAGATTATGATTTTTTCGTCGAAATTGGTAAATTCAAGATGGCGGATCCAATATGGCAGACAAGTTTTGTTATTATGATCCGAATCTATTAAAAATTTGTATCTGCGGGTTTTCTGGATCAGAGATAGTGATTCTTTCTTCAAAATTCTGAAATTCAAGATACCGGATCAAATATGACGGAAGAGATTTGTAATTATGATACGATCATATTCAAAATTGGTATCTAGGGGTTTTCGAAGTCGGAGATAATTTGGTGAATTCAAGAAGGAGGATCCAATATGGCGGACAAGTTTGGTAATTATGATCCGAATTTATGCAAAAATTGTATCTGGGGATTTGCGGGATCGGAGATTATGATTCTTTCGTCAAACTTGGGAACAAACAAAAAATATGAGAACACAAAAAACACGCTTTTGTAGATAGCCGACCTAAAAAATGGAAAATAAATAGCAGTTCAAAAAACTAAAGAGACACCCTTTCATAGATAGACAAACTAAAAAGAAGTAGAAAATAAAATAATAAAAGTGTGTTGATAAATACACAACATAGAATGTACTGATTATGGAGATGCTAATATTTTCTTTGTTGTGTAATTATCAACACATTTTCATTATTTCATATTATTCTGCTTCCAGTTTGGCTATCTATAAAGAAGAGTTTCTTTTGTTTCTTAAACTATCATTTTTTTATTGACCCTGCCTTTACTCCATGACAATCCATATCAATTGTAAAAAAACTTCGCAAACAATAAGCTTGTATTGTAAATGGATCTAATAAACGAGGTTTCTATTTGATATTGCTGAACTCACCCTCCACATCTGTCAAGCAATTTTCCTTCCACAAAATTGAACACATCACAATACTCTTTCTCTCTGCAAGGCAGCGAATCAGGTACATAGGAAACGTGCAGTTGACTCCTCGCCATCATCAGAGGGGTTCCGACTCCATTCACCTATAAAAATGAACCATCATTTGCCTAATCCACCGTCTAGAAACCTTCTCTGTATGAACACTTTTCGTGACATCATTTGTTATCAGGGCAATTGAAAAATGTGTGGAATATTTTGAAAATTGTATACTTCAATTTCAGCCAATCAGCTGCTTGCACTTTGACATGTTGATATGACAACAACCTTTGTTTTGTGAATCAGCATACCCATGAGCACCTAGCTGGCCTGACAGCTGTCTTTCACATGAGTTATGTCAACAATTGGATGCTATTTTCGAAATTCGGCAGATTTTTCAAAGTTATCATTTATCTTATAACTTATAAATATATAAATTTAACCATTTGGAATCTCTCTAGCCAATCTATGTCTTACTAGGATCAGAACAAACTTTTTTTATAATTTGATTTTGTCATTTCTTGTCCGCATCGCCACAAATTGTCCACTTGAAAGATTTCAACTTTAGAGATTGGGAATTTAGAGTCGAAATACGAAAATTCAAGATGGCGCCTTCAACATGGCGGACGATTTTGTCATTTCTTGTCAGAAAAATTTCGAATTCTGAATCAAAATACGAAAATCCAAGATGGCGCATCCAATATGTCGGACAATTTCGTCATTTCTTGTTTGAATCACCTGGAATTGCCCAAGATGCATTCAATCTAAGAGATTAGGAATGTTGAGTGAAAATGTGTAAGTTCAAATTGATGCCTGGCACTTGAGAAATCCTTTTCTAAACACAATCCAAAGGATTATTGACCATGGTCCTTCTAGCCATGGCTTCAATCAATAATACATCATTTAATGTGAATTTAAGGAATATGAGAAGTGAACAAAAAATTACAGTATTAGATCGCCATGAGCGAAATTTAAGCAGCAAGCTGGAGTATATCAATCGACGGATTTCCAGGAAAAATAGTACAACCATTTATATTAGTGTAATGATATTCCCCTTGGAGGGGCTTTAGAAACATCAGCAGGAAGGCAGGAGTACAACGATCATCCTGTATCACGCATCCCAGATTGCTCTCCAACCTCTCAATGATTCCTACATACACCAGCATATTTCCGAACACTCAATATATGCCGCAGTGACAAATAACGTCACAGAAGATTCTGGAATGTTCTGGAAACAATCGATGGAACAATTAGAGAGAGAGGTTTTGTTCTAAGAAGCTTCTAGAACAAAGAGAATGAGACGGAAGATCATTCGAGAACCTTCTCGAACCAAAGCCTGCCAAGTGATCTCATATATAAACGGCCGAACAACTGCAGAGAGACAGTTATATACCGCGTGATATAAATCATTTTACATAAATAGTAGTTTTAAGTTCGTTATAAATTAGTGTTTCTATAGTTCAAATAAATCAGTTCGAAAATAAATAGTGTCCTGTTCGCTTCTGCACCCGAATAACGTAACATTAGTATGACTATTTCATGATTGAATCAGACAATACAAGATATAATACAGAAATCCGTGCCGTCAAAATCAAAAAACTACTAAGCCATGAAAACAAAAGAGCATTTTTAATCCGACAAATTTCTTTTCCTGACGAAAATAATTGCAAATCAGTAATTTTATGAGAAAAACTGACAGTCAGTCCAGGAGAAACCGTGAAAATGGTCGATTCTGATTGGTTCTCGAGAACAAGAGTGGCAAAATCCATTCCAAACTCACCTTTTTGCTTCGGGCATGCATCGACGGCGTCACGACCCCTTCCCTGATGAGCCTAGCCCTGTTACGAGGGGTCTTCGGAGTTCGCTTCGGAGTGTCTTTGGCGACGCTCTTGCGACAAGAGGCGCCTCGACGCGTCTTCGGGGTGCTCGGAGGGGTGGCATAGTCGGAATCCGTGTCGACGGGTCTCGGAGACTTTCTTCTAGATTTCGGCGTCTTTGGAATCGTGCTGAAAATTGTTATTTACCTAACAAGTGCGGAAAGTTGTACTTTGTCGAACGCGAAGGCAATGGGCGTGTACACCTTAGTAGAACTTTCAACTCAAATCATGTTTATAATGATCCTTTTATACATTAATAATGATTGACGACATAATTCGATCGAAAAATTAACTGAAATGTTTTATTTTTGGACATAAATATTAGTACTTTCTGAAAATGGACCCTCTTTTGACGTAGAAACCTCATCTCGCCATAGTTAAAAGAACATACCAAACGCCCGACGGAGACTGAGGCAACTGATATATTAATTCATTCAACTGTGATCTCGCGCTAATTCACTTTGCCAGAAATCATGTATCATTTATCTCTGTCTGGAATAGTCTTGTTTCAGTATTAGGGTTTTGACGTCACATCGTCGCCTCGTTTTCAGAGGTTCGAAAAATCGGGGATTTCAATAATTTTTTATAAAACGTAGGGAGCTCACAGCAAGAAACGGTTTGCGGTGGTGAACTAGTTTGGGTGAGTTCTATCGAATTATGAAATAAAAATTGTTTGTGATATAAGCCCATTGCACGAACAACGCCGAGCGGAGTTCAGCTAATCCGTGAAGGGTGGAAATAGTATATTACACACTGAGGTTGGAGTTGATTCATTTCTGGCGTGAGATTAGTTAGTTAACCGAGACGCAAAGTGTCGAGTCGAGGTTATGAAACTTCCTACCGAGGTTTGTATACTATTTTATTTACAACCATCATATTCAGATAAAAAATCTATGTTTTGTTCTGAACATACCTGAATTATTACATGAATTAATAAATAAATGAATTATAAAGGGGAAATATTCGATTTATTTCTTTGTTTGTTTGTATTGAATAAGCTCCGAAACAACTGGACCGATTTGAAAAATTCTTTTGCTATTAGAAGCCGACATTATCCCTGATGAACATAGGCTACTTTTTACCGCGGGAAATGCTTCATTCCTACGGGAAAACGGATAATACAACGGGTAGTAAGAATTATCCTTCTGTACTTATCTTTTTCATATAACTTCTAAACGGCTGAACTGAATGATTCAAAAATACCATTGGACGCGGTAGGTCATTGAAAGATCATTTTTTTTACAAAACATATTTGTGATTCACCTCAGATATTATATTCAAAATAAATTCATATTCTTAAATAACTTGTAAACATTTGGAAAATCTAACCAAATCACATAACCTCGAATAATAAGTTCTTTATGAGCATAAGTTTCATGAACTGGTACCTCACGGCTAGAGGGCTAGAGAAAATGTAATTATAATGAATGTTGCATGAATCTGCCTTCACTCCTGGCTTAGATTGAATATTAGAGAAAATTGATAGGGATAGGAGGTAGGTAATGTAATGTTTCTTTTTCACTTTTGGAAATTATATGTTATTGGAAATACTAGCTTTATAAGCAACATTTTTCATTTGTTTTTCAATTATTTTTCCTCATGGACACTATGAATATCTTCTTACCTCCACAGGCTGCTCCTGTCCAGGTTGACATTCCATTTGGACAGACACATGCATTGACTTGTAGAAATTTTTTTGTATTTTAATTTCTATTGAATTTAAATACAACAAAATATTCACAAAATAATATCAATAAAGGGAAAAACCTCCCTCTTGTTTACAAAAAAGAACAAATTTTGTTTCCCTACTGACCAGAGATTTTGATGATACTGAAGCTACAGGAGAATCTTCAGATTTGAACCAAACATTCATATTTCAAAAGAAAACAGGCAACACAAAGTTGGTCAACCACACTTTGATAAAAATCTTCAGTAAAAAGTTACTATTTTCGGCACTACAGCCATCATCAGGAAATGGTACCTAAAATATTATGTGACAATAATGAGGACAATTTTTTTTTCAATTCGAAATGTTATACTGTCTGGGGTATTTTCTAGATACCCCGCTAGGCCCTTCGCGGATTTTTCACAACTTTTGTGACTTTTGTGACCTAAAAAACCGAATTTCTGTGTGTTGACATCCACAGATGTCTTAGTTGTTGTATCTTGCAGCATTACCAAATACATCTGAATTGATTTCAACTCAACTAATCAGTTTATTTTCTGGATGACAAATAACTTGAATAAAATGGTGGGCCTCTCAAATGAATAACTCTTTTCATCTAGATTACTTGATGCTGAGAAGTATTACCTGTCTTTGGGAATTCTGAATTTTTCATCCTCAGATTCTATCACTTCTACCTCACAATTGGGATTTTCTCTGATAATTCTTTCAGTGTCAGGGTCAAATCTACATAGATTGACTTTCAGAAGTCGAGTTGGGGATTCTTCAAGGCTAAAGCTAAAATCCAATTTGTCACTTTGGTTTACCTCATTTTAATCACAGTAGAGTAGAAAAATTATGTTAAGTATCTGATTAAGAATCAGTAGAAACTAGAGAGTTCACTTACTTTTCTAATTCATTTAAGAAGAGTTTCTCTTCATTATAGGAAACTCTATTCTTTTGACTTCTTAAACTCCTAGGAGTACCTAGAGTAACTCTTCTGGTATATATGTCATCTGTATATCTCTGAGGAGTCATTATATTTCTTCTAGATCTTGTAATCTATAAAAAAATAATAAAATGGAATTTATTGAGTACCAATAACAGCAAATTATTACAGTCAATTATAATAATTGTGTGTGGTATAAGTCAAAGGTACAAGGGACATTTTTCATTGAGAAAATCCATAAAAAAAATATGTAAAAATGAACAATTAATTATGATCCATGAGAGTAATTGAATAAGAAATCCACATTAAAACCAGCTAGTAAATGTCATTTGATTAATATCTTCCAGTTAATAGGAGTCTGCAGTGACTACTTATTACTTTCTTAATTACTTTCTTAAAAAAAGTCTCAATTTCCTCCATGTTGTATTGTTTGACAATGAATTATATAATTCAACACTTAAACAGGCAGCCTTTTTCTATGAGAGAAGTTTCATTGGGAGGGAACAAAACATATACTTATTTCTAGTTGTGAAGGTATTCACATCAACATCATCATTGAACAACTGCTTGTTTTTAGAGACAAAATTGAGATATTCATATACATAAATTACAGGTAATGTTAAAGGTTTAATCTGGGAGCCTCCTTAGTTATTTTCATTAGGAATCCATTTATTTGTGAACAGGAACAGATCACTTTCATACAAAATTATCAATATCCAAAACTAAAGTTCTGTCATGAAAAGGTCCAATGTTTAGTTGTATAGGTATCAAGGCTTGTATGCAAAACAAAGAGTTTCAATAAATATCAACTGAACTATGGGCATCCCCATTCCTGTTATCAATTCAAACATGAACAGAAATTAATAATACTGTCTGTAGGTTAATGGAGGAGGTAGTACATTCATTAATAACACTGTTATAAAAGATTATAGAATCCTACCTGAGTAACTACTTTTCTTGATGGTGTCTTTGTGGGTGTCTCTCTAGCAACCTTGTTACTTTTAGGAACATACTCTTCAGTAACTGATGGTTTTCTTGATCTTTTTGTTGGAGTGCCCTTAAATGGTGACATATAATCAGCATAAGACTTCCTCTCGATGTTTCTACTAGATTTTCTTGCTTTGGGAGATGTATCATTCAGGATACTACTACTACTATCAACAGATACACTTTTAGCTTTCAGTTTTATCACTAGGGATTTACTATTTTTGTTATCACCAGTATCCACAATGGAGTAGTTCATTGTTGGATTATCACTTTCATCATCACTATCATTCCTAACTGAATAATTCAATATGGACTTGCTTTGATCATTAGGGGAGTTGCCAAATGATTTGTTGAGATCTCTCTTCACACTCTTCACAGAGTTCCTTCGTGGAGGAGAATACCTAGCTGCTTCTTTATTATTCTCCTTGGTGTCCATGACATAGGTTGAAGGGGTGATTTCCATGCCTGGTTTATCTGTTGACTTTTTAGGGCCTCTTGTTGAAACAGGGCTATTGTAAGAGTTTTCTGTAAGGATGGTCTGGTCAGCTGGAATCATTGGATAAAGGTACTCAGATTTCTTTGTAAACCGACAAATAAATGTGTTAGCTCTGTCCCACTCATGAATTTTGAAGTAACTTGATGGATCTTCATCCTCAGCCAGGCAAATTATTTGGCATCTTTTGATAATTGCATTTGCAATTAGATTTAGTTCAATGCAATGATCAGAAGATCTGTCTTCTACTACCTAAAAAAAAATATTATTACAAAATCATTCTGGGTACATTGATCACTCGAAAATTTACCTCATTGTCCTGATCAAAACAAGTAATACCTTGTCTCTTGAACAATTTTCTTTCATTCTTAGCTAGGATAAACTTTCTAAGTACTGTAAAGAATGTTTTGTCACCAGAGATATTTAAACAGATGAAATTCACAATTTCTATGCCTTTTTTTCCTTCGATCACAATGTAGTCATCCGAGGTATAGGTTTCCCCTTTGATAGATACTTCACTACGGTAAATTAATCGAATCCTATAGAAATAAAAAACATAATAAAACCAAACTTACCTAAAGCATAAATTACCATTACTTTCATATCGATGGTATTTACAATCAGAACAGGGAGACTCCAAGCTTATTTCAACAGACTCCACCATTATGAAAATTATAACAATGTTTTCGATCAAAACTTTGCAACATCGAAGTAGAGAAACAAACAAAATTATAGCTGAGTCAACACATAAAACGTAACAAACGCACAAAAATATTCAACAGTGTTTAATACTTAATAATAACCACCTCTACAACCAGTTAAATCATAACGAAACTATCAAATGCATCCATTAGCAATAATGTCAAAGTTTGGCGCCAAAGACCATGTGGTGTGAAATCTTCTCCTTCTTTTTTTTAAATTTTATATCTTGAGGGCGTCTATCATAGATGTCTATAATACAATAGAACAAAACACCCTAAAGTAAAACTCGTTGAATTTTCTTTTATCCAGGAACATTCAAATTGAGCTCAATGGGAACATTTAGGGCATAAAAAAACTACACTCTAATTTTGGCTACTGCTACTGGGCTGAATATGAATTAAATGTATTGCTTCACTTTACATAATATTATCATTTATATTTCATCATTATTTGATACTACCTGTCTAAAGAACTTATAAACATACAAATGTTCACCTGGTATTTTCCTATCAACAACCATTTTACTATAAAATCCATACTTTTTCAACATGTCAATGATATTTTCAATATTATTGGCCCTCAAGAGCACCATATAACAAACCCCACGTTCAGATAACAAATTTGGTAAATTTTCTAGCACTTTATCTATTATTGCACGTCCATTGTAGCCTCCAGCCCATGCCCGATTCAGTCCATTACCAAAAACCTCTTCAGATTCTGTTAAAACATAAGGTGGATTGAACAAAATCACATCAAACATTTTTTTGTCAAAGTTACTCAACAAATCCATGTTGAGACATTCTACAGTAACACCATTCAATGCACTGGTATTTTTTGTAGCTAGGCAGCACTGTGGATTGATATCAGTAGCAAAATAAGCACAGGAAGTTGAAAATATTTGTGAAAAAGCTGTAATGACTATACCACTGCCTGAACCTATTTCAACCACTTTGTTTGGGTTCAGTCCCAACAGAAAAGGTATATCAGCCTCCAGGGCATCTATGAATAAAAAGGTGTCTTCCCTAGGCTCATAAACTTCTGGAAACTGATGCAAATCATAAGTTGGTGTTTTCAAAAGCATTTTGTTCTCAGCTTGAGGTTGTAGGTTTTTGTTCTTCAGTATCTAGTATCACTTTTCTTTTGGATATTTCTTTATCAATTGACAAATGAACCTTATTCAGTCTGTCTTGTGCATTCTGGAGAATATTGGATACAATGGTTACCCTCTGCTTTGCATTAATTAGCTTTTTAACATAGACATCCAAATCTATGGAGTTCTTTTGGGATTCTGATATGTTTTTGAGCTCCTCACTCAAACTCTCGAGGCACTGTTTCAATTCTAGTTGAGATATTCTGAAACAAAAGTAATGATGATATCAATAGTAATAAATTGCAAGGTAATGTAAAATCCAATTTTGATATTTCCAACCTGGTGGCTCGCACTCGTTCATCTAGCTGGTCCACAGTTGGTTTTATAAGTCCCATCAAACCTTCGGCCAGTGTATCTCGAGTAGGATTCTCGCCAAAATTCTCAGTATTTTCATCTACAGAAGTAGCGGTACTTTCTGAATCTATATCCAAGTTATCTCCATCCATTTCCACTGAATCCATTTGCATTGTTTTGTTTTCCAACTATGACTAGATGAACGTTAGTCGGTTCTGTAATAAATTCAGAAAACATCTCAATCAGAACATTATCAAAATTGAGGTTTGTTAATCTGTGTCATGTCAATAGTCAATATGTTATAGCGTACGGATCAGTGGTACGGATATGTACCACGCTAAATGATCGATTAATCACGGATTGACGATCTGTGAATTATTCGAAATATTAAACACATTACCATGGCAACACAGTTCATTAAACACAGCAAACACAGCTTCAGCAGTAGTTTGAGACATATCTGGCCTGTCAATTGTATTTATTAACTGTCAACTGTTATTTTCAAATTTTGCATCAGAATTATAAAAGGGCGCCGTACATTATGCTATTTACAAGCAAGTTCGGTGCAATGCAATTTCGAATCGAACAATGCGCATGCGTCTATGATATTTCACCGCAAGTTTCATGCAAGTTTCATAATAGAACCAGTTCTATTTTTCCTGCAATTTCAACGCAAGTTTAGTGAAATTTTTAGTAATATTCATCGTAGCATCTTGATAAAATACAAATTCTCTCCAATAACGTGGCCTGAAACACCAAATAACCTCAAAAAGTACATTGAAGGCTCAAAAAACCTGAAAATAGTGAATATGAACAAGAAAATATGACAGAAATATCTCAGAAATATCTTAATGTACGGCGACTTGCCATCAATTGCGGACATTGCGAGAAAATTGCATTGCCTCAAACTTGCCGAGAAATAGCATAATGTACGGCGCCCTTTATAAATATAAGCGAAATGTAGACGAAAGTGAAATTGAAGAGAATGTTCTGGTACTTGCATATCTCCAAGAAGTATGAAAATGAAGCATCCATCTTTGAGAACAATTTATTTATTCTGCGCTAAGCTTAGATCATACAGGTTAGAAAACAATGGTTGCATGCAGTTGCATGTATAACAGTATACTCCCTATGTATTAACTTCTCAATCCCCATTCCTTTCGAATTATTTTGTAGGATAGCAGGAATTGCAGGTATGTTAATGTAATTTTCGGAGTTCGTAGAAAAATCATAGTATGTAACGCGTTTATAAACTCTTCTAGACACTCGTTTATTGAACACTCGCTCCGCTCGTGCTTAAACTACTCGTTACTAAAAGGATGTTTATAAAACTTGTTACATAATATTATACTATTGAGTTTGCTCTGCATAAAAAAAATACGAATCAGCAAGGAATTTAGAGTGCACGCCGGACGAAGTCAGAGACATAACTAATCTTCTTCTTCTTTGGCTTTTGGATGAACTTTGAAATGAGCACCACTAGCACCAGTCACCACAGCTATCTAACAACTTTCCAGCAGGAACTCAGTCTCAGCCAAGTGATTATTTCAAAGGCAAACAATGTTTGTGAACGATATTTATTCCTAATAAACACTTTATAAAATATGTATTCCACATTACTTAAAAAATTTCAAAGAAATTCCAGGTACACTCGCCTTCAGAGCACATGGACAGTGTTTGGAGTGTCAGATCTTCCCAAATCTATACTGCATACTGCAGTATTTAAGCCACTAACTCCTTAAACTTCTGATGTGTTCTTGAAGATGAGTGTACAAAATATATAAAATAAATTAAAACATAAACAATAAGTAGACATTTCAAGACTAACTTTCACATTACTCTAATAAAATAGAGATATTGAATAAGTAAATTGAGATTAACTATCATAAATATTTCATTTCTCAACATCACTAACTTTTTCCCAATCTCCATCAAGACTGCTGTTGCTACTAGGTGTCAAGCTCAAGGCAGAGTCAATTTTATTCAATTTTGATTCTGGTACAATTTCTTCAGTTTTTGTAGTCCTGATTTCCCTCTTTGGAGATTCTTGCTTGAAAACAACTTTTTCACCAATGAGTGTGCTAGGTTTTTGGCTCAATTTCTGAACTTTTTTCTCATTTTCATACTGCTCCAGTAGCTTAATCTGCTCTTCTTCTGTTAGTTCTATATTAGCAGCAAAATCTTCTAAAAAATCAAAATAAATAGTTTCCTATAATATTGAAGACAATCAAATATACAAAAATATAAGGAGTTTCTGTGAATTGATGAAGAATTAATAAGTGCTTACCTTGTTCCCATTTCAAATTTTCCTCAGTCATCAATTTTTCATGTTGGTCCCTCTTAACCATTGCTTCTCTCCTAGCAAAATCATCTTCTAACAGAGCTCTCTTGAAAAGATATCTATAAGAGCCATAATTATGCATTAACTTGTAAACTTTGAATCAAAATATAGAACCTTTTCCAGAAGATCTGATGTTCCACTACTTCAGGCACCAATTTTGCATATTGTCTTTTGAGAACCTCAGAACTGTTAACTTGTTTTGCTATCCTATCATCTGACAACTGATCATCAATTATTTCTAGCCAACATTGAAATTGCTTCTGCAAAGTTTCATCAGGATCACTAAGGAATGTAGTTGGATCTGATTGTAGTTTAAACAATGCTTTCTATAAAATACAATAATGTATTAATTGAAATAGTGGATAGGGTTTTGAATTTTCAGTTCTCACCTGGTACTCTGTTAAAGTTACTGTTTCAGAATTTTCCACTATCAACACCTCAGTATCAGAATCATCAGGACTAGGGTTCAAAACAGTATTCATATGGCCTAGAACAATTCCAAATTGAATTGATTATGATTGATTGATTATATGGAGACCACCTACCAAGAAATGCACTGAAACTTTTTTTCATGTTACTAGCTGTGGAATCTGGAGAGTCCAACTGAAAAGTTAATTGAAACCTTCAGGGTACCAATTGACATTAATCACAAATTGGTACTTACACTGAGTGTCTTCTCAAGAACTGAGCCAGTGGAAGATACCACACTAGTTGCTTCATTCCTAACAGCAGACCCAAATTCTTCCAAGTCTTTTTTCACAAATTCTAATACTTCAGTACTCTGGAAGAGAACTATAATAGGTAGGGTGACACAGGAATTATTGATGAAGATATTTTGGATTTTTCAATTTATAACTCATGAAATGTAAAGGTATCATTTGGTTATTATTGTGTTACTGTAATGAGGTTACTCACCTTGTTTTTGGCTGCATTCAACCAAGACCCAAACCAATTATTATTATCAGTACTGAAAAAATAAACATTCAAGTTGCGACTTATCACACAAAATATTTACCAACTACTCAACTAGATATCAGACATATATCAGGTGTTTTTTTATACACAAAAATTAGCTGTTTCATCGGATTGTGCAGATCGAGGTGCAGATTGAAAATACTTACTTTTCAGCCATTCTCCAAGTATTTTAAAAATGCACTGAGAATTTTCTAGTGACAGTGACTTTTATTAATACCTTTCACAAATTATTAATGTTTTGTTTTTTCAACAAAAACATCGTACGTGCAGCGGCCATGACATAAAACTGAAAACAGTGAAAAGAAAACTGACTGCTGAAAGTTCTGAAAACTCTGGAAAGAATGATCACACTGACTTTTATTAATACCTTTCACAAATTATTAATGTTTTGTTTTTTCAACAAAAACATCGTACGTGCAGCGGCCATGACATAAAACTGAAAACAGTGAAAAGAAAACTGACTGCTGAAAGTTCTGAAAACTCTGGAAAGAATGATCACACTGAAATACTGAAAATTTAATACCAACCATAACGCAGAAGCACTGAGGCCACTGAGGAATATGGAATTGGTACAAAATACTCAAGGCTCAAAGTGGTCTCAAAGCAGAAAGCAGATCTGAAAAAAAAAGACGATACTTATTCTCATTATTCTTCTGATACTAGCTTCTGCCTACTTGTATCATAAGACTATAGACAAATACGACGGAAGTGGGTGAATCCATTTCCAACAAGTAGCACTTGTAGCTTGTAGCATCTTAGCAGAGAAGCGGTAACCTATCAAATCAACGTCAAAATCGTAAAAGCCGTTTTTCTAAAAAATAAATATTATTATTATATTCACCTTATCTCTTCATTATATTTGAATCCAAATGACTGCTTTCGAAGGTACTAGAATGGCTTTGTCTAGTTTTATCATAGAAATTGAATGAAAATATTTTTTTTCAGAATTTGGAGTTCTCCCGGAAATCGCAAAAGCCCTGGACGAGCTAGAATGGACGTACGTATCACCAAATTCAGAACAATATGTAGCTTTTGTGCTATTAAAGGTTTTTCTATCCTATAATGAATAACAATTATTGTAGCCTCCCTACTGATATCCAAGCAGAAGGCATACCCCTTGTGTTAGGAGGTGGAGATGTTCTAATGGCTGCAGAAACAGGCAGCGGTAAAACAGCTGCCTTCTGCCTCCCAGTTATCCAAATCGTATGGGAAACTCTGAAAGACATCCAGTCTGGAAAAGCTGCTAAATCAGCAGCTGAATCTCTGTGTAAGCCCAAGGTAATCTCACATAAACTATGCAACTTATACATTGTTCACATTTTCAGCTCCACCATGGACTATGTCTGCTCTGGATAGGGGCAATGCTTTGGCAGTAGCACCAGATGGTCTCCGTGTGCAATCCAGAGAGCAGAAAGAATGGCATGGTGTGAGGTGCACCAGAGGGGTCAAGTCTGGAAAATGGGGGTTTGAAGCCACTGTCACAGATGAGGGGTTATGTAGAGTTGGTTGGTCTTCATTACAGGCTAGTCTGGACCTTGGTACAGACAGGTAAGTATTTTTTCTTCACTTTTTGAAAAGTTAATGTCCAGTTTGTGATTTATAGATTTGGTTATGGTTTTGGTGGAACTGGAAAGAAATCCAACAACAGACAGTTTGATAACTATGGTGAACCATTTGGGAAAAGTGATGTGATAACTTGCCTTCTAGATTGTGACAATGGAGATATTACTTTTTTGAAAAATGGTATCAGTCTAGGTGTAGCTTTCAATGCTGATAAAAATATGATTAGTAATGGATTATTTCCAGCTGTAGTATTGAAAGTAAGTGTCCTTACTTTGGAAATGATTTTTTTCCTGTAATTTCCTTTTTTATTTCCAGAATGCAGAAATGGCCTTCAATTTTGGTGACAAACTGTTCAAACATAGTTTACCTGCAGATTACCAACCTATAAACTCAGCAACTCCTCAGCAATTCATATCAAATAGCAATACTCACAGTGGTACTGCTTCAGCTGCAAAAATTATCAATAATGCACCTCAAGCTATCATAATTGAGGTAAAAATTCATCAATATTTTCAAATATAATTCAATTTTCCTAACTTGATTTGTATTTGTTTAGCCTTCCAGGGAATTGGCTGAACAAACTAGTAATCAGATAAAGTTGTTCAAAAAACATCTAGGAGATCCTGTCATTCGTGAGCTTCTAGTAATAGGTGGCGTCAATGTCAAAGAACAGATTTCATATCTGCAAAATACTGGCGCTGACATAGTCGTTGGTACCCCTGGTAGATTAGAAGATTTGATACAGGGAGGTCAGTAAAAATGCTCAATGTTTCCAGTGAATTTTTTGTTTCAAATAATTCAAAATTCGATTTTGTTCTTTAGGTTATCTTTCTTTGGCACAATGCAGGTTCTTCATTTTGGATGAGGCAGATGGTTTGCTGAAGCAAGGTTATACAGAGCTGATTGAAAGGCTTCACAGAGAAATGCCCAAAATAACTGCTGATGGCAGAAGATTGCAAATGATTGTTTGCAGTGCCACCTTACATGCTTTTGAAGTGAAAAAAATGGCTGTGAGTAATTCAGCCAAGATATTTTAAATCATTTTTGGCAAATGATTGAATTTAATTGAATTTCCCACAGAGATTTTTCTAATAATTATCCCTTTATGCAATCCCAAAACTGAAGGAAAATTTCATCTACTATGGTGCATTAAAATTTTCATTGAAATAATTCCTAAGATGAGTTTTTGAACCACTCAAAACTATGAAGTTGGTTCCAGGCTTAGTGAAAAAAGTTTTACTTTTTATTTATTTATTTATTTATTGAAAATGTTACTTCCAGTCAGAATCAAGTTCTGGTATAAGGAAGTATAGTTAACAATAATACCTAAAACTATACAATTATAATAAACTGATGAACAATAAAATATTTGAAAACATTAATTATTAAATTTTGACAAATCATTTCATATTGCTGAGCAAAAATCAATTTCAATATGAATCAAAAGTAAGTCATCTATTTCGTTCAGAAATGATAAATTTTTTAAGATGGTATTTGAATTTTATTGTATTTCTGCAATTTTTTATATTATCTGGTAATTTGTTATATTCCAAGAGAGCAGCGTGGGTGAATCTTTTTTGGCCTATAGAAGTATTAGCGATACTTATCAAGATGAAATAAACCATGTTGTCTAGTTTGATAATTATGAATTTCATTGTTTCGTGTTAAAATAAAATTAGATTTCAATCTTTTATTTATGATATTGTATGTAATTTTCAGTCTTTCGATTTTGAACATTTCTTCTAATGAGAATGATTCAGTTATTTTATATAATTGATTTGTTGGTGTATCATATGGTAAACGATACAGTACTTTCAATGTCTTTTTATATAATGCAGATATTTTATTAAAATTGTTTTTTGAACAGTATCCCCAAACATTTATCAAATAGTTAATACGACTGAGTATATGAGAATATAGAATTATATTTGCAACTTTTTTATTCAGCTTGGGACATCTTCTCAGGGCTCCAATAATAGGAGATATTTTTTTCTTCAAAACATTTATATGTTTGTCCCACTTCAATTTATCATCAAACCAAATCCCAAGATACTTTTTCTCATTAGTTTGTTTCAAAGATTCATTTTTAATTCTGAGATTTAAATTTATATTTTGTTTATTTTATTATTTATTTATGTGCAGTTGGAAAAATTGTTAAAAGCAGAGGTTAATGGTCATTTTTATATACAAATGTACAAACTTTTATTTATCTCATTCTCTCAATGAAGAAAATCTTGTTTGAATTCTGGAACAATGATTTATGAGAAAAAAAAAGGTAAAAAGTCTTGGGCAAAAATGTTTTGTAGATTTATTCATTGGAGTCTGTTAATATTCAACAAAAAAATACTCAACGTGTTTATTACCAATTCAAGAAGTTTATCCTTCCATCAAAAACCGGACCAATAACAAAAATATAGACTATTTTCTATATAAACGGTACTTGAGAGTTACTTAAGAAATATCTGACATGTTGAAAACATTTTCCAGAAATTTTATTAGATGAAACTTCTGGATTCGAAAAATTTCGTTTCAAGGTACATTGGTCAGACAGGTAGAACGCATAATAACCGCATTCAAGAACATCATATTTAAAAAAACATTCAACATTGATAGATAGATAGTTTATTGATCTCTTCAGGTCATTTTGACAACATGAGATAGTTAAAAAAAATACAAGTCTTATTATACAGTGTGTCCCACTTACCATGCTCACCATGGGTATCTTTTTAAAGGTGAGAGATGCGAGGTCGGGTAAAATTTATACCAACTCTTCTAATATTTGAGATATCAGCACCAACTTTACTTTTTCAAATGTAGGTCATAGCTCACTATGACTTAGTTACAAATAACTTTTTTTTCTCTCACAGATGATATAACGCAGTAATAGTTTTGTGTTGATAACAACGGAGTTATCGTCATTTATACAAAAACAAAAAATGATTTGGATGCCGCCATTTTGACTTCATAAATTTTAACAAAAAAATCATGATCTCCGACCTCAAAAACCCCCACTTACCAATTTTGAATGGAATCGGACCAAATCTTGTCCGCCATCTTGGAGCAGCCATTTTTTTTTTAATTCCAACAAAAATTCCATAATGAATTGTCACCGAAATTATGAACACCTGCCAAATTTCAAGCTAATCGGAGTTATGGATTTTTTGTTGTAATTAAAAAAAATGGCTGTTCCTAGATGGCGGACAAGATTTGGTCCGATTCCATTCAAAATTGGTAAGTGGGGGTTTTTGAGGTCGGAGATCATGATTTTTTTGTTAAAATTTATAAATTCAAGATGGCGGCTTCTAAATAGTTTTTTGTTTTTTTATAAATGACGATAACTCCGTTGTTATCAACACAAAACCATTACTGCGACATATCATCTGTGAGAGAAAAAAAAGTTATTTGTAACTAAGTCATGGTGAGCTATGACCTACATTTGAAAAACTAAAGTTGGTGCTGATATCTCAAATTCTAGAAGAGTTGGTATAAATTTCATATTTTTTTCGAAATCACTTTGAAAAACTGCCATGAGAATGTGAAATTCCTATTTGAATATTTTCATAAATAAAGAAGTTACGGAGGAGACATGAAAATGATCAAAATCTGTTTTTTTGCGTATAAAACAAAAACGAATAGATTTTATCAAAATATTTTTTCACATTATAGTTGGCCTTGACAAACTCCACATTTGGTGTCATTCAACCGACCTCGTATCTCTCTCCGTTTAAAAGATACCCATGGTGAGCATGTAAAGTGGGACACACTGTATAATCAATAAAATTACCTAGCTATTATGATTTTCCATATCATCGATTCCTCAGAGGGCGTTAGTTTTCAAACTTTCTCATTTTCTCCACAAGTAAGTGAATAACTCCGCAGAAATATATTTTCTACATTAAAATTTCGCTCTATCATTCTTCGCTGTGACTGTTTCGCTATTTGGATTGTTCGGTCTCAAGTTTTTTCGCTCTGAATGGTGCGCTCTGAAAATTTCGATATATAGTTTTTCTCACAAGACACCCATCCCCATCTATGTGAATCTCAGAGATTTTCCGGACACCCTGTATATATGAATTTTTAGGAAAAACTCATGTATTTTCCTACTTGGGTGGACCTCAAAGGGGAAGATGCCGTTCCCGAGACTGTCCACCACGTGGTGGTGAAAGTGGACCCGCAAAACGACAAAAGCTGGCACAACCTGAGAAGGCACATCACGACGGACGGTGTGCATGCCCAGGACAATGTCAGACCGGGTCACAACAGCCCTGAGACGCTCAGCGAGGCTGTCAAATTGTTGAAAGGTGAGAAAAAAAATCTGTTGAATGGGAAGATTCCTAAATTTTTTGGTTTACTAGGCTCAATCCAATACTAACACTATTTATCACCACTTCATCCGTTGTACCTGCTCTTTTACCGAAGCAAATCATATTTGAATACACGAATATTTTATCTAGGGTATCATTGATTTTTGAAACAACTATATTAGCATTATCATCATTCAAGCTTGCATACACTTGACAATCACAATCTGAAGAAAGATCTCTCAAATCCATTGTATAAAGCGAAAAAAGGAGCGGACCTAATATTGAGCCCTGAGGAACTCCTCGAGGTAGTGGCATTGAGCTAGAAGTGGTGTCCTCTATGATGACATATTGACATCGGTTGGAGAGGTAACTCTCAATTAATCTTATTGTTTCAGTGGAAAAATTGAAATAGTGTAGTTTAGCCAATAAGAGATTTTGGCCTGCCCAAGTTATCAAATGCTTTTCTATAATCTAGTGTAACCAGTGATGTTGTGTTGCCTTCATCAGTTGCTCTGAATATATCATCTAATACCTTGGTTAAAGCTGTTGTTGTACTATGTCCTGTACGGAATCCAGATAGGCAATCAGAAAATTGTTCATTATTAGTAAGAAATCTTATCATTTGATAATCTTGGACAATTCCGGAAGCCTACTAATAGGTCTCAAATCAGACAGTTTTTTAGGGTTTGAAACTTTTGGAAACGGCAAAACAACAGCATTCCTCCAATTTATAGGAAAATATTCCTCAATGAGGCAACAGTTGTATATGTGAACGATGAATGGCAGTACATGAGGACAGCTCAGCTTAATAATTAGAAGAGTTATTCCATCAGAACTTTCAGTATTTGATTTGATACTACCAATAGCCTCCACCAACTCATGCTCACCATATAGTCCAATAAATGAAGGAGGAAAAAAAGGCAAAGTTAACGTTAATTACGCACTATTTTCATCTTCCGGTTGGAAGTAGCTTTTGGTAACTCATTAAACATGAGACAAAGTTTGACTGGAAAACGCGTGCGATGGCGGAGAAAATGGCCCCAAAAGACCAGGAAAATAGGTTTTCAGCCCATATCTCCTAAAATATGTCAGTTAGAGATTTTCGGTTCAGATAAAAATTGAAGTTCAGTTAATTTTCTACAAAAATGATCCTTATCATTTTTCTCGAAAATTTGCCCGGTTTCGAGAAAAACGGCACGAAGCGCACCTCGAATAATGAGCTTCTGTGTTGTATGCCGGAGAGCACAGTCCGTGTATTTACACATCGGCATGGGGACAAATTATTCAATAACTTTGTTAAAAATGCATATTTTCTCATGATTCAAAGTTCATGTGGAAGAGGAATTCTGCTGCTATCATACCCTGCGTGGCCGCATGGTTTGTAGCAGACGACCCGAGCGCCACGTAGAGCACACACGCGGCGAACGACGGAGGAACGAAAGTAATAAATTATAGCGTGTACATTTAGATATACTGGTTTTTTCCCGGGATATCAAAGGTATGACTTATATACATCGATGGAAAGGTGGGATTTCCCCCGTTACACTACTTAAGGTGTTAAAATGTTAGAAATAAAGAGCACGGAGAAAAAAACCACCGAAAAAAGTGCGTTTTTTCCTTGACCCTGTTTTTTCTAATTTTATTGAAAAACGGACGACTTCGTCTAAAAAAGTAATTGCACAATCGAAAAGTAGACCTTCTTAGCTTTCAAATGATGTATCATAGAAACCAATCGGATCATGTATAAATTTTTAATTGATGGTTGTTCACAAAATTTCCCCGCGCTCCAAAAACAGCAAAAAATTGGGATTCAATAAACAAAGATTGAATGAAAATTAAAAAAAAATAGGGTATACAAGTTTCAGGAATGACAAAGGACCTTATGAGGACCCATAATCAAGAGAATTTTGAGTAAATTAGTGCAATACAAAAAAAATAGGAACAAATTCCTGGCGAGGTCAAAATTGACCGGGAGCAGAAAGTTTGACCCATTTTCCGATATGGCCAAAAGAGTCAAGCGTGACTCAATTCACAGGGTATGATAGCAGCAGAATTCCTCTTTCACATGAACTTTGAATCATGAGAAAATATGCATTTTCAACAAAGTTATTGAATAATTTGTCCCCCCGCCGATGTGTAAATACACGGACTGTGCTCTCCGGCATACAACACAGAAGCTCGTTATTCGAGGTGCGCTTCGTGCCGTTTTTCTCGAAACCGGGCAAATTTTCGAGAAAAATGATAAGGACCATTTTTGTAGAACATTAACTGAACTTCAATTTTTATCTGAACCGAAAATCTCTAACTGCCATATTTTAGGAGATATTGGCTGAAAACCTATTTTCCTGGTCTTTTGGGGCCATTTTCTCCGCCATCGCACGCGTTTTCCAGTCAAACTTTGTCTCAAGTTTAATGAGGTACCAAAAGCTACTTCCAACCGGAAGATGAAAATAGTGCGTAATTAATGTTAACTTTTTCCCTTTATTTATTGGACTAATAGGGTTCAATTTTACATGGTCCAGTAGTTTTGGTGCATATTCATTACAAACAAACAATCAAATCTCCCCTTTATAATAGTAGTATAAAGTTTATTCTCTTCTTCTATTGAAAAACTCAGGTGAATACTGTATACGAGCCATCGACGTCCACGAAATGGACCGCGCCATCATTTTCTGCCGCACCAAAGTGGATTGCGACAATCTGGAGAAATATATGAGGCAAATCGACAGGAATCACTATTCCTGCGTGTGTCTGCACGGCGATAGGAAACCGCACGAGAGGAAGGCCAATTTGGAGACATTCAAAAAGGGCCACGTCAAATTTCTCATCTGCACCGACGTGGCTGCCAGAGGATTGGACATCACGGGACTGCCCTTCAGTAAGTGGCATTTTGGTCATGTGATGTGTAACATTATTGATTTTTTTCTGGTGTTGAGTTAGCGGGAATTCGGTCGGAATGTTGAATTGTCGACGTTTCGAAACTTTATTGTTTCATCTTCAGGACACTAAAGTAGAAGAACCAGAACATACATATGAAAATGATATTTTAAAATTAGAGATTTCAATACAAACGAAATAAATTATGTAAAATAACAATCATTGAGAATAAAATACTTTTAACACTTTACAGAAAACAACATTGATAGGTACTTACATTTAGGTTGGCTTTCCGGGTTTAAAAATGATGAAATAAATAAAATCATAACATAAAATCAATGTTGTTATCTGTAAAGTGTTAGAAGTGTTTTATTCTCAGCAATTGTTATTTTACATAATTTATTTTGTTTTTATCAAAACCCCTCATTTTAAAATATCATATCAAAATGTATGTACTTGTTTTCCTACATCAGTATTCTGAAAATGAAACAATAAAGTTTCGAAACGTTGACAATTTAACAATTGTTCAACATTTCGACCGAATTCTCGCTCAGTCAGCACCAGTAATCATTTTCAACGGTCGCCATTCTATTCAATTATTGATTTCGTCTTGCGTTGTTTTATCACTTGATCGCTTTTTTATATTCTTGACTTTTATTCAAAAATGTATCACAGTTAGTATTTTGTCGGTGACGTCATCGGTCTATTGGAATAATAGTTTTTTGATTTAAAATGCAATACTTTGATGACGCAAGTTTTTTTTAGGAGAATTTTCAAATATTTCATGTGATTTGTATCCAAATGTTGATGAAATGTTCTAAAAATGATACTTTTATTCTAAGAATAAATCATTATTGAATATCATTATAGGGATTCCCTTTTGTGAGCACCAAGTGATAAAAACTATGAAACTTTAACTTCAGATGAACGATTATTTGGAGATTATATGGAGAATTCAAAACTCGATACTCTACCGGGTGTAATAGGATCATGGTACACCCCCTTTTTTTCCTTTCAGTTTCAGAAATATCTGATTGAAATTTAGAATGATCCATCAACTTGATAAACGTCATGTTTTTACATGAATATGTTGCATTTTCCACTTCTGGTTTCACCGGAAGCGATCAAAAAAACATGGAATGTCAACATTTCTCGATGTTTGTAGAGAACAAATTTTGTTGCAGAAAAAACAGAGCTATCCTTTTTTTTTCAGTGATCAACATCACATTACCAGATGAAAAATCGAATTATGTGCACAGGATTGGTCGTGTTGGTAGAGCCGAACGTATGGGGTTAGCAATCAGTCTAGTCAGCACTGTCCCTGAAAAGGTATAACACCCTGTATATAATATTGATTAACATGTGAAATCAGCATCAGCGGTTAACTTTTCATTATATCTTTTTTTTATATCTGTTCATCAATCAATTTTCAACTATTTTTAGCAAAACATTTCTATAGCTACATAATATTCAAATTTCATAAAACTACAGTAATATTACATATCAGAGGTGGTCAAATTGAATGCATTATTTTTTGTTTTGCTACTGGTTCTCAATTTTTCAACCGATTTTTTTTTTCTTGGAATTATCGGGAACAAATGTGGGAAATCTGCCAAAACCTGGATGTTATTTTAGGTTTGGTATCACGGAGAGTGGTGCAAATCTAGAGGAAGGAATTGTTGGAATACCAATTTGACAGACGTCAAAGGTTGCTGCATATGGTACAATGAACCACAAGTGAGTTTTTTTTCTACATATTTCAGCTGCCACTAATTCACTGCCGCAAACCTTTATTTCCTCGGAGCTCTATAATTTTTTAAAATAATTATTGAAATTCACGATATTTCATAACATGAAATATGCGAGAAAACGCGACACCACCATATAAAATTCGACTCACCTATCAACTCTCTATTTCTGATAGACAAGTGAAATTTTTTTTTAATTGTTATTTCAATCACAATATAACATGAATTTTCTGGATTCAATACTTACTGCAGATTACAGAAAACAATGGTAAAACTGCATTTAGCATGCGATAGGTTTTTTTTCGAAAAATTTTTTTGGTACTTATGTATTTCTGTCTGAAAAACACGAATTTGATAATGAAAATGTGAACAAACCATTATTTATCAAGATATTTCACTATAAAGTTACAAATTTCACCTTCTTTTCCGCCTGTCTTCTGGATTGCATTTAAAACAATTTACCCTTCTTTTTTCATCATTGGACAATTTGTATATATCACAATGTAAGACACATTTTTTTCTATTATTGAGTCAACTAGAAATATGATTTTCTTGTGATTTATCCATATTTATTGAAAAGAAGGAAGAATATCATTTGAAACAATGGCGTGTGTAATGTCATTCCAAAGCAATCTATTGACATTTGACATCATGTATTTGGATTGCCTATGGATAAAATGGCCGTCATCTGGTATGCTTGCTCACTAAATAGGAAAAACTCACCATAAAAATCATATTTCCTGTTGAATTTTCTGTATAAAAATGTGTCATTGAAGTACATCATGAGTATATAAAGTGTCCAATGACAAAATAAGAAGAGCAAGTACCTGAAAATGCATCCAACGCAAGTGGAAAAAGGAGTCGAAATTTCGAACTTTTTTTTTAAATATCTGGATAAATAGTGGTTTGTTCACATTTTCATTAACAAATTCGTGTTTTTCAGACAAAAATACGAAAGTACCAAAAAAAATTTTCGAAAAAAAACCCATCGCATGCTAAATGCAGTTTTACCAAAACAATGATGGAAGTAAGATATGGTGCGCGTATTCGGCCATTATTACGTATTGAAAATTTCAGAAAAATCACTCGACCGCCTACTATGATTTCTCTACGAACGAGACGTTGATTCTACATTTACCCGCTAGATGGTGATGCTGCTATTGCTGCTGTGACGAGTGGAAATAAAATGGCAAATGGCATTTTAGGTACGCGGAACATATATGCAACAGTGGGATAATTCAACTCTGAATTCGAAAAATCTGCGACAATTTCAAAACTGACAGATATCATAATTGTGCAATGTCGCCATCTACTAGAAGATCGACGGAACCATTGCTCTCACTGTTCTCGAGAGGTCGAGTAAAGTTTCTGAAACAAAAGCGCATCAGTAATTACACCATATCGTACTTCCATCATTCAGAAAACAACACAACTAAAGAATAAGATAATATGAGGATTATCTTTGAATATTCGCATCTTGACTAGATGAAACAAGGATTTGACGATGAAGGTGACAGCCCATATAAACGTCTTCTTCTTTTTTTTGTATTTCTGGGAACTCAGGCATTACACTGTTGCCGGTGCCACAAAATAATTTGGGATTAAACAGAACCTCCATCATTATTAGGAATACTAGGATATTTTTATTGGTACTGAAGCATCTTGCAAGGATATAAGTATTCAATAAGTGATTATTAGGGACCAGTTTGAACTATTGTCTTCTGTGAATGTGATGTCATTGTCCATATTGAATCTCTCATACTAGTTACCAATCTGGCAGCATCGCAATATGTGGTCCTACTTTTTATGTGAAAGACAGAATTCGGTTCATGACGTCATGATTTTAAATAACAAATGAAACAAAAATAATTTTCTGTAAAAATAATATACAGCGCTTTCATAATTTTTTAGCTAAACTATGTCTCTGAGGGATCTCATGAAACAGGTTGGTTTTAAATCTCAATTTGCCACATAAAATACTTATGAAAGCACTGTGTGGTAATTTTTAGATTTTTTGGTTTACGCAAATTTGGGAGTTGGTGAATAGTTTTTGCTTTGAAAAAAATGTGAAATAATGTCAGATTTTTTCAAAAAATCTGGAAAAGAGGTTGTTTTATCTTCTTGGATCTCCATTTTTTTTTGGAAAAATTTTTAGTGTGTTTCCCACCTCAATTCATCAAATTCAACCAACCAAGCTTTGATTATCATCCTGTAGAATAGTATCCGGAAAAGATGAAATAGTCATATCCATAGGTTCGATAGTCAATGAAACGAGCTTTCAGAAACTGAAAAATAATTGAAAATCAGTTGAGGAAATCGAAAGTTATGATGATTCAAATTTGATTGAAAAAATGCGATTTTACGTTTCATGTGTTGAGCAGTTTAGTTCTAGTTCCTAGTTCCCTTAAGAAACGCGACTACTTTGTCTTTTTCCGAACAACCCAACCTAAAAGAACTTTCTTCCCAGAAAGTATATTTTTCAACATCGGTCGTGTGTGAAGACTGTAGTTGAATCGAAATGTCTAAAGAAATGTGGGTGAATGGAAATTTGGGCCAAACGAGATGTTCCCCAAATTTTGAAGTTACATTATGGACATATTTTAGTTCATAGGCGACATTGAGGAGCACCTGAACGTGACCATCCAGCAAATAGGCCCCGACCTCGTGGTGCCCCACGACGACTTCGACGGCAAAGTCGTATACGGGGAGAAACGAAAAAGCGGCGGTTCCAAGTACCAGGACCACACTGCGCAGATGCAGCCCATCATCCAACATTTGACTTCGTTGGAGAGCCAGGCGCAGCTGAGTTACGTCAAGAGGCATCTGACCAAGTTGACCAGATCGTATTAGCGTTCTATGTAAGAAGAGACGTTTTCGAATAGAATATTTTCGCGATTTTGTATCTTTTTTCGATTTGGGGCCTGTTTAGAAGACATATTTCAGAACATACTGATATATTTTGGAACATTTTCCAATGTTTTGGAACATTCTCTAATATTATGAAACATTCTAGAACATTCCCTAATATCGTGGAATATTTTAGACCATTCTCGAATATTATGGAACATACTTGACATTCTTAAACTTTCACTATAACATTATGGAACATGCTATACCATTTTGAAAGATTGTAGATTCTGGGACATCCTACAACATTCTTCATAGATTTTAGAATGAAATTATTGAATGTAACTTTCAGAATTACAAAAAAATATACATATTAGATTGAACATTACCAAAAAAAGCCTGTTTAGAAGACGAATTTTAGAACATACTGGAAAATTCTTGAATATTCTGGTAAACTCTCGAATTCTCTAATATTATGAAACATTATAGAATATTCTAGAACATTCCCGAATATCATGAAATATTTTAGACCGTTCTGGAACATGCTATACCATTCTGGAATATTCTAGATTTTGGGACATTCTATAACATTCTTCATAGATTATTTTAGAATGAAATTATGGAATGTAACTTTTAGAATTACAAAAAAATTCAACATTACTAAAAAAGCCTGTTTAGAAGACGAATTTCAGAACAAACTGGAATATCCTCGAATATTCTGGTACATACTCGAATGTTTTGGAACATTCTCTAAAATTATGAAACATTCTAGAATATTTTAGAACATTCTCGAATATCCTGGAATATTTTAGACCATTCTCGAATATTATGGAACATACTTGACATTCTCAAACCTTCTATAACATTCAGGAACATGCTATACCATTCTGGAATATTGTAGACTTTGGGACATTCTATAACATTCTTCATAGATTATTTTAGAATGAAATTATCGAATGTAACTTTTAGAATTACAAAAAAATATACATATTAGATTGAACATTACTAAAAAAGTCTGTTCAGAAGACGAATTTCAGAACGAACAGGAATATCCTCGAATATTCTGGTACATACTCGAATGATTTGGAACATTCTCTAAGATTATGAAACATTCTAGAATATTTTAGAACATTCTCGAATATCCTGGAATATTTTAGAACATTCTCGAATATTATGGAACATACTTGACATTCTCAAACCTTCTATAACATTCTGGAACATGCTATACCATTCTGGAATATTCTAGATTTTGGGACATTCTATAACATTCTTCATAGATTATTTTAGAATGAAATTATTGAATGTAACTTCAGAATTACAAAAAAATATACATATTAGATTGAAGATTACCAAAAGAGCCAGTTTAGAAGACGAATTTCAGGACATACTGGAATATTCTGGTGAATTCTCGAATTTTTTGGAACATTCTCTAATATTATGAAACATTATCGAATATCATGGCATATTTTAGACCGTTTCCGAACATTATGGAACATACTTGACATTCTCAAACCTTCTATAGCATTCTGGAATATGCTATACCATTCTCGAATATTCTAGATTTTGGGACATCCTACAACATTCTCCATAGATTATTTTAGAATAAAATTATGGATCATTGTGCAAACCTTCTAGGATAATAAACAGGAACATTCTGGAAACTTCGAACGCAAATATCTTTGTAATCGTTTGAAATAACCCTATCAAACCCAGTATCGTTGAATTCGTCATGATAATCCCTAACCGATTATGGAATACAATACAGGGTGTCCCATTTAAAAATCAAAAGTTGGGGTCGTTTCTGGTGAAACTGGAAGTGATAGAAGGAAAATTGTTTCATCAATTAATGAGCAATTTGGTATACTAGCTACTCACAAATTTTCAAAACACTATCATCTTGAATAAATCAAAAGTTTTAGTTCTGGCCGTTTTTTGTGCACTTCTTTGTATATTATATTGGAGTATTTAAGATCATTCCCGAAAACTAAAGAACATTCTATTGCACCCTGATATTCTGGAAAATCCTACATTTTGGAATGAGATTCTGGAATATTATGTCTGGATTCAGGAACATTCTGGCTAGTCTCGGCCACCTTGACTAATGATATGTTCTAAAAAGCAACCTTCCCTGTAAAAACCCTCCTATAAGAAGTGTCAATATGGGTTTTGGTTCCCATTGCAGAAAATTGAAAACCATCTATATTTTCATCATTTTATTCATTTTTTTTGCACAATAAGCACTAAATCTAAAAAGCATTTTCATACACAGTCCACTGTATTCTCAATAGATATATCAAATAAAAAGAATATAATGGAACGTGTATACGACATTTACCATTGTTTGAAAAGCTTTGAGCTGCCCCCTTGCTTACACACCAAAAAGTTGAATATCGACTTTGAGCACCAACTACCAAGAAACAAAGAATGAATATTTCCTGGGAATTAGTGGAAAAAGACGATAGCAACCCAAATATTACAAAAATTCAACAAATACATCCCTATGTGGCATATCCATTGTAGAAAATTGATAAAAAAAAATTGTGTAGTAAAAAATTCGGAAATCGCTGATTGAAATACAAATCTGATAACCGTTCTCTCGTTAGTATGTATTCAGGAGATACTACAACAGAAGAATTTTCGATAATTACACTGGAATGCTAAAAAAATAATAATATTAATTGCTAGGTACAAAATAGTATGTACTGGAGTTGATTTTGCAACAGTTTTTCTCCAAATTCGCTGATTGATTCCTTGACAATTGTCCCTGTTCCTCAAAAATCGGTAAAATCCGTAAATAATTTGATTAATCTTGTGGTTCACCTTGTATATAACATTATGTGAACACAAAATCAATCTGTCTCAGAAAATAAATTAATTGCAATACTATGCAATCATAAACGTAGATAATCATTAAAAAATATGATTCAATTCAGAATTGTTCCATCAAATATACAGGGTGTTCAACATTCCAACATCAAATTTTACGTTATTTTGGATATGAAAAATTAATAGGCAAGTAACTGGGGCTTATTTTTTTCGAAATTAGAGTCAAAATAATTAAAATTGATCTAGTTTTTTCGCGTAAGCTCTGATACCTATAGGAAATAAGTCTTATTTCAACCTTGAAAATACGCCCCCAGAAGCTATATAGTGAATTTTGAAACACCTTGTATGTCAAAATAATATTGTTCCCAGAATCAGATGAACTTTTGATAAAAGTAGAATCGTTTGCTGATATTTTCCTAAAATTACATTTTATATTCTCTTCCAACTGTTGAAAAATCAACAACTATTATACAGGGTGGTCCAGTGTTTTTCAGTACCAAACAATGAAGAATTTGAATAGTTCTCAAAAAATTGTATGGGGTTCTTTCTTAATCTTTTTCTGATACCAATTCTTCTAGAACAAACTGTATATCTCGGTTATGAAGAGTTTCAGGAAAATAGACCCCAAATTATCATTTTGAAATCTGTTCAGATTTTTCAATCAGTCCTGAAAAATTGGACCACCCTGTATTTTAGCAGTACATTCTTTGGCGGACCTACATAAACAAAAATAAAAATTTTACTATCCCAATTATGTTACTATCAGTTTCAATTTAAACTTGGATATTAATTAGTCAAAAATAAAGAATTCAATTATAATGTATCATTATAGTCAAATAAAATTTGGTTTCTACTTATTCCTATAACTTCGTTTTTTTTTTAATTCGAACATGTAGAAAGTCTATGTTTGCCTTTTTTTTTGGTGAAATTTAGTTCTCAGCACTACAAAAACCTTGAAATTTTTGGGCACTAGTTCGTTTTTTCCGACTATCCAAATAAAAACTAAAAATTTTTGACCGATTTCATACAGAATCAAGAAGAATTTGTACGCATCAAAACTCAGCTTCAATCCCAGTTAATTTTGAAACTGATAGTAGCTCGAAAAAAATCATCAGAATCCGAATCGTTACAATTATTCCATGGCCAAGACGTCGACGAAATCCAAAATTTGATTGACAGTGTTGCCGTTCCCGCACGGCACCTCGATGGTGATGGGAAAAGAAGGAAGATGGTCGTAGTTGGTAGAGGCGGCGGTGGTATCGCGGTCACGTGGCACAGACAGCATCTCGAAGTGGCTCTCGGTCAGGTGGAGCATGTTCTCCAGAAGGGTCCTGAAAATAATTACGATCATACAGGCTAGGCAGTTTGTAGTTCGCGTACAGATACTTGGGAAGTGCTCGGAAAACTCATCCTCCTCCCACGAAAAGGGATATCCTGTAATGTTCAGAGAACATCGTGAGAACCAAGGGAAATAAGGTAGGAATTGGTGTTCTTCTTTATTTTCTGGAGGTTATATGCCTCGGGGAACACCTCCCTTGGCAATGTGTTCCAGAGCCTCGCTGTTCGTTGGATGAACGAGTCTTTGGAAAGAGATGTTCTGCAGGTCTCCAAAGTGACCACGAAGGGGTGCGAAGCCTCAACTCGATGGGTTAATCTCGCGGGGACTGCCGAGGGAGGTACAATTGTTGATATTTCAGAAGAACATCGTCCATGAAAATATCTATTAATAGAGTCAGATCGCCAACTTTTCTACGGTGTTCCAGAGAAGTGAGTGAGTTTGTGAGCGAGGCATCACCCACGAGACGAATTGTCCTTTTTTGGACAGAATCCAACAGTTTCAGGGTATGTTTGGGTGCTGCACTCCAAATATGGGAACAGTATTCCAGGACAGGTCGGATCTGTGCCTTATAGATCATAAGCAGCTGACTGGAAGTGAAATAGTTCCTGGCTCGAATCAGAAAACCAAGTTTTTGGGATGCACTTTTAGCAATTGATCTCACGTGATTTTCCCAAGAAAGGTTATTGCTGATAGTAATACCAAGCATCGAAATGGATGTCTTCAAAGGTATGGTTACTCCTGACATGCTTATGTTTGGCACAGTGAGATCGACTTCTCTAGAAAAAAGGCATGCTTGTGTTTTGTTTGCATTGAAAGTCAGTAATTTAGTCGACGGTAATGTGTATTACGGCCGGCTGGCGGCCGTCTGGACACCTCGGCGCCGGGAATGCATTACATTTCGATAGTCGGCCGTCAGTTCTGAAGGAAATCGGTGTTATCTTGAATATTTCCGAAAGGCCACGTGATAAAATGATGCAATTTGGTACAAGAACTCAACATATATTAGTAGGTAATCCGCCTCTCCAGTACAGCCCCTCCCCTCCACCTTTCTCCAAACCACGTGAATTAACTAGCCAATCAGAGACCAGCATTTGGTTGAAGACCACGCCCACTAAAACGTCACGGAAAACCATGAAAATGTCACGGAACACTACGGAAATCTCACGGAACACCACGGCAACGTCACGGAACACCACGGAAACACATCATGCGATAACGAGATTGTTGCCATCTTGAACGAATTAGAAGAGGCAAGCATAATTAAACATGTGTGATTTTTCCGTGACGTTTCGTGACATATCCATGCTGTTCCGTGACGTTTTAGTGGGCGTGGTCTGCAACCAAATGCTGGCCTCTGATTGGCTGGTCGAGTCACGTGGTTTGGAGGAAGGTGGAGGGGAGGGGCTGGACTGGAGAGACGGATTACCTACTCATAAAGGAGACCAATCAGAACGATTTTGTCGGTAAATTCGAATAACGAATGTTTTCACACCATCAAATGAATATCGCCGATATAAGAAATGAGTACCAACTTCGTAATTTTCAATGGAACAACATATATATTTTTCGGAATATTTGAAGATCTTTCTTTTCTGATTTCAAAAATATATACATTGTTGATATTCGGTTCAGCCGTTTATGCAAAATTCGAGGTCGAACATTCTAGAATTGGTTATAGTTTTAATTCACCAAATCGCAATTGCCATGAAGAATCAACAACACATATGCAGGTTGTTATTAATCAAACTTTCTGTGATATATGTGTTGTTGATTCTTCATGGCATCTGCGATATGGAAAATCCAAATTGTAGCTACGAAATTGTCAACCTCGAATATTTTGAAAACGGCTGAACCTAATATCCACAACCTATACATATTTGAAACCGGAAAAGATAGATCTTCAATTTTCTCTAAAAACATATAGGGTGTTCCATTGGAAATAACGAAGTTGGTACCCATTTCTTATATCAGCGATGTTTATTTGTTTCAGATCGTACAATTTTCTGGAGGTTCAGAGCAAACCCTACAACTTTTGTATTCAAAGTTGTTTTCTATCTTCAATGATTAACCCTGAAGAAGCTGTTTAAATATAGGAAATGACCCTGTACATGTTTAATCATTGGGACCGGGTGTTGTTTATCTCGCACCAAAGAGCACAATAATCTAATTCAAATTCGGAAAGTCGAAGTCCAAAATGAAAGGAGGTTATCAAAAACTAGTGTCACGATCTCCTTTGATTTCCAGTTATCTGTAAGGTCAATGAAATGAATGTGAAGCATCTAAATCCTTATTAGGAAACCAAACTGATAATGAAAATTTACTGAAATAATTATATGGCAGGCAATAATCTATACCTATGATGATTCACAGCCAAAATATATAAAATAATTGACAATTCAAAATACCAGTAATTTGTTCGTGTACTAATAAAATATCTAAAGTGAATACAATCAAATATCTTGGCATATACATTGATCGAAATTTGAAGTGGAGTTATAATGTCTTAGAACTAACAAAGAAACACAGAAGTACCCTTTCAAAATTGTTGCAAAATATTATCAGTAGACGTTTAATAATCATGTTTCATCACACTCTCTCCCAATCTATATTATCCTATGGAATAATGGGCGTGTACACCTTAGTAGAACTTTCAAATTGACAGGTTTGTGTCCTCAAATGAGGGAGCCAACGCTAACTTTCTATGCAGTGAGTAGGTAAAAGCATTTATTATTATTATTACTTACGCGATACTCTCGTCCATGACGATGTGCACCTTCGGTATGGGGAAGCCGTTGAAGGCGCTGGCGACGGGCAGCGTGTACGCACCCATATCCTCGAACACCAACCAATCGCCGACCTTCATCTCGGGCAGCATCACGTGCTCGACCACCTGGTCCAAGCCGTCGCAGGTGGGGCCCCACACGCTGCTCGGGTGGTACTTGGAGCCCGGGTACTGCGTGGAAAAAGCATAAATTCAAACGATGAGCAAATTTCCAACATTCAAATTTTCATTTCTCTGTATTGTTAGCTAGATGTGGAAGGCTCAGTGCCATTCAAAGGCAAGCAAATATACATTCAAGGCGAAGCCAGAGCAGTCGTGAGTAGATTGTTCAGCGGTCAAGCACCCATAAGCAACACGCACGGTAAAGACTTCAGGAAACTATATGAAGAGTTGGAAAGCGACCCCATCATCGGAATGCCAACAGATGGCATAATTCCAAAATATAGCTTTGAAAAAACTTTTAAAATAAGTATAACGGACATTGGCATTGATGTCTATAAGGACGGCTTCAAAACCAAGGAAGGGTCATGAGCTGGTATTAATGGGGCCAAGCCAAAGACAAGAATCTCACTGAGCTTAGGCAAATACGCGTCGGTGTTTCAGGCAGAAATTATTGCAATACATAATTGCATAAAAGGATTGATAAGGCAAGAGTTTACAGGGAAAACCATTGCAATCTATTCGAATAGCCAGACGGCAATCAAAGCAGTTAACTCAATGCAAGTTAACTCAAAGCTAGTAGTACAGAAACCCTAAATGAACTGGGCAGTCAGAACAGACTGACTCTAGCATGGGTACCAGCCCATACAGGGTACGAGGGCAATGAAGAGGCAGACTCACTTGCCCGAGCAGGAGCAAACAAAGCTCTGAATGGCCCAGAAGTCATTTGTGATATTGTGAAAGCTATACAAAAAACAAGTATCAAATCATGGATGCAAACCAAATCTCAAGAATGGTGGAACAACTCGTCAGGAATGAGACAGGCAATAGAGTTTATCGAAACACCATCGCCAACATTCACAGAATATCTACTGAGCCAGAAATAATGTTACAATACGTGAGAGTTGATTTATTGCATGTACCCACATTTATAGAAATAAATATTTTTTATCTGAAGAATATCAATTCTCTAGCAATGATTTCGTAGAATTATCCCCACCATTCGCGATTCCATTCATTTATCCGTGTTTTGCGTCAAGATTTTTAGCGTATACTTTTTAATGATTTATGAATAAATCACAGTGTCTATCTATCGTTAGATTTATACACTCAGAATGATTTTTATATGACCGTTTATATAATAATGTACATGGTAGAAGTCCATGATATCTCAAAGTGGAGTGAATAAGATTCAGACACAAGACACACTAAGTCATCTCCACAATAGTGTGACTTGAGTCTGGAGTTTATGTAATTGTAGAAAAGTGACCGCATCAATCGCATGTTGATGACTAAACCGATGAATCGCCAACTTGTTTTATGGCATTCCTAAGCATCTATTCATTTACGACTTGAACTTCATCGCTAACACTATTTTTTAGTCTTGAGATCAGAATCACGTGTGTTCAGGAAACATTTGACATTGTGGAACGTACAATCTCTGAGAGTTAGAAGAAACTGACCTGCTTGAACGGCTGCGGTACGACCACCCTATGATCTCACAGGATGCAGTTGATTCCCCACCATTCGTGATTTCATTTGTTCAGTGATTTTTGAATGCATCGAGGTGTCTATTGTCATTCAGTATAAGATCAGGTAAAAACGTTTGAAGATTTCTGAAATAAACTGACCTGTTTGAGCGGTTGCGGCACGACCACCTGATGATCGTACAAAATGCAGTTGAAGCTGCCGTAGACGCCGTCGTTGATGTAGTACATGCGATGCGTGTCGCCGTCGGGACGATCGACGGAGCGCAGCGAGTGCACGTTGCAGGCGAGCGTGTACGCGCTGGCGACGTAGAAGCGGCCCGGTTCGGCGATCACGCGCACCGACGGGTCGGGGAAGAAGTCGTCCAGAGCCAGGTTGACGATTTCGGCGATCTGCGAAAAGATTGGTTTAAGGACAGGTTGACGATTTCTGCGATCTGCGAAATGATTAGTTTAAGGACAGGTTGACGATTTCGGCGATTTGCGAAAAGATTAGTTCGACAGGCAGACGATTTCGGCGATCTGCAAAGAGATTAGTTTAAGGGCAGGTTGACGATTTTTGCGATCTGCAAGATAATTAGTTCAAGGCTGCTGAGCGAGAAGCGAAAGGGACAGAAAAGTATGTTTTCTCTCTCCAGCATTGAACCGTTACCATCGAGACAATAAGGCCTGCATGCTCCTAACCAGCGGCTCGAAACGAAATTTCGAACTTATATCTCGATAAATAGTGGTTTGTTCACATTTTCATTACCAAATTCGTGTTTTTCAGACAAAAATATGTAAGTACCAAAAAAAATTTTCGAAAAAAAACCCATCGCATGATAAATGCAGTTTTACCTTTATAAGTAGAGTGTTTGTACTACATATTAATATGATAGTTGCAATTTGATCATTTGAATGAATTCTGCATTCATTGCCACGAGGCAAATGACCGTTTTCAGAAAGAAATTTGAAAATGTATTGAGTTAAAAATGCCCGTTTATTATGAACATTCAAGAAAATTTCCTCGAATTCAAAGATGATTTTGTTGAAACATACGTGAATCACTGATGAATTAACACGAACTGACGCGTTAGTCGACAAGCGGTAAAACACTGGCCTCTCTTAGGTGACGTCACGAGCTGTTTACGTCAGAGTCTGCTGACCTTCTAATCTCGATGGTAACGATCGAACTCCTAGTTTGAGCATAGGGCGTTCTCAGTTCATGGCTGTTCCTGACTGAAAATATTTAGTACCAGATCGCACTTCTTCAAAGTACTAGAATTGGGAATATAGTCGTTCAGTTAGCGTTCAGAAAAAAATTTGTCTTCTCATGCTGTTCTTGCCTTGAGGATTCCAACATAAAAGATACAAATTTTATGTTGGCAGTACTAGAAATAGAAAAAAAATGGAGAAGACCATTTCAACCGTTTTTATAGTGGGTTTAATGGGGTCTTCTTTTCTTCATGAAACATGAAATTCCAATTGTTTCAGATTGAAACACTGAAAACAAAGCAAATACAGATGGGGAGAAGACATATTTTTTCTCTCTCAGAGGTAGCTGAACGCTATCCACAAATTCTACTCGCCAAAAAATAAATACGAGTGGATTCATTTCACCACATGAAAATATCGAAACAAAAAGTGAAATTCAATTCATATCAGTAATTTTAATTCATGGGAATATCTTCAAAGTGTAAATAATGTACCAAACTCATATGAAAAATAACCTGAATCTCTTCAAATAGTACTAAATCTAGTACTGACTGGAACTGTCCCTCACCTTATCAATAGACGTCCCTCTTCCTCCCGGAAACCCCCCACCGATATCCAGCACCTCGAACTCGTACCCGAGCGTCGCGGCGCAGTCGAAGACGTCCCGGCTAGCCGATATGGCCCGCCTGAAAACGGGCGGCTCCCTGCATCCGCTGCCCACGTGGAAGCTAACGCCCACTACGTCCAGTCCCAAAGAGCGGGCAACGCGCAACAGGTGCGGCGCTTCCGAGTCGGCGTCGCAGCCGAACTTGTTGCCCAGCTGGCATTGGGCGTCGGCGGCGTCGCAACGGATGCGGATCACCAGTCTGGAAGCGAAGGATTCGTCAGTGATTGGTCATGAACACTGATTCGTTGGCATCCGGAAAGTTCTACAGTGGATCCGACATTTCGCAAGGAGCCAGTCGGTGGTCCAACTAATTGGGGATGTCAAGTTTGACATTATTCTGGTAAAACTATGAAATTGATTTCATGAATCGTTAATTTGTTATCTATCATGAATGCAAAAGTCAGCTTTTCCTCGAATGGTCACCAATCCAAGTACTAACCGCGCTCGACACTGTTTCACTTCGGATATCGAACGGCCAGTGCCTTACCTGAGAAGCTAGGGCGATGCCCAGTAAAATATATCTATGAAAAAATATCAATTCCCTGGCAATGATTCCGCATAGTTATCCCCACCTTTCTCGACTTAATTAATTTATCCGTTTAGTAGGGTCGGCTTATACTTGCTAATGATTTACAAATGAATCGCAGTGTCTATAGGCCTGTTCGTTTGTATTGCTAAACTTGCTAAAGTTGATTTTTTCCCATAGTTGTCTCTGTTCATGGCATGATGTAAACAGAGAGTCATAGAAAAAAATCAAGTTCAGCAGGTAGAGCAAGCACAAACGAACAGGCCCTATCGGTCGCATGCACGATGACCGACCCTAGAGGTAAAATATTGAAACACAACCTCACTTTTCTGTAAAACATTGGAACACAACCTCACTTTTTCTATTCGTTTGCAGAGGTTTTTCACAATATTTTTGCAAACAAATCGTGGTTTTTACGCTTTTCATTACTTCAAGCAAGAGACGAAGGAATATGATTTTTCAGGTAAATAGGAATCTCACATAGTTATCAATATGAAATGTTGTCATTCCTTATTGAAATTCCTTCTGCCTTCTGCCACTTCTGCAATACAAGTTAATACTGCTAATAGCATGAAAATGTCTACAACACACACGATCGTCAGCATGTCAGACCAGTCCTCCCGATTGACTGCATGAATCCAATCTTCTTGCATTATTTTAGAAATTTCAGGTGTATTTCTATTAGCTCCTATCGCAGAAGGAAATCCGATGAGAAATCATAGAAATTACCAAATTTCAAATATGAAAACTATATGTGAGTGACTATGGTAGGTACTTACTTTTAAATCATGATATACCAACCGGAATACTTCGTCTTCCGCTGCAGTTTTTGTGCATTTCACAACAGCATAATATGATGGTATAAGCGAATTGATGAATAGCGAAAAAATACGATTCGTATGCCAAAATAATTGTGAAAAACTATTTCGATCACTTGTAAACAAATAAGAAAAGTGACGTTGTGTTTCAATGTTTTGCCTCCAGCGTCAGGAAAATTGAGGTTATGTATGTTTTTGTTTACCAGTTTTACTTCTTCTATTTTTTTCATTCGTTAGCTATTCTCTAGCTATATTCTTTACCATCAACTATTTTCAGACAAGATTTAGAATGTACGTCACAGTTTGCCGCCCCGAATATAAGAAATTGCTTCAATTTCAAAATGAAAACGACTTGGACTAGGACTTCATCGGTCGCCATTCTGTACAGCGTGTAAGTTCCGAACTTATTTTATGAACATTTTCTTGCACTCTTCTAAAAGTATAATGTTGATTTTGTTTAAAATCTGGAATAACTTTCTTCGTCGACCTACGTACTTACGAATGATAAATCGTGCGCATGAACATTATTCAGGGTGTATTCCGTAAATCAACTCGTTTTTTTTTATGTTCTGGTTCCCACGAAAAGGGATATCCTGTAATGTTCAGAGAACATAATGAGAACCAAGGGGAATTAGGTAGGAATTGGTGTTCTTAAATTTCTGGAGGTTATATGCCTCGGGGAACACTTGCTTTGGCAACGTGTAGTTTTCCCGATATGTTCGGTTGGTTCATGAAGAAAGATTATTTAAACACGGATAAATGAATGAAAACACGAATGGTGGGGATAATCGTGGTTAGTGATGAAAAAACGGAACGAAGCGAATGGAAATAATCCTCACTTGGCATCCGGGAAGAGCTTCTTGACCTTGTGCAGCTCGGTCTCGTTGTCAAAGGTCATAGTGCGCACGCCCGTCGCCGCTGCGTGCCTGATATGGCTGGCCGGCTTGGCAGGATTGGCGAAAACGATGCGCTCCGGGGCGACGCCCAAGGACAGCACCTTGTTGATCTCGCCCTTGGAGGCGCAATCGAAGGAGGCGCCGAGAGCGTTGAGGGTCTCCAGGACGATCAGGCCGTCGTTGCATTTGACAGCTGCAAACCACGGATAAATGATTAGATTTTCACAATTACAAACGTTAATAATGTTGTAACATATCTATATATTTTTGATTTTTGTTTGATTGTATATTAGGCTTGCCTACGATAAATAAAATGAATAAATTGACGTATTTGTCATCTCAACAGGGTACGGGCAGATCCTCGTCTCCTCTCACTCTAAAGGCCATCGTTGCATTTGACAGCTGCAAACCACGGATAAATGATAAGATTTTCATAATAACAAACGTTAATGATGTTGTAACATATCTATATATTTTTAATTTTTGTTTGAATGTATATTTAGGCTTGCCTACGATAAATAAAATGAATAAATTGACGTATTTGTCATCTCAACAGGGTACGGGCAGATCCTCGTCTCCTCTCACTCTAAAGTGTTTGTGGAACAGTTGTATAGTTCCATCTTTATTCAATTCTGGGGATAAATTTCTGACATTTGTTGTTTTTTAGGTTATATTGAGGACATTGGCGTATCATACGTAATTTCCACATGTGATTTCTCATTCAACTCTACATATTATATCCAAATGATGATCAGTAATTTTTGAACTATGAAATAACCACAATGCTCAAAGTGTAATGAAATGTTGAATAAATACAAGAAGGTCAAAGTACAAATATTTCACGTCTGAAACCACTAATGAAACTACAAAACAAAGACACACAGAACACAAAGAACAAGACATTTTCTGGACCTGATTTAGTTATATAAACTTAAAATATGTTGCTTTATTCATTTTGCCAGGAATAAATTGAAAATATCAAATTTAGCTTTTAATGAAGTCACAGTCCATAATTATGGGACTAGACAATTGAATTACTTGATAGCAAATACATTCAAGTCAAACATTGGCAAACAATATGTTTTTCACAATGGAATAATTTTATACAATTCATTACCAAATGAGTTGAAAAATATACATGATGCAAGAAGGTTTAAAATCAATCTTAAAAAATACTTGCTCAAGACAATTTGAATGAAAAATATGTGGCATGATTTGATTACTTAGAAATGAAATATAACTTTAATCTTAAGAAACAATATTAATTCGTTTTCACTGAGTGGAATTCATTAGTTAACCCTTTATTATTATTTTTTTGTACTCATGTATCCCTATCATAAATAGAAATGTTTCTTGGGGTAATAAAGACAATCAATCAATCAATATCCACACAATGTTCATAAAATGAACAACATTGGTAGATTAAGATTAGAAACACGTCTTGAGGCGTTTAAAAAAATCGGTTTCCTTAGTGATAAAACAGTGTAGTGTTCAAAGCATTGTCTGTTGAATATGGAGAAAAAATCGTATCGAACGAAATGATCTTCACTTTTTTCTAGAAAATTTTCGAAATTTGTGGTTATGTAAGTTGTCAGCACGAGTTGTCAGTGTCAAGAGCTGTCGTGCCATCGTGACTTGTATTGTATGTATATATATTTTTCAATTCTCATTGTTCTAATATTCCTCTCATTTATAAATATAGTTTTGTATTGTGTTCCCAGTATTATAGTTTATTCTGATTGATAATTTGTTACAAACTCTGTCTCTCAATTGTGCCTACCAGAAAGTGTGAAACCGTCTCCATAATGATGGAATTAAGATATGGTGCGCGTATTCGGCCATTATTACGTATTGAAAATTTCAGAAAAATCACTCGACCGCCTACTATGATTTCTCTACGTCACAACGAGCGAGACGTTGATTCTACATTTACCCGCTAGATGGTGATGCTGCTATTGCTGCTGTGACGAGTGGAAATAAAATAGCAAATGGCATTTTAGGTACGCGGAACATATGTAACAGTGGGATTATTCAACTCATTCTACCTCCATTTAATTTAGGTGTTGAACGTTACGAAATTGGGGACTATTGTAGTGTCTGTAGCAACCATTTTGAGAAGGAATGATTTTTTGAATTTTTGAGTGACTGAGTGGCCGTGACCCGTGACTATGTCGTGATACTGAACAACAAACTACGCGGCAGGCCGAGAGGACCGCTGAGCGAGCTGCCCAACTCTTTTACGATTTTCAAGGTTATGTAGGTTTGACAGGAAAACAATTGAAATAAGTGTTTCCTCGAGTTGACCGTATGGCGGCACTACTGTATCGGACACAGAAACCTGTAGGTGATTTCCCTTGTTTGAGCAGACCAGATACTATACAGCTCACAAATTTTTTTTTTTTTTTCGATCAATTTTTTTATTTTTTTATTTATTTATTGAACAAATAACTTCCAGACAGAATAGGCTCTGGTATAAGGAAGTACATAATTATATACCTATAGGTAAACATAGCATCATTCAAAATATATCAACAACTGTAAATTGGCAAACAAAGAATAATATTTGTAAATGAAAAAAAAAAAAAAAAAAAAAATGGCATGATTAATTTTGTCCAGTCTTTATTTAGCAGACAATGGTTCAAAGTAGCGATATAAAAAATGACGTCACCTACCGTAGTGCGGCTGGACTCTGGGAAGCTTAGCGGTCCACGTCTTGTGTTTGCGCACGATATCTCCGACGTCGCACACGTAGAAGGCCTCCTCTTGGTTGTCGGTGGCGATGACGTCACGGATGACGGACCACACCGAAGAGTCATCATCGAGAACGTGGATACGGTCTTCTGCTGCAGGAATCTTCATATTTTCTTTTTCTTATTTATTTTTTTATTGTTAAGGTTTCGTAGTTACAGAGATGGTTTTGTTGATTTAGAGTAAGTTATAGGGTGAAGTAAGCAAGCTGAAAAAAAAATGGATGTTTTATGATTGTGGAATAATATAGTCTGAGATCTGACGTAATAGTCTAAGTCTACATGAGTTTCAACGTCACTCGAGACAAGCACATAATTAAAATACAATTCCCTGTGTTAATACGACGTTGCCGGCACCATCAATATGTCTAGAATTCCTTTAAATTGTTCTTTGAATACACAACAGCAATGGGATATGATAATAGGTTTTTAATCCTACTTCGTCCAGTATTATGAATAATTTAATTGATCTTCCATTTGGTCGATGAAGTTGATTACTAATGAAGGTTCATTATGATATTCTGCAATAATATCTATAATTTTTCACTTTTGTTATGTTACAAATACTGTGACAGGCACACCAAGAGCTGATCTGGTTTTGTGGTTATGTATTTTTTTGTTCACCAGTTTTACTTGTGCCATATTAACAACGACGCCAAGTTGTCTTCTTTTTCTATCGTTTTTATTTGTTGGCTATGTAAGTCACAGTTTGTCGCCCCGAAAACTTGAAATTGCTTCATTTTGAAAACAAAAACGATTTAAACTTTAATGATGGCCATTCTGTACAGCGTGGACATAAAACTGAAGAGTCCCGAACTTATTTTTTGAAAACTTCCTCATTTCGAAATGATGTTCATGAGTAGATGCTGTTAATAAACTAGTTGGTTGAATAACTATTTCAAATCAACTTACGAGGCAGCCTGTGCTCAGATTCGCACAGGTTTATTTGTTAAGTGTATATATGATTAGACTCCCCTAGATGGCCTGCTAGCACTGCCAAGGTGGTTCAGTGTCCAAGAAGATTTTCCAATCGTAGGGGAGTAGGAGGCTGCTAGTGTCAGGGCTACCTTCGTCCAAGTCAAGACCCTAAAATAAAAAACAAACAAAAATTCATATAACAATTATTTACCAATGGCTGTAGTTAGAAATCCATCATACGAATTAGAAATTCTAGAACTGTGACAATGGAAAAGAAAGAGAATAATCCCAGCAAATTTCAGTTACATCACAGAGATATCGCAGCGACGTAACAATTGTGAACTGCAATATCGCATTCTATGTCGCATAGACGTCGCTGCGATGTCAGAGGAATGTTATTTTGTCCCACTCGAGTTTCTTTCATGTGACGTGGCTGCGATAAGTTATCTGCGATATAACAGAGATATCATTTATGTAATGTGACTGCGATATGTTATTTGTGATGAAAAAGCGATGTGTTTTTGCGATAAAACTACGATGTGATGCGAGATGACGTAAAAAAGTTTCCTCAGACATGGTGTAGTACACCACTGCTCTGATGATATCTAATAATATTGATTATGCCATTGTTGTGACTGGTTGGTGGTCTATCGGGTCTCCTGTCCATTCAATCGTCTTTTCAGCGGCACTATCCTTAGTATATCTACGCATACGCATATCCATCAGGACGAGAGCAGTTACTCGTATTTGTATAAAAAATTATGTAGTGTGTGTCGGCGAGAAGTGAGCAAACCAAGAATAGTTTGATAGCAATTTAATTAACGAATGTGTGCGAATTTAGCTTCACTTTGTTGAGTAACGTATATTCATGTATTCTTTTTTACCCAACAAGAATCTAAATATCAAATTTTTGAGTTTTTGAAATACGAAGTCCACATGTGTAAATTGCAGCGATGCAACATTCGTGATATCGCAGTGTTGCCTCATATAATGACATTTCAGAGATGCCATGTCGCAGATGTGTTTGCTTATGAACATCGCAGCGATGGAACGTTTGTGATATCGCACTCTGTTACCTAGACGCGACATCTCAGAGATGTCATAGGTATCACATATTATGTGTTGGCTGTGATGTTATACAAGGTTTGAATCACCCTGTATAACAAATACTCGTTTTTTCTGAAAAACGAATCAATTAAATCTACAGGATGAGTCATATCTGAAATAATCGTATTCTAATGGATATTGCAGGATAAAAAGTACCATTCGACGTATGATATAGATATAGGATTTCACGACTTTGAAATCTGATATCTCGAAAACGAAAAAAGTTATTCGAGATTCGGGAAACGGGACATGAATGAGATGTTATGTCCCAGGTTTTGGTTGTGACTGCCAGGTTTATCGGTTGTTATCATACAAATAGAACCTTGCGGTTTTCACGTTCCTATCCTATCGTGAAACTCAAGATAAAACCTCATGAGATTTTGCATAACCGTTTCCGTTTATGAAATATCTAAATGGCATATTTGAAAATTCATATACTTTTTGGACCCCTACTCTATATTTAAGTCATTAGAAATAATTTTGTGCTAAAAAAGAAGAAAGCATTTTACTCATCTATGAGGATTATACATTACACCTCGCATTACACATCAAAGATATAGTACAATGCACCGTCCTATCAGACTAGTCAGTTAACAAAAAACAAAATGGACGAACAACGGACAATCACATGCTATAGAATAATAATTATATCTAAAAGAAATATATTATATCATTGAGTAAGTAGTTACTCGACATATTGATGAGAAACAGCGTCAAACTTTGTCGCTCTGCCCTGTATATAGAACATAGGAGTCCAAAATAAAAATGACAACAGAAAAGTCGAGGTATTCTTTGGGAAGTCCGGGAATTTTTCGGGAAGTATGGGAATTCTTTGGGAAGTCTGGGAATCTTTCAGGAAGTCTGGGAATCTTTCAGGAAGTCCGGGAATTCCTTGGGAAGTCCGGGAATTTTTGTGTAGTCCCAGGAATCCCTTGGGTAGGATTTCCGGGAATTATTTCGACAAAGGAAGTACAGTGTACCCGAAATTGGCCCGTGATTTACCCCTCGGTGAAATTGAAACGAATTTGGAGATAAAAATACATGTTTCACATGGCAGAAAAGCAGATTTTCGGCCTAACAAAACAAATAACTATTGTACCTGAATTAATAGGGTAGAAATAATTTCTCGAGCACATAAACACATGAAAAGTCCTTTGGTCTAGTAGTGGAGGCACCAGTCCATTCAGGCACTGGTGAAAGAGAAAAAAATTCGTTGAAAAGGACACTTGACTAGGCAACACAACACGAAGTCACTATGCAGAGCCTCTCCTATTTGGAAAACGGAAAAAAAAATGAGAAGACTAATGGACGATTCCTGCTCAAATCATCAAATAAATGATGATATCCCCACCACGATTAGGGGTTATCTCGAAGAAAATGATCTTTAACCACGAGTGCTTAGATAGAAAAGAACAAATCGCAAAATCAACAGAGATGTGGTCATCACACTTTGATTTTCAATATATCAGCTTTGAACTTTCAATAAACAATTAATTGGGGTCTACAGATATAGTACCGGTTGTCCACGTAGTGTGGAAAAGCTATACAGCTTCAATGTATTAAGAGATAGACGAAATCATTATACAGGGTTATGATAAAGTATGCACAAAATTCATAAAACGTACAACGATCACTTTTGAAAAAAAATGCAAAAACACGTCGAACTGTTCTTTTTATTCCGCATCTTTTGATATAAGTAACAAAAATATCACGTCAAAGTTGTCAAAGTTATCACGTCAATGACGTCATCAACAAATTTTTTTCAATGGGAAGCTATAAGATTTTTATTACATTATGTGATAGAGCTTGTGTTTTTACACAAGGGAAAAATAGTTGCAGTAGGGCTCACATAATGTAATAAAAATCTTAGCTTCCCATTAAAAAAATTTGTTGATGACGTCATAACTTTGACAACTTTGACGTGTTATTTTTGTAACTTATGTCAAAAGATGCGGAATAAAAAGAACAGTTTGACGTGTTTTTGCATTTTTTTCAAAAGTGATCGTTGTACGTTTTTTGAATTTTGTGCATTACTTTATCATAACCCTGTACATATATACTTATATCGTAAGGCCTACAAATCAAAATTATTTTGATATCTAAAGGATGTTTTTTGGACGCGGTACTACATGAATTAGGATTTTTTCAAATGGAATATTCTGTATTTCATTGCATTTTTAGATTCTCCCTGAAGAGCTGATTTTATCGGGAATGATTACAGAGATATAGGGTGCTGAAAATCGAGAAATTTCAACTTCAAGATTTTCTTGTGTCGAAACTATTCATTGTCGACCAAAATGGTTTCCATCTCAACTTTTAATTTACTATCTACAGATATTTAATTGAAACAGATACAGGGTGATCACAATTCTGAATCTTGATCCACCCGGTATGTGCTCCAATTAAATGTAGATAGTAAATCAAAAGTTAATATGGGGATATGGTGTATAAGGCCATGTTAACCTATAATGAATAGTTTCAGCATAAAAAAATCCTAAACCTACAATGAAATACAGGGTATTTCATTTGAGAAAATCCTAATCCATGTAGTATCATGCAAGTTCAAAAAACATCCTGTAGAGATCAAAGTAACTTTGACTTGTAGACCTTATGATAGAGTTTTATATCTCCAAAAAGATTTGGTCTATCTCTTATCACACTGAGGCCGAGACACCCGGTAAAGAAAGTACCAGGATGTGAACATGTGAATCAAAAATCTTATCAAATGTAAATATTTCAGAAGTTCAAATACCAAAAAGCAGTCAATTAATGAATTAACAATGTATTTTCTTTTATCCTTATCAGTTCATTCATTTTCATCGCCCTTGACACAAAGCAATCGCTTTCTACTCTAGTTTCTTCACCTTCTCCCCTCCTTGTTCAAAAGGTTACATCAGTATAGACGAGAGTAAAGAATACTTAGTGAGTAGTGACCACCTTAGCAGATATCGTTAGAATCAGTATACAGAATGTTACATTCTATAAGCAATATCCTTTTAGAATTTTTCTCTGATTGAACCGAGGATTGAACTTATTAACTCAGTTTCAACTTTTAATTTTATGCAATGAGAAAATCAGCAAAAAACAGATTTTTTCAAAGTGGTTCTGAAAAAATTAAAAA